CGTAATGTCGGACAAAATTCGCATTTTAAATGATTAAAATGTCAATTTCTCAATATTTATGACTGAGATGGGTCTTTTCCTCTTTTTTTATAACTATAATGATGTGCTATCCACAATATATTGTGTGTAGTGTAACTGTAAGACGAGAGAAGACGCTTGTAGAGGTGTCGTGGTCGAGTGGATATGTCACCGGACTGTGGATCACATGGTCCGTGGTTAAAGTCCCGCTGCGGCACTAATGTCCTTTGGCAAGACATTAATCTACATTTGCCACACTCGACCCAGGTGAGGTACATTGGTACCTGGTAGGATTATTCATTGAAATGCACTGCGCTGATAACCGCTGTCGGAGCTAAAGCTAGGGTAATATTTCCAAAGCTCTTTGGAAGCGCATAGAGATGTTATATAATGTGATATGCGGTATGCAAGAACCGAATATTATATCATTATACTCTTAAAATGGGTTTAAGATTGTAGCCAATGAGTAGCGTCAAAATGGATCACGTGATAATTTTGTTACCATATACCCTCAAGCGCTGCATCGACCATCACGCACTCAAACCTGTTTATTATTTGTATTGTGTAGTGTTCGTATTGGGGCCTCGTAATGTCAACAAAGGTGTCATTCAGAGGACAACAGAGGATTTGTTTGAGGATTTGGCCATTCAAGACATTCGGATTGAACTTGAAATACACAAGATCAGATGCATCTAAGGTTGACAAAACAGGCAAGGATTCTGTGCAACAAGAATGAGGTGGGTGGGTGGGCCTGGGGGAGGGGGGAGAACAGTATGCAGGGGAAAATATCTGAAAAGCATAAATATTCAGTTTTAAATATATTGTCAAACCTGCTTTAGTGACCACCTGTCTATCAAGACTGATTTGTTGGTCTCCTTTGAGCGGTCTTTATATACAGGTTTCACTGTTTATATCAAGAGATGACATGATAGGTCTACTAGTCGTTTCGAACTTATATATATATATATATATATATATATATATATATATGTATATATACATATATATATGTATATATATACATATATATATATACGTATATATATATATATATATATAAATATTTAAATATATATAAACATATATATGTGTATAATCTGCTCGTGTAGGCGTGCATGAAACGACAAATCAGAACACCCGTTTTAACGAAAAGAAATGAGTCAATAATGACGCTAGATAGCAAAAGGTTATTTTTTTATATTTCTGAAGGGCCATTGGGGTGTAATTTGCGTCGTGTAATGTGAAATGCACTAATCAACTTATTTGTATTAATAGATGCAAGTTTAATCAAGAGGTCGAATATTGACAGTACTGTAATTCTAATAATGGAGGTGGAAACTTGAGTGATATTTACTTTGAAGAAAAAAAGCAAGAAGAAATAAATTTAAAAGAAAGAAAAAAAGTATTAAAAACACCTCGACCAACAATAAGTTCAAATAAAAACCAAAAACAGTTTAGTTTGCATGCTTGAAAAGGAAAAGTTAGTGATTTGGGGCAAAGTTTGTCTTTGATCATATATCAGTCACATTATCATGTCTATAGTTGTCCTAATCTAGTACTAAAACATTTTACATCCTAGAGTGTTTACAGTCCCTGCTAGTAAATGGAGTTTTGAACACCAAAAACATAAACATGTAATACAAATAGGGGAGAGAGGTTATCAAGGTGGACAATTGCGTAGAATGCTTCGCCAGATCAGGTGAATATTAGCTTTGACATCAATCTTAATCTTGAAGTAAAAATGAGTCTTGTCTTGTCTAGCACGTTTGTGAAAGTGCTTGGCGGGGATGGGGAGGGGGGAGGGGTGTTGTGTAATAAATACGTCATGTATACTCCTACACCACCCCCTACGGTGGTAAAAAGGCCAGGTCGAGGTGTACTGGTTGCGGTACTTAGGGGGGGGGGGGAGGGGCGACTACATCAGTCATATGTTTGAGATTTATGCACGTCCCTTTACCCCTTCCTTCCCCATACTTCCGCGCGGGCTCTAGGTGTTCCCCTCAATCATTTTATTAATGTCTACTTTTGCCAATAATATTCCAATATGTGTCACTGCGGATTTCACCTACGACGAATTTGCTTTATCCCTATAGCATTTATTTAGCGGATATTATTTAAGTTGCTGTTCCGCTTTAAAATGTGTATCAGTCGATGCTAAATATATATTCTTTTAAAATCAAATTTGGTATATTCATACGGCACAAACACACCCCAATCAACGTGCGCTGATACACACGCCCACAAATGCACAACTCACACACGCATGGATATGTATATATATATATATAACCCTACATGTTGTATTAACTGGACATCTACACTGTTGGAATAATTTTTTTAACCCTAATTTATGCAATGATTTATTCATAATATACCTAAATAATAGTTTACATTCTCAGATTTTATTGAATAATAACTCACGAGCGTTTGTTTTGCGCCCCCCCCCCCCCACTCAGTGTTATTTAGGGTATGCGTATGCATGTTTAATACAGGCCGATTTTGTTGTGTGTTTTACGAGCCGGACTTTGTTGCGTGAAAAGTAACCCCTTTGCCGGAGATTCCGGGAACATGAATGCAGTCCCTCGGTTCCCTGAGTGGGGCGGGGGGGGGGTGCGTGACTGCTAAAGCAAGTGTATGCTACAATGATTATCAACTAGGGGACCTACGTCCTTAAAGATAAAGGTGAGTTCTGGTCATGCTATTACATTGTGAAAAGAAGCGTTGTGGAATCGATCAGAAAAGGTTGATCATCTAGCATATAAGTATTGGTGTGTACTGCAAGGTTCTGGAATCACCAAAATTATAAGAAATGTGGCCCAGTCTGGTAAAGTTAAAAACCCTGTAAACAGAAAATTGTTATGGGACTACAAGAACATGTGGCATAAAAACTTTTCCCGATTTTTATGATGTTACATGTCATATTTAGAATATTAAGGCATTTGAAAAGCCATGCTTCTCGGGAAGCATTTTGAATCTGATGTTCTTCCACACTTGCATAATACAACGATAACGCTCACAAATTATTTGTTCACCTCTTCCCAGAACTCAACCTTCTCTTTAAAGATAAACTTGAGTTGTGGTTAAAAAAAAAATGAATTCTCACCTAATCAAAGGAAACTTACACTGAATGTTCAAGATTACAAATAAATGTCATTTGCCGAACAAATTTTGAAGAAAATGTATACTGGCTGAGTAATGAGCATATAAAAATAAGGAAATCAAGGTAAGTAGCCCCGACACCACTTATGTAGTCACGTATACATCTTTCTGTGTACAGTGCTTGTTACTTAACCAAGACTAGGCCAAATTTATTATGATTTTGATGACTCCGGAACCCTGCAGTACACACCAATACTAACATGCTACATGATCAAATTTTTCTGATCCATTCCGCACCTTTTCTTTCACAATGCAATCGCATGACCAGAACTCAACCTTATCTTTAAGTCATATTTGACAGTAATGAGGATTAATGCCTCACAAAAGGGCACTAATATTGCACATCGACACGGTTTTTATTCTTAAACCTAAGAAAATGCAATAAATTATCAATTCATTGCTTTTTCCCCGGTCCCCAACAGAAAACAAATCCTTCGTGTGGCCATGCCTTGACCGATAATGGTACATTAACCGGACATCATATAAACTGGTATATTACCCTAACCCTAACCCGAGCACTAAACCTAACCCTAACCCTAAATCTAAAACAATATAAATAATTAAACTAATAACTAATGATACATATTGTCTGCAAACGTACGTAGAGGGCATTACTTCTAGTGTTCAATCGTTAACTGGACACACAAATGTCCTGCTAATGACCATGTCTACCTAATGACTCATTTTTTTCACTACATATGTCCGTCTAATGACGCTGTGAGATATATATATATATATATATATATATTTATATACATCCGATAATAAGTCCATGTGTTGGCATAAGATGACGCAATAAATGAGGATTCATATTGTAAATCCAAAAGTTCTTATTAGCTCACCCTCCCAAAAAGCATGAATCTTCTCTTCTTCATTATACAATTTTAAAAAAAGGATTTTTGTACGCATCCATCATGTTTACAAAATTGATTTACAGTAGTTCATGGAACCTACACCGCACCAAAAGGGAAAAGGGAAAATCCAACCTTAATCGACAACTACAGTACTCTAAAAAAAAAAGTAGAAAAATCAGAGAAGCAGACTGTGGAGAGTTTGAATTAAATCAGACAAAAAATAAGAAAGACATGCATTTTTGAAAGTTGATATCATTATATGTTTGGGCACCTCAAACTAGCTAGATTGTTAATGTCACTGTGAAGAAGTGCCAGACTACTTTCCAATTTATTTCAACACACAACATTAATAAAATGTAAGTTTTCAAAATGTATCATTCAGGAGGGTTCCTTCTTATAATAGGACATGATATAATGCAAAATCTATATTATACTTTGAGTACCGGTGTGCTGGCTCAGTCAGTAGAGCTTCCGCCTCACAACCGGGAAGCCGTGGGTTCGAACCCCAAAAGACGTTAAAAGACGGGAGTTGCTGCTACCTTGTTTGGCGTTCAACAATAAGGGAAAGAGCAACGTCGATCTGGCGCTGCTCAGTGGCTGCCGGGCTCACGATCAATTGGGCAAAAAGAATTTCCATTTTCGTTTTAACTTTAAAAGATTATTTTTATTAGTGCCCCAAAGGGAGAAGGCACTTAAAAGGAAAAACAAAAAAAATAATGATATTTTGTACGCGAAAAACGGGAGAGTTGTCCCATGACTACGTAACAATCCGCTGACAAAAATGCTAATGTGGCATTCGCACGGTATTTTAGTGATGTCATATCTATAATATTCATAACTTCCTTATTATTGGCCTGATTTATTCTAAACGTTCGCATTTTCGTTTCTCTTATTTTATTTGCTTTCCTGCCAATGCATTTATTACAAGGGTTCGATTGCCCTTTAAAGTTTTTTAACTGTAGAACTCACCGTTCACCCTGTTCATCGACGTGCTTGTAATCTTCGTGGGTCGACATATACGACCCCATTTTGAATATCGACGATGTTTTGATGTCACCACTGAAATCTGTTTAGAATTAAGTGTTCTTTGTGTACTTCTATCTCTGTCGCTTGCTTGCACTATAATAACCCGTAAACGTAATCTAGTCCGCTTATGTGCTTGCCTGCAAGGTGCACTCGACACATACGCTTGAGAGGCAGTGAGGTGTGGGAGAGTGTGCGGGTGCGCATGGGGTGGGGGAGTCGCAGACCCATATGCGGTGGTCACAACCCGCCGTACTTGCAAGTGCGTGCTGTCTACGTGCAAAAACGTGGGCAAAATTTTGGTATCTGTACGTGGTGAGTACCGCCTCCTTACGGATTTAGGAGCACGCAGACAAACCGTAGCACTTTTAGTGCACGAGGAAATTTAATTTAGATAACTGAATTAAGATGACAGGAAGAAGTGTGAACCGTTACTTTCATTATTATTATTCGAGTGGATAAGTCGATGGACTGTCGATCTTAAGTTCAAGTTCAAGTTCAAGTTCAAATAAGGTTTTATTCATTACTTGTCAACAAGTCCGAGGACTAAAAATGCAAGTTTACATCAATATAAAAAGCATTCAAAAACATAAAGATAACATAGCAAATGAGGACAAATATATAACAATGAATACATTTTTAAGTTAAAACATTAAAGTAGTAACAAAAAAACAAAACAACAAAAAAAGATTTTTTTAAAAATACAAAATATGAAATATTGCTAGCAAAAATGAATAAATGTTGACATATAAACAAATAAAATGTATACAAATACTTGAATTCAATTAACTGTAACATTAGAAAAATTGTAATTAAGTATTGAGTATTGAGTATTGAGTATTGAGTGTTGAGTATTAAAAAGTATTACAATTGGAGTCTTGGCAGTGTGCTAATCACAAGCGTGATATGAGTACAGTATAATGTATAAACATATTGCACATGAGAACAATGGAATTCCTTAGGTATTATTGGTTACAGTAAGAATAGCAGATAATTAAAGAATGTTGTACTGTAAAACATCATCAGAAGAGAATGAGGTGGAGAAGAGGAGGGAGAGACAGAAAGTGAGAGAGAGAAACAGAGAGGAGGAAGAAGAGATGAAGGGAGTAAGAGGAAGAGGCTGAGAGAGAGGGAATGGGAGTGAAATAAAGAATAAAGAGGAAAGACCAGAACTGAAGAAGAGAGAAGGAAATTTGAAAAGAAACAAGTTCGAATAGAAAAAAGGAATGAGGGAGTGAGAGGAAAATAAAAGTACATGCAATATCAAAATACGAATGAATGGAAGAACCCGCCAGCCAATCATCATGGCAGTTAATATTGCACATAATTATATTGCTGAAATACATGACATATAACATACTGATAATTACCTAAGCCTCAATTTATCATTATTTTCAAAAAAAATGGAATTCCTTAGGTGTTATTGGTCACAGTAAAAATAACATATAATTATAGAAATATAATTATAGAATGTTGTACTGTAAAACATCATCATAAGAGGAAAGAGGTGGAGAGGAGGAGGGAGGGACAGAAAGTGTGAGAGAGAAACAGAGGGGAGGAAGGAGAGACAAAGGGATAAAGAGGAAGAGGCAGAGAGAGCAAAGAGAGAGAGAGAGAGAGACAGAGAGACAGAGAGACAGAGAGACAGAGCTGAGAGAGAGGGGGTGGGAGTGAAATAGAAATAGAGAGGAAAGATCAGAACTGAAGAAGAAAAGGAAATTTGAAAAGTGGCAAGTTCAGATAGAGAAAAGGGATTAGATAGTGAGAGGAAGGATAAAAGTACATGCAACATCAAAATATGAATGAATGGAAGAACCTGCTGTGCCAATCATCATGACAATTAATATTGCACATAATTATATTATTGCTGAAATACATGACATACAACATACTGGTAATTACCTAAGCCTCTATTTATTATTATTCAAAGATCGAGTGAAAGATGGGATGGGGGAAGTTCGGTACCTCGTAGTTCTCATCTTAGGCAAGGACAAATCAAGTGCATTTCGCAGGATGCGGCTATAGTCATTAACTCTGCTCTCAGGCAGGAGCTGTCGATGAACCTTAGATTGGAGAAGTGATTCTGCAAATCTTTGAGAAAGGGATGTGCGTCTCTCTTTAAGAGAGGAGACACCAAGATGAGATTGCAGTTCATCATAAGTTCTAGAGTCAGGGTAGGTAATAATCCTAAGAGCTCTCCTCTGAACTCGCTCGATGCTTACAGAGTGGTTGTTTGTGATCCCTGATGTCCAAACAGGTGCTGTCTTTGCACCATTGGATCAACGAGTCTAGTTGCGACTGCAATTCAGATGGATGCGTTTTCTTCAAGACCTCCACGATTGTCAAGTCATCCACATATTTCCATCGGTTATCACTTTCAAGAGCTGCATCGTTGATAAGGACCAGAAATAGGACTGGTCCGAGGCGAATACCTTGGGGTACCCCACAGGTGATGGCTTGTTGTTGAGAGGATTTCCCATGGTAGCGGACGGTCTGCGCTCTGTTGGAAAGGAAGCTGCAGATAGTAGGGATGATAGAGTGATCAACACCTAAGTCGATCAACTTGTTCATAACAATGGTGTGGTTGACATGATCAAAAGCCTTAGAAAAATCCACAACGCAGAGGTTAGCGAGAGTGCCACCCTTGTCAAGCCCTCTGTGGATGGTGTCGAGCAGGCTGACCAAGTAGTGCGTAACTGACGATCCACGAAGATTACCAAACTGGCGGTGGTCAACAAACGGGCGGATGCTGCTCATGATCCAGTCAGCGAGGAAACCTTCAAAGATACGCGCTAACGTGGGTGTTATGGAGATTGGCCGGAGCTGATCATAGCTGGTGACGGGATTAGTTTTGGGAATAGCACTGATAGATGCATGTTTCCATATGTCAGGGAAGCAACCCTGACTGAGGCAAAGATTGAAGAGAGTGGTCAAAGGTTCAGAAAGTTCATAAGCGAACTCCTTCAACAGTCGCGAAGGGGGATCATTGGGATGACAGGCCTTGGCAGTGCTGATTCCACAGAGGCGCTTGTAAACCCTCCGACGGTCAATCACAGGAGGGGGTGAGGGCGCTGGTAGAAAAGCCGACAGAGCACCCCTGTCGAGTGGTGGCAATGAAGAGCAGATGGCAGCGAAGTGCGTGTTTAGCTCATTAGCAATGTCAATATCTGATCTGCCGTCAGATGAAAGATTAAGCTGCTTCTTACGGATGCCAGCAAGATGACGGATTTGCTGGTGCCACTTCCCAGGCTCCGATTTCTTAAGATGTTCAACTTTGCGCTGGTAGAATGAGTCCTTCGCGTTATCGATCAATCTCTGTACATGGCCGTTTAAAGTCTGGATGCCCATGTCGAAAGGAAGAATCGCGGCGATTGATTGCTCTGCGAATCTCATCATTCATCCATGGTTCATCATCTAACCTTCGTTTGACAGTAACAAGTTCAAAATATTGTCTGAACTTGGTGTTGATTAGGTCATTGAACTCTGAAGCCATGTCATTAGCATCAAAGTCCCCAATAATAGACCAGTCCATCTGCTGTACCCATTGCCCGAAAGCCCTGACAGAGGATTCACGAAAGGGGCGATGGGATGTTCTGGTGGATTTCCTGGGAGGCGGCAGGAGACAAGGCAGGACGGTAACAACATTGTGATCGCTAGAAGCAATTGGCGTCGAAATCTGAGGATCACAAAAGTCCTCATTAAGGTCAGTCAGAATCTTGTCCAGGATAGCCGATTCACGAGTAGGCTCCTTGACTATCTGAGACAACGAGGTATGTCTTTCAATCTCATCGGTTTCTAGGTCATTGAAATCGCCCATGATAATTAATGAAGCGTTGGTGGCATGAAGTCGAGCACGGTCAACCATATTGATAATGTGTTCAATCATTTCAGCTCGATGTGGAGACCGCGGGGGAGAGTAAATCACCCCCAACAAAGTTGTCCTTTGGGAGATGCACTGCAGCAGAGGATCTCAGGCAGAACCAGAGGGCTTCAAGATGTGGGGGGACTGTGTCGCTGAAGACCTCCGTAGGGTTCATATCATCTCGCACATAGAGTGCAACACCCCCTCCCTTCTGCCCTCTACGGTCCTTGTGGAAGAGATGATACAACGGCAACTGGCATGCTGAAGCAGGATTTGTCTCTGAAAACCAAGTTTCGGTGACTGCAATTAAATACGTATCCTTGAAGTTAGTCTGTAGTATAGCATGGAACTGGTTGAATTTCTTGTTCAGCGATCGTGCGTTAAAGAGCATTAAGGTGGGAAGGCACTTTGGAGCTCGATGCTGAAGTTGAATGTCAATCAAAGATTCACTGGTACGAGTAGCGAACACATGCAAATCATGATGAATCCTGCCCCGGATGAGGACAGGAATTGGTGATTCGGCTTCAGTGTCACTTAAGGGAACTGACGAATCCCATGGTATAAATTCATAAAGAGGTGGATATCGATGCCTGTATCTGCGGTGTTGACCACCTCGACTACCACGACGAGTTCGTAAAATCCCAAGGTCTTTAAGTCTATTAAAAATGTCCTGTGAAACTGCACTTCTCGTGTATTTATTTCTCAGTTGATACAGTTCTGAGGCAGAATATTGGATAGAAGTACTATGTTGCATCATGCTTGTCCAATGACACGAAAAAGAATAATTACACGGGTACGAGTTCACTTTGTCATTTAACATGTACAAAGTCAAAGTCACAGTCAATGGTATGCAGTACTCACTTTGTATGTGTGGGGCTAAGCAAAGAAACCCATGCAATGACAGTGCAGAAACTAAAAGTACAGAGGTCCAAAACATGGAAAAATTGACGAAAACACGTAGATGAGATAACTAAAATGACTCCATGTAGTGTAGAAAAAAAACCAAGATCCTTCAAAGAAAGGAATAAAAGCTGCAAAATAGTATAAAAAAATGAAACTTAAAATCACTAAAATAACTGCAGCTGCTCAATATGGTGGCGCTATAGTGAATGACAGGAATCAATTCCTTGAAATGCTAGAGCGTCGCAGTGACTGCCTTGCTAAACCCAGGGTAATAATCGGGGCAGCGCCAGGAGCGTCACAACGTGACGGACATGTGCGCTATACATGTGCGTTATACATCATGTGCGCTATACATCATGCTTGTCCAATGACACGAAAAAGAATAATTACACGGGTACGAGTTCACTTTGTCATTTAACATGTACAAAGTCAAAGTCACAGTCAATGGTATGCAGTACTCACTTTGTATTTGTGGGGCTAAGCAAAGAAACCCATGCAATGACAGTGCAGATACTAAAAGTACAGAGGTCCAAAACATGGTAAAAATTGACGAAAACACGTAGATGAGATAACTAAAATGACTCCATGTAGTGTAGAAAAAAACCCAAGATCCTTCAAAGAAAGGAATAAAAGCTGCAAAATAGTATACAAAAATGAAACTTAAAATCACTAAAATAACTGCAGCTGCTCAATATGGTGGCGCTATAGTGAATGACAGGAATCAATTCCTTGAAATGCTAGAGCGTCGCAGTGACTGCCTTGCTAAACCCAGGGTAATAATCGGGGCAGCGCCAGGAGCGTCACAACGTGACGGACATGTGCGCTATACATGTGCGTTATACATCATGTGCGCTATACATCATGCTTGTCCAATGACACGAAAAAGAATAATTACACGGGTACGAGTTCACTTTGTCATTTAACATGTACAAAGTCAAAGTCACAGTCAATGGTATGCAGTACTCACTTTGTATTTGTGGGGCTAAGCAAAGAAACCCATGCAATGACAGTGCAGAAACTAAAAGTACAGAGGTCCAAAACATGGTAAAAATTGACGAAAACACGTAGATGAGATAACTAAAATGACTCCATGTAGTGTAGAAAAAAAACCAAGATCCTTCAAAGAAAGGAATAAAAGCTGCAAAATAGTATAAAAAAATGAAACTTAAAATCACTAAAATAACTGCAGCTGCTCAATATGGTGGCGCTATAGTGAATGACAGGAATCAATTCCTTGAAATGCTAGAGCGTCGCAGTGACTGCCTTGCTAAACCCAGGGTAATAATCGGGGTAGCGCCAGGAGCGTCACAACGTGACGGACATGTGCGCTATACAGTGCGTCCCAGAAAGGTCCGCGGTTCGAGTCCCGCCGCGGCACCAACGTCCTTTGGCAAGACATTGATCTACATTTGCCACACTCAACCCAGGTGATGTAAATGGGTACCTGACAGGAATCAATTCCTTGAAATGCTAGAGCGTCGCAGTGACTGCCTTGCTAAACCCAGGGTAATAATCGGGGCAGCGCCAGGAGCGTCTCAACGTGACGGACATGTGCGCTATACAGTGCGTCCCAGAAAGGTCCGCGGTTCGAGTCCCGCCGCGGCACCAACGTCCTTTGGCAAGACATTGATCTACATTTGCCACACTCAACCCAGGTGATGTAAATGGGTACCTGACAGGAATCAATTCCTTGAAAAGCTAGAGCGTCGCAGTGACTGCCTTGCTAAACCCAGGGTAATAATCGGGGCAGCGCCAGGAGCGTCACAACGTGACGGACATGTGCGCTATACAGTGCGTCCCAGAGAAAACGAAACAGAGAATTATCGATGTTTTATCATAACTTAATCACATCTATAATTAATAAATGACACATATATGGAAAGCTTAGATCCTCTTCTTTCATTTCATGCAACTCATTATGATGCATATTTCACGCATGAGTGATTAAAATCAATTTGAAGAGAGGAAACCGAAAAGTCATTTGGCGGGCGGTATCTGAATTTCAAAGAGAAAATCACATTTCGAGAAGGTTGGGTTTCTGCCCTTTCATATGACACCTCAATCAGGAAAAATGAGCAAGGAATGACAAAGTTCTGTTTGTTTAAAGTAGCCCTTACATTTTCATAATTTTAGCAAACAAATTCGTTTTCACTGGCTGCCTGCCGTAGCAAAATGCAGAATTGATAAAAGACTTAACTCCGTTTCGTTGACAATCAGCTGTGCATGAAGTTTTTCGTCTACGGTTGATTGTCAACGAAACGGAGTTAAGTCTTTTGTTAATTTCGTTTGTTGATACGGCAGGCAGCCAGTGAAAACGAATTCGTTTAATCAAATTATGGAAAGGCAAGCACTACTTTAAACAAACAGAACTTTGTTATTCCTAGCTCATTTTTACTGATTGAGGTGTCATTTGAAAGGGTAGAAACTCATCTTTCTAGAAATGTGTTTTTCTGTTAGAAATTCAGATATCGTCCGCCAAATGACTTTTTGTTTTCCTCTCTTTAAATCGATTTTAATCACTCATGCGTGAAATATGCATTATTATGAGTTGCATCAAATGAAAGAAGAGGATCTCAGCTTTCCAAATATGTGTCATTTATTAATTATAATTGTGATTAAGTTATGATACATCGATAATTCTCGGTTTCGTTTTATATGGGACGCACTGTATAAGAAGTCACCATTATTATTATTAAATGCTACTCTAAGAAAGACACACCATTGGTAGTCCATGGCATCTCATATTCAAAGCAAAAATAAAAGAACTGGGTTCGACATAAAGCCTATGACATTAAAGGAATTGAATATCTTTGTCTTAGATTCTGAAACAAAAATCTGGATTTAGCTCATGCTGCAATGATACCTTGAGGTCAGTCAGGCCAGTTAAAAACCTTTAGTCTGTCAGGAATCCAGTGAATTTTACGAACCGATCGCTTGTCTAATTATCACGGTATTTGTGACTAGAAATGGAAATTTCAGAAACCGTTTTCAGAACGGTTTTTATAACCCTTAAGTCTTTTAGGGTAAATGAAACCGGACACTCAAATATTTTTATTTTTTGAGGCACTTCATGATCATTTTGAAGGGCAATTTTTTTTTAGGACTTCAATATTACACCATATCACAGACACTGATAATACATAGGGCCATGAATCTCAGATTTAACATTGTTAAACGATGCCTTTGACGGCATTTCCATGCTTCTTTTGAAAACTAGATCATTGTTTGATCCTAAATACAAGAGACAGGACCAATATAACATACATGTGATTGAGGCTTTTTTTCTTTTAGTGAAAGACTAGAATGAAGCCATACTGTATTACAAGCACTACCACAAAAATCACCTCTAGCGCCATCTTAGGCCGGCAGAAACCCCAGGAAACCATCAAACAGAACGGTATTTACAAAAAGCCAAAAACTCTCTCTTGAAGAAATAAAACATATAAGCAAATGTGATATTACTGAACCAATATCATTTATTTATACCCATAATCCAAATAACCCGAAACTGATAATCAATATCAATATCATATACATAAGCACTTTGTCAAAGTAAAAAGGGATAAAACTAACCCTTTATAAATGCAGAAACTCAAATTTTCAACAATTGCAAACAAGGGACGCATTTAAAACATTACCCATTGCGGAAAGTGGCATACAGAAATGTAAAGACAAAAGCTGCAAAGCTTGCCCTTCCATAAAAACAAGACTAATCACATTGCCTTATCACAACAGGACATGGTGGCTCAGTGGTTAGAGCGCCCGCCTCATGTACGGGAGGTCATGGGTTTGAACCCCGACCGAGTTATACCAAAGACTTATAACAATGGGACCTTCTGCCTTGTAGCTAGGCGCTCAGCATATTAGATCGGAGAAGGGTAGTAATAACATATTATGTTATGTAGGGCCCGCTGGAAGAGCAGTTTCATAACTGAAGTGGCTACCCATGGTAAATCAAACGTTATTCTTGTTATTATTATTATTTAAAAAAAACAGGCCTTTGCAATGTCATTTCTAAAGACATTTACCTCTCGGAATTTACTTTAATGTATTATCTGCCATGGCAGAGTATAATAATATATTGGTGAAACGGGAAATACACCCCGACACAGACTTACTTTTCACATACAACAAATACGCCAAGAACAATCACATCGATTCATGTGCTGACTCTCCCTCTCTCTCTATCTCTCTCTCTCTCTCTCTCTTTCTCCTCTAATTAAATATCTTACTTTATTTTCTAATTTACAGATTAGTGATCTACAATAAAACAGATTACCTGCACTCTTAAACCTTAAAGCCCCACTGTAATACGTGTAACTATTTGTTCCCTCTATACAGCAAACAATATATAATCGGTGACCATTGGTTCGCCACAATCCTCTTTTTTATGTAAATTGAGAGCCGAGTTGATGAGATAGCCACCTGTCAGTGACCTCGCTGGGTGGTCTAATCCCTGCTTGCCAAACTAGTACAGACGGCCTTAAAAATCTTAATCCTACGATGAAGAGAGGAAAACCCAGGACAATCAAAGTCGTATATAAAACCAACCGTTAATCCATAGGACAGCTTAATAATACCGGTACCCATTTGAATACAACGGTGTAACCATCCACTTGCGTATACATACACACCTATATAAAGCCATGTAAGGCTCACGTCACCTGATGATGGTATAATAAATCGATATAAATAAATAAGTTCAAACCAAGCTTCTTGTGTCTATATATATATATGTATATGTCATATTTATGTCATTCCTACTAAAATTATTTATACATATAGAACTAAGAGCAAGCTAAATTGTTGCCAAATACTAATCGCCTATATTATATTTAATTCAATAAGGGAGTTTACAGATAGTACATGGTACAAATGACCCCAAATATCCACAGATCTTTTACACATGGAGAGGTCCCACTTTGAGCATATTAGAATAATAACTGCCAAAGTCCTAGATGTGCTTCATGAATACCTTTTGTTTGACCTCTTGAAAAGAATTTTTCCACCTGCGTATCATAGAATGTACCGTTGGTGCATAACTGAATAATGTTACATAACTTTCATGAGCGCATATCCAGTATAATTCTCTGTGGGTTTTACCTTTTTGGTACAAATGACCTTTATCTGCCCATGCGCAGATTGTATCAGTAAACTCCCTTATTCTATTAAATTCGTAAAAAATAAACCATTACAAAAAAAAACAGTATACAAATCATGCGTGTATGAACACTATTGATACAGTGTAAATGTTCAGGGTGCCCCTAAAAGCCAAGGCTTGATTAAGGGGGTCCTCAATACATACAGAAATATGCATAGAGTAAACATGAGATACAAAACGAACTTAGTTTATAAAAAAATAAAAAATAAAAATAAGCACCGTTAATCCATACGACATCTCATTATCCTGGTACCCGTTTGAATACAACTGTGTGACCATTTACCTGTGTATACATACAACTGTGTGACTGTGCGGGATCACACGAAGAACTTCTGGTACTGAGTTAAAATGCGAAATATTAATAAAAAAATCAACGTGAAATATAAAGTTACTGATGTAGATAGCCCTCTAAGACGAAGATGCCTGGTCTTGTTTTGATGCAGGTTTGGTCGCATGGTACTTCAGAAACTTTAAGAATCCGCGACGCCCTTGCTGTATGTGAAAATGCAAACGAGATTGGGATTTAAGATTATCAAATACACAATAGCAGGAAAATAGGGTAATGTAACAGGTTTGTTGACTCGGTTATCAAACGTTAGCGTTCTCATACAAGCGGTACATTGTAAAGTATTAATACATACACTTAACAACTAAATTATCAATACATACACTTAAGAACTAAATTATCCATACCCTTACCCATTTGTTGTATTTTTAAGTATGTGTAAAATTGATTTCTCTCGATTCATGTTTCGTGAGAACGGTACCTTTTATCGTGTAGCCTTGTTTTGATATGCAGCGATAAACCGCACCGGTTTTCTTTTAATGATGACGTAACGTAGAATATGCTTCACATTATTTTACGTATCTGATTTGATTTGATTATTGTTTCTTCTGCATTTCATATAATTATAAACAAATATAGAATAAGAAAAAGGAAATTTCTGACCATAAATCATATATAACCAAATAAACCAAACAATAATTATGAAGAAAGAAAAAAAAGATTCATTGTCAGAGCATCTTCATTCATCAAACTTTACACAATTATTTGTTATTACAGAAGAACTGCCATTTTAAGCAAATTGCTTGAAAATACGAGAGCCCAAAACAAATTCTCTGAAATAGATGAACAAATCTATTAAACAAAATGAATAAATACTTGAAAGCACTAATATATCTATATATATATATATATATATATATATATCTTATTATATCTTATTGCACATAGCTAAGTGAATACGTGTAGGATTTTAGATAGGATCATTTATTTGCACTTTATAAAATTTGCAGTTCTGTGCCGAGATTTTACCGCGTGCATATCCGAACTAGGATTAAGAATTATTATGGTGTTTCTAATGTTTACCTCGACTAGGAAATCAAGGTCTTCTTGCTCGGAACCGAAGTCGAAAGACTGGTAGTAGACGGTGTTGATGAGCACTGTACGCTCGATATCATCGCCCTGCAGTCATCGACAGGATGGAAGAAAATTGATATTCAAATAATAGTAGTAATAAGTATGATGATGGTGATAACGTTGGTAGACTGGAATGATCATTATGATGAGGATAATAATAATAATGTTAACAACAAAAATAACAATGATAATAGTAGTAATAATAAAAGTATTGCTAATAATAATACTAATGATAATAACATACAGAATGATAATGATAATATTAACAATAAAGGTGGCTTCTTATATAGCGCACGTGTCCGTCACGTCGTGACGCTCCTGGCGCTGCCCCGATTAAGGACCTTACTAAAAAGTAATGATAAGTATAGTAATAATAATAATAATATTGATGATAATTATAATAGTAATAATTAGAATAAGAATGATAATAAAACGATGGTTAATAATGATAATGACGAAACAAAAATTTCAAAATAATAATAATAATAATATCAAATCTGATAATGATATTAAAGCCCGTTTGTACTAGTTTGGCCAGGAGGGATTAGACCACTCAGCGTGGTCACTGACAGGTGGCTATCTCGTCACCTCAACTCTCAATTAACATGAGAAAAAGAGGTTCAAGTAGCTACAAGCAGCAAGTAGTACAGTGGGGCTTCAAATATGATAATGATATCAATAATGAAATACTACGACTTCTAACAATTACAAAAGAAAGAAAATAAGCACCTCAAGGAATGCTCGCTTGACGTTCATAAGTAGCGCCTTAAAGATACCAGTCACAAAATCAGCTGGGCTTTTGATGTTTTGCCGACCAGATCCAATGTGCTGCGTTTGGAGCCCTACGCCTTTCTTGTCAGCAAACCTCATCAATTCACCGTAGACAACCTAGCAGGTGAAAAAAATTAAAATAATTTGAAAGCTTTTTGCATTCTACTTGTGTAAGGGTTGAAGAATGTCATTGGAAAAAATAAGTGTCCTGAAAAGAGCTTTACTTCGAATTATCGGGTCATCGCTTCCGATCGTGATTATTCCGTGAATAAATGGGTATGTTTTCACAAAAGGTCGGGTAACGTACGCGACTATCCGGCCCGACGCGATGACCCGATGGTTCGAGGTAAGCCGCACGCTTAATTTGGACCGAACTTTCACGCAACATTTCGTGTAGTCCCATATACACAATTTTGTGTCTAGTGCAGATGACTTTCAGCAAGTCTAGGTCTATTCATTTGTATAATTGTTATTATCTCACAAACCTTGACTCATTCAAAACCTACCTTAAAAAAGTTTCTATGTTCATATTGCTAATACAACTGTAACTTCATTTTTAATTTAGATATGTGAATTTCAATTGTATGTAAGTTTTTTTCTAACTTGCTGTTTTTATTGCGATTGACTTGATTGGTAGTCCTAATTGTTTTTTACTCGCAGGTCCCCATGGGAGACCAACTGATGTTGAATTGGCTACCACGTTACTATCAATGAATAAATAAAAGTAATAAATAAACATCTCAGTTCGCATCACTTTCATGTGCTGTATTCACTGTTGCCCCAAAAAAGTTTGAAGATATATTTACGTGCACCTTTTTTCATGAAATGATTGTGACAATAGGGTCTATTCCTGATAGGGAGCATTATAAACTTAATTAAATAAAATGATACCAGAAATGGTGCACTGATCTACCTTGCCATCCTTGTTGGCATCTAGACGATTGAAGACTTCATCAGCTGTAAGGGCCCTGCCGAACAGGGTAAGAATATCTTCCTGGGTGAACTCGTTTTGCTAGATCATGAACGAGAGAAAGAGGAGCCAGAAAGAGGGAGAGAGGGAAGAAATTAGACCCTAGTTTAGCATTTTGAAGGGTATATATTGTGCAATGCGAACGATAACAAGTTCAGGTTATGTGGCGGGAATCAATTAAAAAACAAATGTAACTATAGACATTAAATACTTACATTGTAATAATAACATAAACAAATCGTAGGGAATGATTGCCACATAACCTAAACTTGAAGGCATGGTAATCCTCTATAAAACTTAATAATTCCTTAATACAAGTATGATGTTGGGGATGGGAGTGAAAAAGATGAATGAGAAGATGACGGGAGGAGATGGTAAATAGAACGATAAAGAGTGATAGCTGTGCTGAAGAGACAAAGAGAATTAGGCAGAAGGTAAAAGTGAGGGGTGAAAGTGCGGGAAGTACAGAATTAGAGGGAGGGAGGAGGGGATAGAGAGGAAGAGAGAGAAAGAGAGAGAAAGAGAGAGAGAGAGAGAGAGTGGGAGAGGACTGGCGCAAGCTTTGATACCTCAAGGAGAGGGACATCGTACTCTAAGAGAGTAGAAAATGAAAAGTGCTGATATTTCGTAGGAAAACTGGCGCATTCACAATTGCCTTCAAACTTCAAAGGCTTCAACAGCGCAGTTAATAACACAATCTAATAATTCCTCTGTCAAGCCAGGTACGTGCTAGAGAAGGACTGGAATCAAGCCGCTCTCCTTTGACCCCATGCTCCAAGCCGCCGAAAAGTTGACCAGGTGGTAAGATAAAAGAGCTCATGAAATTTCAAGATTTAGAATTCCTACATCAGGAAATGGTATCACAGCAACTGTTCGCTGTCCCTTTCAATGATTGCTCATCCATTATTGAATGTGTAAAGAGTAGAACAAGAGAACACAAACTTGTGTAATATCATCCTTTTTTTAACGCGAAAACACGCAATAGCCAACTTAATGTCGACAAACCTCCTTTGTGAATTCGGGCCTCTGAGTCTGCAAAGCGGTACCTTTGCCTTGTGTTTTCTGTCTTCCTGTTGTACCACTTAATTTATATTTAATTATTTATACAGTTTGGGGGCAGGCATTTGATAGGCCTTTGGCCTTTGTCCCCCACATTTTGATACTTCTGTTCTGTTGTGTTATTTGTTTGAATTGACTTTGTATTGTAAATGTTTGTTATCGTGATTTTTATCAGAATGTGAAAATAAAATAAAATGAATTGAAATTGAATAACGTATACGTACATCCTTGAAGACGTTCCGGAGCTCTTCACGAACAATCTCAGAGTCACCATCACGGTCGGTCATTCTTAGAGCATCCCAAAAGTGCGTCATAGCTTCCGTCACCTTTTCGTGTTTCTCCATGTCCATTTTTCTTTTTTGCTTCATCGCTTGATGGGCACTACAACATTGAAACGTCAAATCATCCATTTGGTTGATAATGCTGTCGATACTAACGATAATATTGTTTTATCGTATGGAGCAGAAACATGAACAATAACCAGGCTATGGAAAAGAATAACACATCATTTTAAATGTAGGTACAAGAGAATGATAAGAACATGATCGGGGTGGGCAATTTCCTGAGAAATACATTTTTTCACGTCCGGGCGGGAAATACTTGGAAATACTGTTAATTACCGGGAGGTACTGGGAAGTGCTTATATGTGTACCATTACATTTCCATTTTGAAATAGAAGACAAAGCGAAACCTTCTTTTTGCAGAAAGAACTCCGTCACTTCCTACCTGAGATGCAGGCTATAGTAATAGTCAAAAATAATATTAAAACTAATGTAGTACAGGGGATGTTTCACAAAGGTCCTAAGTTAAACTTATCTTTTAGTTAGACTTAATAATTATGGAAAGCCGTTAGCATCTTCGAACATATTTTTTTTGTTAAAGGCATAAAATGTTGATTTAAATCATTCATATTTTGTATCATCAAGAAGATAACATATGTCCTTAATGTGGAATTTAAGAAAAGTCTAACATACATAAATATTTTATTTAAGGCTACAATGGCTCTCCAAAACATTTAGGTTTAACTCAGAATTAAGTTAGACTTAGGATCTTGGTGGAACGCCCCCTTGGACTCTTACCTAACGAGTTCGGTGTCAGGTAATGGCATATTGATGGCCTGTAAATCCGGGTGGGTAGGCAATACATGTGAATCATAGTCACTATACTGTTACAAGATCGAAGAGTGAGAGAGAGAGAGAGAAGGCCCAAATGGACACTATTAGCAATCCATTAGTTTTTAATCCAACACTTCCGAAATTAAATTATAATAAGAATGTATTTTTTTAATAGATTTAAACAAATATAATTTTAGTTCACATATATTTCCCTGTAATAAAATCATAATGTATGACAAAGAAAGATCTATTCACCATTCCTTAACCGACAACAGCAACACGAGACAGTGCACTCTAGCCCCCCCCCCCCCCCGAATAGAGCTCTAGTGCTGGAATAGTTTCTTTTCTCAATGATGATCAGAAAATACCTTTCTGACTGTTGTAACTTTTTGTATTCTTCCTTTGTACCCAGGGGCAGCAGTCCCTGGGGGGGGGGGGGGGGGGGGGGGGGGGGGGGGGGGGGCGGGGGGACACGTCCACCCCTCAAAATTGGAAAAAGTGCAAAAAAAATGTATAGCAAATAATGGATAAAGGCTGCAACACACTTTTAGGCTCCGGACGGCCCAAGAGTGCAGCGTTTAGATAAATGAAAATCCAAACATCTTCTCATTCGGTAGCTACGCTCCCTCGCATAATATCCTTCAAAAAGTAAATACCGGGAAAAATGAAGTGTAAAAAGAGTATATGGCTTGTTTTATACTTTAGTTTTACTAAGGAATGTAATTTTTTTGATATAACCAAACTTTAAATACCTGTGAGGGGTAGTCACTTCCGTCACCTTCACCCCTCTCATTCATTATGCTCCCTCGCACTTGCGTATTGATGGGGGACGGAGGAGCTTGGGGAAGCTCCCCCCTCCAAAAATAAAATTCAAACGTTTATTTCTAATTCGATACCAGCGACTTACAAATATTGCCGAAATGGCGTTTTTCCATTAGCTTCCTGGATGCTCATTTGATCGTAATTTAATGCCTAAACCCCCCCCCCGAGTTTCAGGGGCTCCGCCCCCTGGATGCTTATCACACCTTAATTAAATGCCTAAAACCCCTGAGTTTAATGGGGCTCCACCCCTTGGCCCCCACCGGGGCTTTGACCCAGGACTCCACGCCAATTTACGCTCCACTTGCTTCGCTCGTTTTGCTGTACCTGATCGTAAATACTTTATCTCCCCCCCCCCCCCCACTTTGAACATGTAAAAGTGGTGGTGATGCGGATTTTTTGTTCTGCCCCCCCCCCCCCCCCCCAAAAAAAAAAAACGTGTTTGCTCATTACGCCACTGTTCCCTCGTCCCTCACATTTCGTCCCCCCCCCCCCCCCCCCATGGTCATGAAAAGAATCACCGCCCCTAGCTGTTTGTACCTATTACTTTGATATGGATGTTCAATCAAAATTGGCGTATTATATGTCAATAAATTCATCTGACTTCATTTGAATTTATAGAAACAAATTACTTACAATGATCATTCCAAATGTCTTGTCATTGAAACCTCCAAACCTCTGCTTCTTGGTGAGCAGTTTGGCCCCATCCTGTAGAGGGCGCATCCTCTTGAAGAAAGAATCTTCCGGCTTCAGTGAGAGCCACCATCCTAAGAAAGAAAATAAAATAATGTAATTCACGTTGGGTGCATACTAGATGTCGTTAATAGAGACTGTTAGATTTGCACGACGGCATAGTGGACTGCTACGTGTGACATCCTTATATTAAGGCACTGTAATGTGCCTTATAAGGACGTCACGTTTAGCATTCAACTATGTCGTCGTACAAATCTAAAAGTCCCTTTTGTCTGACTAACGACTGTGTCCGCGAATACTGCGGTCTTTGGTCAAAGGACGGTAAAATTTCCGTCCCCTCCCCCCAAAACAAAATCTATGTATTATAGATATATTGACTGCTTTGATATTCGAAGCATAGCTGTTTCTACACTGGCTCTCGGGGACGTTACATCCTGATATGACCCTGAGGCGAACGGGGCGGGCGGCGCGCCAAGGGATTGGTTATATCAGGATGTAACGTCCCCAGTATAGAAACAGCTATGCTTCGAATATTAAAGCAGTCGATATACCTTTATATTTTAGGTTAAAACATCACAGAAAATTTGAGACACATGTCTGTAAATCGATTGTTACGATCATTCGGGAATTACAGACAAAAAGCATTGTATGGTATCCGCGCTTTCTGTATTTTGGGAAATAAAAGCCGATTTTGATGCTTATCTTGAGGATTACGAAATCCTTTACCTCCTTCTCTCGCAGTTCTCCGCTGGAACTCTTTTCTTTCTTCCCTTTTCTTCGCTTTTTTTTAAATTTACCCGGTAGGCCTATGCTGCTGAATGCTCACAGTCATATAACATGCTTTGTTGTATTCGGGAGATGCTTACGAGGGATATCAAACAGATATAAAATGTCTTTCTTGGTTCTGGTAAACTATGAGCATTCAGAGACATAAATATTAACTCTCCCTCGAGGCAAATTTATATTAACTTTGACCTCGGGAAAGTTACTATTTATGCCTCTCCATCAGCTCATAGTTTTTGCTAAATCCTCGAAATCCTTGATTCAGAATGGACAGGGTAACTTCTTCGTTTTAGGGGCAATCCGCATCACAGCCTTAATACGGACCCGTACAATCAGAATCACAATGATGCTTTATTACGTATCGGTGTCAATTCATTGGTTCATATTGAAAGGTCAAGGAAGGCCACGCCCATGAAGCGTGATGCTAAAAGTGTGCGTTCTAGGTTTGCATTCTTTTTTTAAACTAGAGAAGAGACACTGAGGCAGGGGTACCCCTATAAAGCAAATACCCCCCCCCCCCCCAGAAAAAAAAAAAATCTCTTCCGGAATTCCTCGACTGTTCAGTGTTTTCTTTTTGCATCCAGAAAGACCTTTTATTTCAGGTTTTGTGTAGTAATCATGTTGGAAGCTACTTTTACTACTTGAACTTTTTATATGAATTCGCTTTCAATCAATAAGCAGTTTCGGACACCCCATCCGATCCGCCAATGTAATCACTCTGCATTTATTAGCCAATAGGGACTTTTATATTTGCACGTCGACATAGTGGGCTGCAGCTACGTGTGACGTCATTTTAAGGCACCGGCGCAGTGCCTTAAAATGACGCGCAGTGCCTTAAAATGACGTCACACGTAGCAGGCTACTATGTCGACGTGCAAATCTACAAGTCCCTATGATCTCTTACCATCAAAGCAATGGACCGGGTAATTGCATATGACGCCCCCATCAATGTACGTGTCGGTTCGGTCCATATATCTTCGCTTGACAGGAAAAAATACACCTGAGAGAGAGGGAAAGAGAGATTGAAAATCTAAACAAGCAACGTAACTTCAAATATATTTATAATTAATATTTTTTTTAATTTAATTTCTTCAAAAAAGTCAAATATGTAGTGAAACAGAAAAGGTATGTGATGTCTATTCGGAGAGTCCAAAGGTAGAGAACTATGCTTCCGAATATTTTCTGATGTCAGATTGACCATGCAGTCCTTTAAACGGTCAAGGACTATTCGTCCGCAGTATGTTTAATGAATAATTCTTGGAAATAAGATCCCATCCTGCACGCTTCGAATGTAAAAGAATAATAAGAAAAATAAAGTTGAGATTAGACCTTTATGTCTAGACGTTGCATAATGCAATTCGTATTGGTATTTTATTCCATCTCAGAATGATTATAGACGTTATTTTTTAAGGATAATACAGTTTAAGCTGTCCGGGTTTTTAAAGATAATGCTTCAAAACAAATCGACCAAGCTGTTTATTTCTTTATTCATGGTCTGTTTCTACTGTTTATCTTTTTTCATTGCCAACCCTCGAAAACGAATTTATTATGCATTTCACAGAGGAAAGTTTGCATATTGATGAAGAAAAAAAAGTTGAGATTCGACCTTTATGTCTAGACGTTGCTAATTGCATTTCGTATTGGTATTATCTCCCATCTGAGAGTGATTATAGACGTTATGTATATGGATAATAAAGATAAAGCTGTTCGGGTCTTTGAAATATAATGCTTTAAAACAAATCGAACAAGCTGTTTATTTCTTTATCCATGGTCTGTTTCTACTGTTTATCTATTTTCCTTGCCAACCCTCGAAAACGAATTTATTATGCATTTCGCAGAGGAAAGTTTGCATATTGATGAAACATATGGGCGCAGGCCAAGATTGATACCCACTCAAGTGTGAATTTGGCGCATCTTCATTGGCCTTCATTGTAGCCTGAGGACAGGATGGTAACATACAATTTATAAAAGAACATTATAATCAGATTATCCGACCCCAGAAACTTTTATCATACTGGTATTTTTCCTTTTGGAACTACGCTTGACCTTTAACTCGGATGGCGGCCATTTTTTATTTGGCCAATATGGCCAGCATGACAGCCCCAAGGAGACCTGTAATTGATACAAGCAACATCATAATCAGATTATCTGACCCCGAATACTCCCTTACTATATAAACTGTTATCATACCAGCCCTTTTCCTTTTGGAACTACACTTGACCTTTTACTTAAAGGTGGCGGCCATTTTAGATTTGACCAATATGACCAGCATGACAGCCCCAAATAAACCTCAAATCGATGAAAGAACATCATGCTCAGTTTCTCTGACCCCGAAAACCCCATAAATATATAAACTTTTATCATACTAGCCCGTTTCCTTTGTAACTACACTTGACCTTTCACTCAGATGGCGGCCATTTTGGATTTGCCTATATGGCACAACCAAAGGGTGCCCTTCTTGGCGTCCGGCAGAAATCGTAAAAGTATGGTATAATCTACCTCTGGGCCAAATTTGGTGCTTTTAGAAGAATCTGCACCAAACAACCCCTTTATAGCCCTAACAGCCCCCACTATTAGTATTATCTTCCATCTCAGAGTGATAGACATTATTTATATGGATGTCGAAGTTTAAGCTGTCGGGTCATGGAAGATAATGCTTCAAAACAAATCCAACAAGCTGTTTATTTCCTTATTCAGGGTCTGTTTCTACAGTTTATTCTATTTTTTTTGCCAACCCTCGAAAACAAATTTATTATGCATTTCACAGAAATAATTTTTCATAGGATAACTATATATATATCTACATGATGAGCCTTCTGGCGAAACAGTCTGTATAACTCGTACCAATAAAGTGTAACCTTCCAACTCCTATATCTACATGTATATGTATATTATTTGATCGGCTTATCTTAGTATTAGGCATGTTTGTCTTTTAATGGATTGTGGAAAATAAATAAATGAAATAAAATGACAACGATAATGACGCTTAACGTACAACAGCCTCATGCGTCACCTTTTGATATTGTTGAATATGAAAATGACATATTATGTAATCTGAGAACTGAAATTGCCTCCACTTGGTCCCCCGGCGTCTATATGATCATGTTATTTCGGATTATGCAATCATGCATCACAACAATATGCTGTTTAAAGGGATTGGATCGCCAGTTTTCATGTGCAGAAGGCCATAATTCGCTGACACCAGACTTGGTGGAAATACCATTAATGGGGGTACAAATTTGCACACAGCAAACCCATAGTCCAGTCAAGAATTACCCCCTAATCTCTCGGAGAGCTCGAGAGTCTTCGGGCAAATCATAGCATTACATAAGGTCCAATGGTCATAAAACTCAAGGCTAACCCTGGTGATGGACAACACCTGTTATTGGGTAAACACCCGAACGGTGTCGAATTCCCCATGAGAGCCGACTACTCAGTGACTTTAATTGTCTTTAATCTCTTTGTACAGATGGTCATAATCATTGTCCATGTCATAATAAGCTGACACACCAGACTTGGTGCAGATACCGGTGTCAATGGGTGTATACGTCTGCACACAGCGAAACCGTAGACCAATCAAGAAATGTAATATCTCCTCGTCTCTCGGGGAATCTTCGGGCGATGCAAATGTCAGATAATGACTTAACCATGCATACGGGGAAAAGACAGAGCATTACATAAAGCCTGTTTGCCATACAAATGAAGGCTAATCCTATCGATTCTTGATATCAAGAAATGATTTTCTGTTGTAAAGCAATGGTAATTTTTGATATCAGGAATTGAATTCTTGATATCAAGAAATAGGAATAAATGTTAAAACGGCTTGCCATAAATACGCAGCAATACGCGAGCCAAATACGCAAAGTTGTGACTGAGGCATAACAAAACTTGCCTGGTATAGATGTGGACATTCTGACTGCGGCTCGCATAGACATGTCTGGTGTGGTCTTCACGTGGCAGTATTCCTCCATCATCGTACTGAGGTTGGTTACCACGACACACAGTTCTTTCCCCGTCTTATCGTAAAGATCCTGTACAAATAAGAATGATATATATATATATATATATATATGTTTAAAGAGAAGGTTGAGTTCTGGGAAGAGGTGAACAATAATTTGTGAGCATTATCATTGTATTATGCGAGTGGGGAAGAACATCAGATACAACATGTTTCTTGAAAAGTATGGCTCTTCAAATGCCTTAATATTCTTAATATGGAATGTAACATCATAAAAATCCGGACAGATTTTTATTCCACATATTGGTGTAGTCCCATTTGCATCTTTCTGTGAACAGTGCTTGTAATTTACCAAGACTGGGCCAAATTTCTTATCATTTTTTTTTACTCCAGAACCTTGCAGTACATACCAATACCTTTTGTGATCGATTCCACAACGTTTCTTTCACAATGCAATCGCATGACCAGGGGGGTGTTTCACAAAGATCATAAGTTGAACTTATCTCTAAGTTTGACTTAAAAATTATGGAAAGCCATTAGCATCTTTGAAAATATTTTATAAAAGTTATTTTGAAAGGCATTAATTGTTTATTCAAATCATTCATATTGTCTATCATCAAGGAGATTTCATGTTCTGGATGTGGAATTCATAAAAAGTCTAAAATACTTGAATTTTTGCTTTGGAATATACTTCATTTTAAGACTCCAATGGCTGTCCATAATTTTTAAGTCCAACTTAGAGTTAAGTTCTACTTAGGATCTTTGTGAAACACCCCCCAGAACTCAACAAATTAGTTGCCATCGCGTTTATTTTCATTTCATTTTTATCCGCAATTACATTTGAAATAAAGAAATTTCAATCAAAACAATAATTGGGCAAATGAACCTTAATATATTCTGCTGAAAATTGGGAGGTCCTGTGAATAAGAAGAGCTTGTAAATTGTGGACCCCACAGAAAATGATAACTGAGAAAGTTCAAGTCGATAAACAAACAAAATAAGAAGGATAGAGGAGCCAAAAAAGACAGCATTCACATGAACACGTAGGCTAATGACTGGACACAATGTACAAAGGTACAAATTCCGTGAAGTGAAAAAAGAAGGAAATATGGACTGCATTTGTAATGGAGAAAGAGGAGAGAGAACGAGAGAGAGGAATTTGTTAGAATATCGCAATACGTATTCCTGGGAAACGCCAGCTAGCGTACACACACATTCACATACACACACGCGCACGAAAGCACACACACATACAGTTCAGTTCAGTTCAGTTTCAGTTTATTTTCATATTTCTTACATGTTGTATAGTACATCATTACATATAGCATGTTACATTTTGAACTCATTTTAGGATGCGTTTATACAAAAAAAAGAAAAAGAATAATACATAAGACTAAGTTGAATAAGGGAAGAAATATGATGGAGCCTAAAGAGAAAGCAATGCTTGTAGGTCATAGGCTCCGGAAGTTACAACATACGCAAGGTTAACTCTCAAAAAACGGTCAAAATCTGGGACAACTTTCACGAAACCATCATAAGTGCATTTTCGGCGACATCCCATTGAAACACGTGAATATGGTTTTACACGCGTTTGAATGAGATGGCGGGGACCTTGTACTTATGATGAAATTGGTGAAACGACACCCGGATTTACCTTGAAGGTCGCATCTGGGTTACCCATTTTCTCGGCTATGGAGTCACCAAGAAACTTGTCGATAGCTTTGCCTGGATGCCATCCCATGTGTCTGAAGAAGTTTGGTACCATACTACACCTTCCAAGTGATGCATCTGTAAAAAATGTAACATGATTAAATAATAATAATAAAAATGGTTTAATGTGTAGCATCTATATCCGTTATTCACGGTTATAAGATGATGACGTGGATCCTAATCAAATGACTGGCTGAAAGCGTACACGTGACCAGGCATTTATTTTGCCTAACGCGTAATTTGGATAATGACCGGTCACTATCCATTTCCAATGACCGGTCATTAGTAAAATCATGTTATAAAACATCATTTCATAAAACAAATCCAACATAATCTTATAAATCAAATAATACACATCATTTCGTTTGGGCATTAGTAAAATTACCCACACTCGGTACCTTCAAAACAGTCCAAACACGTTAGACTGTTCCAAAGGTACCTTGAGTGGGGAATTCTTACTAATGCCCTCACTGGTGGGAATTATTTATTTACTACTGAAATTGCCTCAGGTTGATATACTATGGGGTCACCAACAAACTGGTAAATAGCACGACCAGGTTCCTATCCCTTGTGTTTCAAGAAGGTTGTTACCATACTACAACAATGGACCTACTATATGCTACAACCCCCGAGTGTAGCATCTGTAACGAATGTAACAGGATGAATGAGAAAGATATAGACGCCTCTTAAGATATCAATGATAACAATGATGATGATAATAATAATAATTATAATAATAATAATAATGAAAATAATAATATGGGGAAAAAAAACAATAATAACTAAATCAACTTCTATAATGGCTTCTTGTGTACCATCTTTATCCGTTATTTAAGGCTACAGAAATTGCCCTAGGTTGAAAATATGATTGTGTTATAATGACTCTGAGGTATGCTCGTTAGAGATATGGAAAGGGGGCGGGCCGAGTTCCCCTACCCCTAGTTTTGTTTTATAATGGCTTCTTGTGTACCATCTTTATCCGTTATTTAAGGCTACAGAAATTGCCCTAGGTTGAAAATATGATTGTGTTATAATGACTCTGAGGTATGCTCGTTAGAGATATGGAAAGGGGGCGGGCCGAGTTCCCCTACCCCTAGTTTTGTTTTATAAAAGAGGTTTGTACTTCAAAAGCTAAGCTGTTTTTCCTTACCTAACAAATCGATGATTTGCGGGCCGTCATTGAGAATTTGGAGGAATTTTTCAGGTCCATGTCCCACGGCGAGGAAACAAGCAGTAAACGCCCCTATGCTGGCACCGCCGAATCGACGAAGCTTTTTCAAGTAACCGCGCTGTTCCATCTCCTGTAATAGTACATGGTTGTATGGTTTAAATTTATGCTGTTCCTACCAACAATACCTAATCCCTCTAAATTATATATTACTCATTTTTCTACAGCTATTGCTACTACTACAACAACTTTGACGACGATTATTATAATTATTATTATCATTATCCTTACTATCATTATCATTATTATGTATTAGCCTAATAATAATTATTATTATTATTATTACTATTTATTATAATTATTAGTATTATTGTTATTACTACCACTATTACTACTGTTACTAAATGTCCTCAATATTTGCCACTAAAGTTTTCTTTTCATTTAATCTTCTGGACTGCAGGGGAGAATAGTTTTGTCATTATTAACAAAGCTGAATAGGCTATCCAGCCATTCACTGTATTCTTGATTTGATACGTACTATCCAGTTTAAGTTATTCTAAAAATAAATATGATATAAAAACACCATATCATATCTCATCAATAGCAACTACAACTATTTCTACTCCTATGGCTGTTGCTGCTACTGCTTTTACAGTTCTATCATTTTCTGCTCCTTTTTACACTTCTATACATTTTTCTTATCGCTTTGTTATTTTGCGGACATCTTTTTCTAATTTCATTTTTTTTAATGAAATTATTTCCTTCAACAACAAAAAAAGGATGGCTTAATGACACCTTTTGCTGTTCCGACACATATGAAAATAAATGAAACCATTGCTATTACTATCACTATTCATTATACCATTATTTGTAGCTATTCTCGTACTACTAATAGAATGGTGAAGTGTGACCTCATCAAAAATCTATTTTCGGAATTTCTTCAATCGAAACATAACCAGCTTAGGAAATATAACACTAAGTACCTTTAGGACATCTATTTATTCAGATGGTCATATCTCGGCAAATACTTAACATATTCAATTGGTTTTCGGCATTCGGACATTATTTTTGATGCTCTGTCGGAACATGAAGACAAAATTGAGAAATTCTTAAAAAAATAGATTGATATGATGTCACAGCTTCGGTACTCTATATGACTCAGTAAACTGAGAACCCATTGCCTGCTGGAACCGGGTAACCCCTGTATTAAGCCTATGGGAGTGAATGAATTTAGCAGACAACATGTTAACACCAATAGACATTTTAACACCATTTCTCACAATTATGGGGCCGATATAAGCGTTTCCCTGGGCGCCGCCGCCTTCGAGAAGAAGGTTCTCAAATGGGAAGTCAAAATCTTTAAGAATCTCATCGATGTCTGCGAACTCGTCTAAAACTACGTCGTTCCCAGACTGGGTGGGTTGACGGGTGGTTGTTTTCACCGAACTAGGAAATAAATAATAACGAGATTTAAGCTGGTGAACACGAATGTTTTCCAATGTGTGACAATGAAACGTGACAATGATGATTATGGTAATTCCGCTGGTGCTAAAGATGATAAGGACGATGTTAATAATACAAGATTGTAGCTTGACAATGATGATAGTAATGTTGATTAATGGTGGTTCTAGGACACCTACCCCCTGGACCCCCCCCCCCCCCCGGATAACCACCCTAAGTGAAATACCCTGTAGGACAACTACCCCCTAGGGAAACCACCCTCTAGGACGACTACTCCCTGGGACAACTACCCCCAAACAACTACTACCCGGACAACAACAACAACACCCCCCCCCCCCCCCCCGACAAGTACCCCTTACGACGACCATCCTACACATCTTCAGACAAGTAAATGCACAAACCTTCTGGCACTGTTTGAAGTGCTTCAAAAGTATGACTGTGATATAGAATGATATTTAGCTCATTCTAAACAGAAGAACGTCCGGAAACAAGTAGTTTCATTTTACCACAGTTGTTTGCCCGATTACTGAGATTTTGGGGGTTATAGAATTGTTATTTAAAAGACATTTTTTTTTTTTACTTATGTGTATATTCATCTTATGAGAAGCAGCGTGGACGAGATTACAGCTGCACAGTGGCTCAGTGGGGACGGGGGGGGGGGTAGTGAGCAATATTTTTTATTTTTTGCCAGAAATTTGAAAATTGCGTCGACCGTTATTTCGCTCGGTGGGGGGGGGGGGGGGGGGGGGGGGGGGGGTAAGGAGCATTGATTTTTTTTTTTAACATTTTTTTTTTTACTCATTACACCCCCTCCCCCCCCCCCCCTCGAATAAAACAGTTGAGGGGGAGATTAACCCCCAAAACACAGCCCCTGCGTACGCGCCTGCAGCTGCATGGCACAATTTTAATAACAGTCTAGTGGAATGCCACATACTGTGTTTCTTTCTAGCGATATTTTTATGATTATGCATTGTAAAGGAACCATCCTGCCGTGTGAGTGAAACAGATATGAAAGTCTTTGCAGGTTAATATTTCTCGAATCTATACCTTTAATACCAAATTGAAAGAAGATGAATGGGGGCTGTCAAGGACATACGGCTAGGACCTCGATCTGGATCGCATGTGGTTTCAATGTATATTGTAAGCGTTTAACAGACCACGATATCTTTGTGTCATATCTCAACAAAGGGTATAATACCTGAATCGAGAATGAAACCTCACGAAGAATAGTATTATCTGCTTTGTAAACAACGTCGTCTGACATCGATGTCTATTGTATATGCACTTAATAATGACATGTCTAATATATATATACCGTGTAGTTTTCTACATGTTGGTAATAAGCTCTAGTAGCCATGCATGGTAGTGGGCCACGCCTTCTTTCTCTTCTTTCCTTCTCCATCTCCACTTAGTGTCTTATTCACAATTCTTCTTTGAGATTATGAATTACTTGGCTGGTGAGATTTTCTCATTGATTTCGAGTATTACCCTTCTGTGTTTTTTGTTTCTTTCTATTTTGCCACTTATTTAAAGTTTCAAGTATAAATGAAATCGTCGCAATATAACCATAACAGAAAAGTGAAATGTGAAAAATAAAACTAAACTTCAACTGAAACTAAACCTTTTAAGTACATTGAACGACACCCAGTGCCTCCAGCTATTTACAACGTTTAAGAGGACAATAGAAACGTCACACGGAGTGACGTTTCTATGTCTTTTCAAAATCTACCTAATAGTTTCACTTCTGCGTGCAACCTTCTTCTCTGTAAGCGTGTTTTTAAAAATATAATGGTGATGGTTAATTAGATAAACAATTCTTGTTATCATTGTCGTGGTTGTAGTTATCGATCACCAGCCGTAAACAGATATAAAGTGGAACCATTCAACCATGATAAATAACTGGTCTAAAAGAAAGCAGTTTTGAGCAATTCGGACAAAACAATCAATAAAGTTATTCTGATTGGATGAACCGGTATTGTCACTTTGACGTAATGCGGGACCAAATTCGCATTTGTTTCAACACCATAAAAAATGATTAAAATGTCAATTTCTCAATATTTACGACTGAGATGGGTCGTTTCCTTTTTTGGATAATCTTTAATGATGTCTATTGTGTGTAGTGTAACTGGAAGACGAGAGAAGACGCTTGTAGAGGTGTCGTGGTCGAGTGGATATGTCACCGGACTGTGGATCGCATGGTCCGTTGTTCAAGTCCCTCTACGGCTCTAATGTCCTTTGGCAAGACATTAATCTACATTTGCCACACTCGACCCAGGTGAGGTAAATTGGTACCTGGTAGAAGTATTCATTGGAGTGCATTGTGCGGTGATAACGGCTGCCGGAGCTAAAGCTATGATAATATTTTCCAAAGCTCTTTGGAAGCGCATGCGGTATGCAAGAACCGAATATTATATTATTATACTTTTAAAAATCGGTTTAAGAATGTAGCCAATGAAAAGCGTCAAAATGGATCACGTAACCGGGCATTATTGTGTTACCATAATATGTTTGTGTTTGTTGGGCCTAAGAATAAAAACCGTGTCGATGTGCTACATTAGTGCCCCTTTTGTAAGGCATTAATCCTCATTACTGTCAGTTATGACTTAAAGAGAAGGTTGAGTTCTGGGAAGAGGTTAAAAACAACTTGTGAGCGTTATCATTGTATTATGCAAGGCCCCAGAATAAAAACCGTGTCGATGTGCTATATAAGTGCCATTTTGTGAGGCATTAATCCTTAATAACTGCCAGTTATGACTTAAAGATGAAGTTGAGTTCTGGTCATGCGATTGCATTGTGAAAGAAAAGGTGTAGAATGGATCAGAAAAAACAACTTGTTAGCGTTATCATTGTATTATGCAAGGCCCCCCAATAAAAACCGTTTTGATGTGCTACACTAGTGCCCCTTTTGTTAGACATGAATCCTCATTACTGTCAGTTATGACTTAAAGAGAAGGTTGAGTTCTGGGAAGAGGTTAAAAACAACTTGTGAGCGTTATCATTGTATTATGCAAGGCCCCAGAATAAAAACCGTGTCGATGTGCTATATAAGTGCCATTTTGTGAGGCATTAATCCTTAATAACTGCCAGTTATGACTTAAAGATGAAGTTGAGTTCTGGTCATGCGATTGCATTGTGAAAGAAAAGGTGTAGAATGGATCAGAAACATTTGATCATGTAGCATGTAAGTATTGGTGTGTACTGTAAGGTTCTGGAGTCATCAAAATCATAATAAATTTGGCCTAATCTTGGTTTAGTAACAAGCACTGTACACAGAAAGATGTATGCGGGACTACATAAGTGGTATCGGGGCTACTTACCTTGATGTCCTTATTTTTATATGCTCATTACTCAGCCAGTATACATTTTCTTCAAAATTTGTTCGGCAAATGACATTTATTTGTAACCTTGAACATTCAGTGTAAGTTTCGTTTTCTTAGGTGAGAATTCATTTTTTTTTTACCAGAACTCAAGTTTGTCTTTAAAGAGAAGGTTGAGTTCTGGGAAAAGGTGAACAAATAATTGTGAGCGTTATTGTTGTATTATGCAAGTGTGGAAGAACATCAGATTCAAAATGCTTCCCGAGAAGCATGGCTTTGCAAATGCCTTAATATTCTAAATATGACATGTAACATCATAAGAATCGGGACGAGTTTTTATGCCGCATGTTCTTGTAGTCCCATAAACATTTTCTGTGTACAGTGTTTGTAACTTTTCCAGACTGGGCCACATTTCTTATGATGTTGGTGATCCCAGAACCTTGCAGTACATCCCAATACTTATATGCTAGATGATCAACCTTTTTCTGATCGATTCCACAACGCTTCTTTCACAATGTAATAGCATGACCAGAACTCCCCTTTACCTTTTAGGACGTAGGTCCCCTAATTGATAATCATTGTAGCATACACATGCTTTTGTAGTCACGCACCCCCCCCCCCCCCCTCCCCACTCCAGGAACGGAGGAGCCGCATTCACGGGCGCAAAACAAACGCTCGTGAGTTATCATTCCATAAAATCTGAGAATGTAAACTATTATTTAGGTATATTAGGGATAAATCATTGTCAAAATCATTCCATAAATAAATTGGGGTAAAACAAAATTATTCCACTTTTATGACCAACAGTGTAGATGTCGTGTTAATTAAACATGTAGGGTTTTATATATATATATATATATATATATATATATATATATAGGAGTTGGAAGGTTAAACTTTATTGGTACGAGTAATACAGACTGTTTCGCCAAAAGGCTCATCAGTAACTAAATACATAATAAAATCATGACGAAGTTAAAAACACTCATGTGCAGTCACATCCACCTCCTTCAAAGCCAGATATGCAACTCACAAAGCAAGCTTCACCCACCAAGAAAAGAGATACCAGACCGAGCTAAGCAAACACACCTGGATGCTCAGGCTGAAAGACGACGGGACACCCTACACAATATCATGGAGAATCATCCGGCACGCCCAACCATACTCACCCAGAACAAATCGCTGCAATCTCTGCCTATGGGAAAAGTACCACATCATCACTGCTGAGAAATCCACCATCCTAAACTCTAGAACCGAACTCATTTCCACATGTAAACATAGGAGACAGTTTCTACTCTCTGAGTATGGTTACCCCCCCCCCCCCCCCCCCCCGTACCACCATGACCTTTCCCCCTTACCGTTAAACCACTAAATTTTACTATTGTATTATTGCGTTCACCCTTACTTCCGTATTATTTGTGTCTCTTTTGTATTCTTGCCTGACTGCACATGAGCGTTTTTCACTTCGCCATGATTATATAATGTATTTAGTTACTGATGAGCCTTCTGGCGAAACAGTCTGTATAACTCGTACCAATAAAGTTTAACCTTCCAACTCCTATATCTACATTTGATCCTACGGTTGAGCACTGTCAGAATTTGCAGTTTTACTAAACTTGCTTTATACATATCCATGCGTGTGTGAGTTGTGCATTTGTGGGCGTGTGGATCAGCGCACGTTGATTGGGGTGTTACACAACGCCCCTCCCCCACCCCTGCCAAGCACTTTCACAAATCTGCTAGACAGGACTCGTTTTTACTTCAAGATTAAGATTGGTGTCAAAGCTAATATTCACCTGATCTGGCGAAGCATTCTACGCAATTGTCCACCTTGATAACCTTCCCCCCCCCCCCTCCCCTCCCCCACCCCTATTTTTATTACATGTTTATGTTTATGTTTTGGTGTTCAAAACTCTATCTACTATAGCATAATAGGGCCTGTAAACACTCTGATTGGAGTGTGTTTGTGCAGTATGAATATACCAAATTTGATTTAAAAGGAATGTATATTCAGCATCGACTGGTACACATTTTAAAGCGGAACAGCAACTTAAACATTATCCGCTAATGCTATAGGGATAAGCAAATTCGTCGTTGGTGAAATCCGCAGTGACACAAATTGGAATATTATTGGCAAAAGTGGACGTTAATAAGATGATTGAGGGGAACACCTAGAGTCCGCGCGGAAGGGTGGGGAGGGAAGGGGTAAAGGGACGTGCATAAATCTTAAACATATGACGGATGTAGTCGCCCCTCCCCCCCCCCCCCCCCCCTAAGTACCGCAACCAGTACACCTCGAGCTGGCCTTGTTACCACCGTAGGGGGTGGTGTAGGAGTATACATGACGTATTTATTACACAACGCCCCTCCCCCCCCCCCCCCCGCCAAGCACTTTCACAAACGTGCTAGACAAGACTCGTTTTTACTTCGGATTGGTGTCAAAGCTTATATTCACCTGATCTGGATTCTACGCAATTGTCCACCTTGAAACATCTCCCCTATTCTAATTACACACCAACCCTGCGTTTCAAACTTAATGGCCCGAATTTACAAAGGAGGTTTGTCGACAAACCTTCTTTTCTTTCGCCAAACCTCCTTTTGTTCTTTACAAACCAGGTTTGTAAAAATCGCGTAAAAACGCGTCATATGACATACGAATAACTACGAAAACCAGGGTTTGTCGACAAACCTCCTTTGTGAATTCGGGCCCAAATCATCACGTAGCTCTTTTGCGTGCCTCATTAACTCATAATGAGCATGTTTTTGGTGTTCAAAACTCCACATACTAGCTGAATTGGGCCTGTAGACACTCTACGATGTAAAAATGTTTTAATACTAGATAAGGACAACTATATACATGATAATTGGACTGATATATGACAAAAGACAAATTTCGCCCAAAATAACTTACCTTTTTTTTTCAAGCATACAATCTAAACTGTTTTGGGTTTTTATTTGAACTCATTGTTGGTCGATGTGTTTTGATTTCTTTCTTCATGCTTTTTTTCCTTCAAAGTAAATATCACTCTAGTTTCCACCTCCATTATCAGAATTACAGTACTGTCAATATTCGACCTCTTCATTAAACCTGCATATATCGCTATTTCATACAGACAATGAACAGCGTAATAATCATCGTAAAATCTGACTTAATACAAATATGATAAGATGATTAGCGCGTGTCACATTACATGACGCGAAACAGATCCCAAAAGCCCTTCTGTTGGATCCTTTCTTTTCGTTAAAACGGGTGTTCTGATTTGGCATTTCACAAAACACACGCATGCCTACACCAGGGAGGTGAGACTTAAGTCACACCTCCCTGCCTACACAAGCGCATTATGTATATATATATATATATATATATATATATACATGTATATACAACCGATAATAAGTCCGAGTGTTGTCATAAGATGACGCAATAAATAAGGATTCATACTCTAAATCGAACAGTTCTTATTAGATCACCCCCCCCCCCCCCCAGACGGTAGTAATTAAAGCATGAATCTTCTCTTCTTCATTGTACAATTTAAGAAAATGTATGTTTGTACACATGCATCATGTTTACAAAATTGATTTACTGTAGTTCATGGAACCTACACTGCAACAAAAGGGAAAAGGGAAAATCCAACCTTAACCTTTGAACTGTAGAACTCACCTCTCACCCTGTTCATCGATGACGTTGTAAGGTCGATGTTTGCCATCTTCGTGGGTCGACATAGACGACCCCATTTTGAATATCGACGATGTTTTGATGTCACCAGTGAAATCTGTTGAGAATTAAGTGTTCTGTGTGTACTTCTACCTCTGTCGCTAGCTTTCACTATAATAACCCGTAAACGTACTCTAGTCCCGGTATGTGCTTGACTGCGGGTGCATTCGACGCATACGCTGAGAGGCAGTGTGGTGTGGGAGAGAGTTTGTGTGTGTGCGGGTGCGGGAGGGGTGGGGGAGTTACAGACCCATGGTTAACAGATGAATAAGAGTCTATTATTGATATTAGCTTAGTTGTTATGCTCTATCAGGCATGATTTTCTCCACTACTTAGAGGTGTCGTGGTCGAGTGGATACGTCGCCGGACTGCGATCACCAGGTCCGTGGTTCGAGTCCCGCCGTGGTACTGATGTCCTTTGGCAAGACATTGATCTACATTTGCCACACTCCACTCAGGTTAAGAAAATGGGGACCTGGAATGTATTCCTTGAAACGCAGAGCGCGTGACAGCTGCTAAAGCTAGGGTAATTGTGCTGCATTACTGTACAGCACCTATAGGGACCTATAGGGAATTAGAAATAGTTTACGAGAGAAAACTGTAAATTTGGCTGTAACATAATGATTTTAAACTTCATTAAAAAACGTATCCTATCCATTTCCAAGGAATAGAAGGTAAAGAATATGTATTTTTCAAAGTTTGGCAAGTCCATATGTATGTCCACCAGTGTCCACTTCTTTAATAATCAATCTAATATCACACAAATTGTCATAATTTGGGGTTCACTGCTCCTCTAAATGGTCTTAAATCACCATAGGCTTTTTCTGAAACTATACTCGCGAAAAAAATCTGAAGAAATGAAAAAGTTTTTTTTGTTTGTGATGATGCGTGATTACATAATCAACATTGTCGCGTCTAATGAATGTCCTCATCAACATACACATGAGGGACTTTTAGATTTGCACGACGAGAACGTGGACTGCCACGTATGACATCCTTTTAAGGCAATTAGACGTCCTTTTAAGGCACTGACAATGCCCGGCAGTGCCTTAAAAGGACGTCACATTGCATTAAAAAGATGTCACACGTGGCAGTCCACGTTCTCGTCGTGCAAATCTAAAAGTCCCTATTATCAGGTTGCGGTGGTCATGATGTGATCAAAGGAAGACTCTCAGTATTAGTCCATCTGTAGTAGGGTCCATGATTAAACCTTCACAGCAACAGCACCGTTATATTCCGTATCTCGATTTTGAGTTGTGTTTCATTTAGAACCTACGATATATCAATGAGTTTTGACATTTCTACAATATGACTGAGGCCTTGACCTTTGATCGCTTTATAAGCATTCACAATACTGTATACTATTCTTTGATGTATTGGGAGCCAGTGCAGATCTCTCACAGACAAAGACTAAGTATGAAATCGTAGTGAATAGAACATTTTTTGGTTAAATAATTGTGATACGGATCAAACATCGCCATGGTTGTTTGTGGGGGTAAAGGTGTGACATTCCCTATACATTTAAATTAAATTGGATAAAGGTGAATGCGGTGAAGCTGCTGTCGCAAAAGAGTAAAAATGAAGAAGAAAAAAAATCAATGAATGAATAAATGGCCAGATGAATGAATATATAGAAATGATGATAAGAAATCAAATATAAAAAGCAAATTGTTAATAAAAAAGGGAGTCACAGAAAGCCTGCAACTAACATTTCGAAAGAATAACGTGATCATAATAAATGATCAGAGTCATTCTGGGAGAGTCAAGGATAGACAAAACAATTGCTGGCATAGGCCAGAAATAGCGCGCGCCTTTTACAGCTGTTTAAGCGGTGCCTTTGTGAGACAGCGACATGTGAAATTTACCTCTGTAAAGAAACCGAAAATGCGCACAGCCAGTGAATCTACAACGGTGGAGTTATGCGCGCAGTAAGCGTGGGAACGCCGTGTGCAAGATTTTCTCACTTTCGACTTTATCTCCGCTCGGAGAAGTCCTTTTTCGAGAAGGCTCTACAATTGAGTATACAGATAAGTCTAAATAACGAGAGGAAATCCCAGTATATCGAAAGATGGGAAAGCGGAAATCAAGCCAGAGCCGGGTGGCCCGCCAACCAAAGATTGCTAGGCCTAGACAGTCTACAAGATTAAGGCAGTCTAGCAACGACACCACTCAAGACGTACTCGGCACCTCAACTCCCCGGCGGGCGGGGCGGCCAAAACGGGCGAGGCACTCGAGCGGCAACCCCAACAGTGGACGCTCAGCCACTACCAGCATAAACCCGGCTCCGGAGACTGACGGACCACAATACAGTGGAAACGAGACAACTGGAGCGAACCAGTCATCAAGCCAGCCGCCTTCACATGCACAGCCAATGCAAGGTGAGGTAGACGTAGCTATGCAATCACATTTACCAGAAATATCACAATTTAGTGAAACAACAAGACATAGATTTAACAATCTTGGAAGCGAGAGGGAAAGCAACTTGGTGGTTTCCTTCCCCTCGATTGTACCAAACACCGGTAGCCGATACGCTGGCTTTCAATTACAAATTACACACAACGAGAGTGACACTAGGCCTAGAGCTAGTCATAATTTGAGGGATAATGAAGCCCATCCTCCCACACGGGCAAGCAGTGTCGGGCAATCGATTCAGTCAGGCGCTATTGCCAGGGGCGGATACAAGACCGCCCCCAAACCCAATAGGGATCGTGGGCAACCAAGCGGGAATGGGCCACACCCCGGGGGTCGAGCACAATAAAGTTCACACCCAATATGAATAAGGGAAGGGCGCCATTTCGGGCACAAAACTTTCGTGGCGGAGAATGCTATGAATTTAATTACCGGTCAGGGCAATGCTCTAGATAGGCATGCCGCTTTACACACGCATGTACCATTTGTGGTAACAAAGGGCATGGGAAAATCCACTGCACTGGAGTCCAACGGTTAAATTTTAATACAATAAAAAGTTGAACACGACACAAAGTATACAATGTGCAGATCAATTATGTGAAGTGCTCATGTTAATAACCAGAATGGGACTGGAGGATCAACCAGGAGTTACTATCCTGATTAGGCTCCCCCAATCATTAATATTGTCGTAACCCCCATCGCTGCTAGGTTTTACATGTAACACAGAGGAACGATTATTCCTTCCTTTTTCCTTTTAATGGAAACCTACTATCACATATTTTCATAGTAAATTATAAGTGGGAGAATAAGTAGCCCACGTGTATGATGATATGAATATGAATATAGAACACATTACTTTGGGGAGTTTTTCCATCCTGTTTCAGAGACAACCGGCGACAGGATCTGGATCGTAGGCGACAGCTTGGTCAGACGTGCCAAGCAGAGGGCGAACATGCTCAACCACCAAGATTTGGGAAGAGCAAGAGGGACGGTCCAATGGCACGGTCAGGGAGGAGCGACGTTACAAGACCTTCCGCGCCTGGTGGAGAATAGGTTGAGATACAACCAACGAGCACCTGCGCTAGTAATCGTGCATTTAGGAACAAATAACTTGGGCCTGAATGATGCCTGCCAATCAAGGGTGTCGATTTGTATCCGTGGTTGGGGGGGATGATAGGTGCCAAAATATTTTCGGCAATGGATCAAAGCAACCAAAGTGGTAGAAGCGTGTGGCAAGTTGCACCCCTCCCAAGCGCGTAGCCAGGATTTAATTTAAGGGGGGGCGGTAGTTAGCACACGAAGCGCGGTTCCTAGGGGGTTGGGTGCAGGGAGGGGGAGTCCCCCCCCCCCCCGCAAAGCGAGGAAGCTTTGACGTTTCACTAAATTATTAGAGAAAGAAGACGATTCGTTGGACCGTTCTCGACTCTTAATCCTTGTTTGAATTAAATTCTCCTTCCTCCGCGCGTAGCGCGGTAGCTCTGACGTTTCATTAGATTATTAAAGAAAGAAGACGATTCTATGTACCATTCTCGACTCTTATTCCTTGTTTGAATCAAGCTCCCCTTCCCCCGCGCGTAGCGCGGAAGCTCTGACGTTTCATTAGATTATTAAAGAAAGAAGACGATTCGATGTACCATTCTCGACTCTTAATCCTTGTTTGAATCAAGTTCCCCTTCCCCCGCGCGTAGCGCGGAAGCTCTGACGTTTCATTAGATTATTAAAGAAAGAAGACGATTCTATGTACCATTCTCGACTCTTAATCCTTATCTGAATTCATTTTTACCCAATCCTGCGCGAAGCGCGGAAGCTTTCACATTTTATTACATTATTAGAGAAAGAAGACGATTTGTTGTATCGTGTCCTTCATGAATTCAGTTTCCCCCCTACCGCGCGAAGCGCGGAAGCTTTAATGTTTCAATAAATTATTACTCTTTATCCTTGTCTGTATTCACTTTCGCCCATTCCGCGCGTAGCGCGGAAGCTTTCACGTTTTATTAAATTATTAGTAAAAGAAGACGATTAGTTGTATCGTGTACTTTGACGTTTCATTTGATTATTACTCTTAATCCACGTCTGAATTCAGTTGCCCCCCTAACAGCTTTGCCCTGTTCGCTAAATTATTAGAGAAAGAAGACGATTCATTGTACTGTTCTCTATATTAATCCTTGTCTGAATTCAGTTTCCCAACTGAAAATAAGTTGTGACATAATAATCTTTCTCCAAAAATGAAAAATGTTTTAGGAAATATCAGGAAATAAAATGAGTGAAAAAAATAAAAATAAAGATACAATGACGTGAATTTTAAAAGGGTGAACGGAAACAACATAACAACTAGTGAACTATTTTATAAGTCATACTAATGTCCGAAAATCTTTCTCTTTGTCTCCGATCTCATCACGAAATCGTCACAGAGTTCATCTATGTTTACACTGTCCAGGATTGTCTGATGTGCATTGCAGATTGCTACTTTTGTGCTTCGCGCTTAACATTTAGCTCGTTGCTTTTGATGCTGCGTCTTTGCATTTGGCGCACTGCATTTCTATGATATGCTGTTGATTGAACAAATTGAATAAATTCATCAATTCCTGATGAAGCCGTATGAGCGAGAATTCAATTTATTCTTGTCTCATATACGGTTGTCTTATTAACTTCGTATATAATGTATGTATTATGAAAATGAGATAGCAAAATGTGTATATTGATGGTCATCTTGCGAGTAATAACAATTAACTACTCTCATCGGACTCTCATCATTAATTTTTCTCTTCATTTAAAAAATAATTTTATGGTGAATTATTGGGGGGGATGATTGTACAGGCCATCCCCCCCCCCACCTGAAATATTGGGGGGATATATCCCCCCCATCCCCCCCGGGATCGACACCCATGCTGCCAATGCAGAATCGCGATCGATATGGCTCTTCAAATTTTACGGACAGCCATGCCCCGTACGCACATCGCCTGGTCGACCATCATCCCACGTCTATTCTATCATAGCAGTCGTGGTTATCGAACATTACAAGACGCCATGGATGGGGTCAGGAAATCGCTCAACAAGTACGCGAGGAGATTAATAGCCCGGCTGCCGAATGCGTCAGTTATTGCTCATTAGTTGGATCCATCCAATTACAGTTTATTTTTTAAGAGATGGGGTACACCTGTCCGACAGAGGATCCGACGCTTTCATCGATAATTTCCAAGAAGGAATAGACTCGGGCTTGGGTATATATGAATAGAATATTTATATTCACGGAAACGGGACAATAACACTAATTCGGCTATTAATGAGCCTTGTGGAATTTCGGACAGACTGGGTTCGATGTGATAATGGAATTATTATAACACAAGAAGTTGAGGAATAGCGTGTTGTAACGTGAGTTACATATTCAGATATATACGCCTTCATTTTTGGGATTCACATTAAATTTGAAATTTATTTAATTGCTGATAAATTAGAACCATATTTAAATTAATGATTGATTTTGATGTACTAGTATACATCATACATAATTGTTAAGCTAGCAGAGGGTGGAGTCAGAGTCACTCGGTCGCACAGTAGCTTCAGAACTACAAAGTGGGCCATAGGGGAATTTTCCCCGACAAAGGAAATATAATTATTTTGCTCGTTAAATTAAGCCACAATGGCAATATTGTCGGGTTTTCGCCTCTATCACTGTCTGGCTAGCAGCAAGAATAATAATATAAGATTACAATATGTAACGGATTGAATCCATGAGAAATACATGAAGTATGATACATGTCATATTAATATTTAGTGAAACAGCATGGGTCCATAGATGGTATTAGGAAGCAACCATGGCAAACCACGCCCAACCCCCCCCCCCCCCCCACAAAAAAAAAAAAAAAAAAAAAAAAAAAAAAATGTGGGTGGAGGATTTCTTTTACTCGTGATTATTCCATGGTTGGTTCCGATTATCACCACTTCTTATATATGCGCTGGTATAGTAGCACCGGGATAACATTGGGGATACTGCAGGAGATACTATCCTGTCGGTGGGTCACGTAAACCCCAGGTATCTGGGGTGATCGGAGGGAGTTACTACCCTTCCGCTGATCGCGTGACTCGAGACCCCACAAATATAGTGTTTCCATAACTATGTTAGTTATGCATTGATGATTTTGTGAGTATTGAAAAGTTGTGGGGATCATCCGTAGGAGATACTATCCTACCGGCAGGTCACGTAAACCCCAGGGACCTGGGGTGATCGGAGGGAATTACTATCCTTCCGCTGATCGCGTGACTCGAGATCCCACAAATATAGTGTTTCCATAACTATGTTAGTTATGCATTGATGATTTTGTGAGTATTGAAAAGTTGTGGGGATCATCCGTAGGAGATACTATCCTACCGGCAGGTCACGTAAACCCCAGGGACCTGGGGTGATCGGAAGGAGTTACTATCCCTCCGCTGATCACGTGACCGGAGATCCCTACAATTTTGAGTTTCACTCATGGTACATGTACCCTTAAGATTGTTGAATCATATCACGTTTATACATTATTGTCGAATTGTTTATGGTGGACCCTCTTTATTGTGGTTATAAGATTTTGTTATTGCTTTTATGCATGTTACTTGTTTTACTTTGACTTTCCTACTTTACATGTTTTGAGGAAAAGGACTCCTAGTTTCGGAGCGGAATAAATGTCGAGCAAACTGCAAATCAGTCTAAAGTTGTCTTCTTCCTAGAATTTAATCTTCGTCGGAAACAGTACAAGAAAAAAACGTCGTTTCAAAAGCTACTGCTGACCAAACCTTGCAAAGGAATTAACTATCCGTGTTGCCATTGTGGTGCTCTAGGATTCTAAGAATTCATCCATAGTCCGGTGATGTGTCCACTAGACCAAGACACCTCCACACAAACGGGTATATTGTGTCCAAAGTAACATTTCCATTCGATTCTTGTGTCAGACGTTTGTAAATATAGGTTTTTCATATACGACGCAGTACAATGAATCAGATAAAACCACCGCGGTATTTGTTTATTAAAAGTAAATTAAAGGTAACTGCTCGCAAACGAGGTCCGGCGCGTTGACATTTTAATAAAGCATACGTACTGCAGCCTAAGGATGTCAATACCCTGGCCAACTTTGACCCGCCAACAACTTTCTATTTCTACTCTACCAAACTTGCTAGAGTTCGCAATAGCTAGGACAAAACAACAATCCTTGGGCAAAACGTGTAGGGTCAGGAATACAATCTTAAAATTGAAAAGCGTGCCTGAGGGTATCATCGTAATGACAATAATAGGGTTGAACTCCAATAGCACACAAGCCCTAAAAATTGTTGTCATTTATCCTACAACGTCACCATTAAAGTGAATATGTATAAACAGGACGCCTTTGTCATGTTTGTGGAGGAATTATAAATCTTCGCCTGAGGAATAATATTTGTTCGCAGACCGTATAGTTCAATTCACTTCAATTTTTATTTCAAGATATAAAAATCAAAGTATACAAGGTAACGGTAAATTTTAACTATATCTACAAAGGTTATATGCGGGGCTTTCCATTAAGGTTGAACTTTATACATACACTGAATTTTACATGGCCTCAACCTAAGCTTTGAGAGTTCAGGCCTGGACTACAACACAGAAAGATAATCTATGTAGATAGTCCCAAAAGTAAATCAATAAATATATGTATTTTTAAATTATATTTGTATTATTATCATTATTAATATAATTATTATTATTATCATCATCGTCAAAATCATCATATTTTTTGATAACCAGTAGGCCTAACACATATCAGAAGCAAAAAGGGGTCAGACAACCATGCCTTATTGATTATAAAAACTAGGAAAATTTCAACAAAAGATTTGAATTCATCAGTTAACCATGGGTGTTCGATTACCAGGGACCTATGGTTAACAGATGAATTAAAGTCTATTGTTGAAAATTTTCTGGTTGTTATAATCAATCAGGCATGGTTTTCTGACCCCCTTTTGGTTTTGATATGGATTACTGGTAATCACAGAGAAGTTGTACACGTTAAATGCCTTCATCCTCATTTTGGCGACATTTCATCCAAATTCCTGATTCAACAGGTGGAGCCCGACGCCGCTCACAGTGGTCCAGGGAGGAGCCAAAGTGCGCCATAACTCATTTTTGGTCATTTATTTGTTTAAATTTTGTTCTTGCCCAGTTGAAAGATAATAAATTGAAGAATACGTCAGTAAAATATAAAATTCCGGTATGCACAATAAGGGTATAAATTGTTCCTGCAAACAGCAAAATCCTACATATTCACAGTTTTAGAGCAAAAGTTACTTATTTCATAAATCTTTCAATTTAACATGAAGTTTTTAGGTTAATGATATGCAATTGCTCTCACATCATTCGGATAATTCATTTGACGGCATGAATGGCTTAAAACGGATAGAAATAAAAATGTTCATAATATATAATAGGGTAATTTACTGAAAATGGACTAATTATCCGAGTTTTCTGTTTACTCCTGAACAAAAGACCAGAACTCATCCCCAATTGCCGCTATGAAAACAAATTCTATCTCTGCAACTTCAAAAGAGACTGATATACTTCAATAAATATTCATGTAGTAGCACCTTGGAGGAGTCCATTTTGTGAAACCCCCTTCCTATAGGCTTTAATCTTTAATAGGGTACTTTAATTGGTTTGCTTACAATAATTATGGTTTGAATGGAAGAAGAAAATGAGACTTAAATTGCAAAATTTCTAAGAAACGTCCACAATATATATGTTAAGCCTATCCATAAGCCTACACGTACATGGCTAATTCGGGTTCAACCACCCCCCCCCCCCCCCCCCCCCCCTCCTCACCAAAGACTAATAAGGCAATTATGATGAGGTCACCTATCGAATATTATTGGAACTAAAATGACAGACACGTGAAGAGCATAAGCCTCGTGGTAGATCAATGCTAATTAAGGGATTCATGTTTTATGAGCATCCCAGAGAATTACGTACCGAACTCGTCAATATTTTTCTCAAAATGATATTGAAACTAATCGTACATTTCGCGGCCCATGGAATAGCAACAAACTGACTTGTGATGGCGCTTTACGGTAATTAAAAAAGATATGACAGGTTCGGAGAAGTGACAACTCGCTTGTCGCGGAAGTTGTCACTCATCTTGGCAAAGACGGTTTTGTGAAACACTTAGCTGACAAGTTGCGCGACAGTGGCGAGATGTCGTTGATCTTGTAGTTATGACGGTTTCGAAAAACGGCCCCCTTATGATCGCTTGCAAGGCGTGAAACTCGGAGTAGCAACCATGTTCCATTATGTTCTATATTAGTATATACAAAAATATAATATATAAAAAAATAAATTGAAACCGGTCAAAGTGGACAAGAGAACTCTTTTAAGAATTTTTATTTCGATTGTTTAAATTATTTGTTTGTATTTCGCCTTGACGCAAGATTATCAACATTCAAGTTTTCATTCTAAATAATTGTATGTGTATGTGTGTGGAATTCATGTTAATAATGTAATATTTCGGATACTACATTTTAACAAGTTGGTAGATCTCGTTAATTATCGATTTATGGAACGCCATGCAACCGATTGAGTGTGAACCTCCTCATCAAGTAAGTTTCGTATTCGCTCTAGTGTTATGACCCCGGCACGTGACGTATTATGTACGTTGTTAAATTCGTCATGAATGCGCCTAACCTTTATGGAAAAACATTTCATCCCTCATATTTCTTTCAATCTCTTTATTTAATGCCTTTGAAAGTAGCTGGTATGTGTCGTGTTGGAGTAAAGGAATATCTGGAATTCGATCCTTAAAAAAAAAACATAGTATATGTCAGGATATGCTCTTCTCCTTCTCCCTTGATTTTCCCTCTCTTTCTATCGCTCTCTCCCTCCCTCTCCCCAACTGTCTTTCTCCCTACTCTCCTCTCACCCACATTTCTCTCCTGCACTCCCCTCTCTCTCTCTCTCTCTCTCTCTCTCTCTCTCTCTCTCTCTTTCTCTCCCTCTCTCTCTATCTCTCTCTCCCTCCCTCTCCCCAATTATCTTTCTCCCTACTCTCATCTCACCCCATTTCTCTCCCGCACTCCCCCCCCCCTCTATCTCTCTCTCTCTCTCTCTCTCTCTCTCTTTCTCTCCACGAGATCTTCCCTCTCTCTTTATCTCTCTCTCCCCCCCCCTAATTCTCTTTCTCCCAACTCTCCTCTTTCTCTCTCTCTCTCTCTCTCTCTCTTTCTTTCTCTCCTTGAGATCTTTCCTCATACACTCTTTCCCGTCCGCTCGCACTCTTTCTTTCCCTCTATATCACCACAAACTCTTTGTCATGTGATTATTCGATTATTTTAACCCTTCAGTACTACATCCAGTCAATTATAGCACTACACTACAACTCCTATACATGCTTTTTAGTAATTATTATTTGACTTTTATTTGTGATCAAGTTTCACTTTATTTATCAATAAATTTGACACACGCGCAAATCAAATCTAATATCTGATAAATACGATATCAAAGATATCCGTCAACATTGTAAATCTCCCTACGAAATATAGACCTATGAACATCAACGACCTGTTGCATAATAATAATATAGTGTAGGGTATTCGAATTGTCCCGGAGTTGATTTTTTGTAAGTCTTTGCAATTGTCTTAGGTACAATACATACACTTTTATTCATCAAGATCCAAAAGACTTTCGAAAATTGAACTGGCGCCAATTTCAAAAGCCTTGTCAATCACCCTCCGAAATATAGGCCTACGAACATTACATTGACCTGTTGCATATTGATATACTGCAGAGTATTCGAATTTCCCCGGAGTTAATTTTTCGAAAGTTTTTGCGATTTTCTTAGGTAAAATACATCTACCCATTCATCAAGAACCAAAAGATTTTCGAAAGTTGAACTGGAGCCACATTCAGTAGCCTTGTTAAACCCATTATGATACGTACAAACATTACAAGGACGTGTTGCACAAACCTATACAGACGAGTATTGACACCGTCCTGAAGTTGATTTTCCGAATGCCTTTGCAATCGTGCTAATATCAAATGTACACGGAACGGTAAATGTTACATGTATATGTACAGTATGTATAATATACAGGACAATATTGATGTAGAAAAGTGTCGTAGTCGAGTGGTTTAAGCACTTGACTTGAAATTCAAAGGTCGTGGTTCGGTCCCCGATACGGCACTAATGTCCTTTGGCAAGGCATTAATCTTCATTTGCCACACTCGACCCAGGGCAGGTAAATGGGTAATTGGCAAGAATTCATTCCTTGAAATGCTGGAGCGCTGTAATGGCAGCTAGGCTAAAGCCGGGGTTAATTAATGCGCCTCTGAGTAGAACTTCTAGATGGACGGCGCTATAGAATTGCCTATAATTATTATCAATAAGTGTACACAAAACGGTTAATTTTGTAAAGGTGTGTAATGGGAGAATAAACATAAGGATTAAACCTGAATTACGAGTCCTAACGCGATCTCATTGGCCCGAATTCACAAAGGAGGTTTGTCGACAAATCGAGGTTTATGTACGTCATATGACGCGTTTTGTACAAACCTGGTTTGTAAAAACGCGTCAAAAAGCGTCATATGACGCACGAAAACCAAGGCTTGTCGACAATCCTCCTTTGTGAATTCGGGCTATTAAGTTTCATATCTGCTTTATAATTTTACATCATGATTTCATGACGGGACTGAAGTGATACTCCATGTTTTTGCACGCTACAGTGTTAATTAATTAATTAAGGCGCAAAGGCATTCAGGGATTTCTTCCTACCGGCTACCCATTTACTAACGTAGATTAATATCTTACCAAAGAGCATAAGTGCCGCAGTGGGACTCAAACCGCAAACCATTTTAATTTCCCCTTTGGACATACACAATCATAAAAACAAATAGTGCTTACAATTATAAAGTGAGGACTTTGGACAAAGGATCTTATCATGCCTGCACATTGCCCAGGAGGCATCATTTGCCTGACATAGAATTTCGTCAGCGACTCGAGTTGCGAGAGTAATGCTTTAAAGATGAAGTTGAGTTCTGATCATGCGATTGCATTGTGAAAGAAACGGTGTGGAATCGACCAGAAAATGTGGATCATCTAGCATATGAGAATTTGTGTGTATTGCAAGGTTCTGGAAATTTGGCAAAATCTTGGTAATGTTACAAACACTGTACACAGAAAGATGTATATGGGACTACACAAACACGCGGAGTAAAAATCCTACCCGGAGTTTTACGATGTTACATGACATATTTAGAATATGAAGGCATTTGAAGAGCCATGCTTTTCAGGGAACATGTCTTATCTGATGTTCTTTCACACTTGCATAATAAGAATGATAACGCTCACAAATTATTTTTCACCTCTTCCCAGAACTCAACCTTCTCTTTAACAGAAATCGAACGTAGAGTGCAAACTGGTTTAGTTTACTGGCATATGCATCAATCGCTATTACAAGCTTGATAAAAGCAGGCAATTGTAATGGATATTGATTTATTGATTTCTACATCATGTATATCGTCTTTTTTTCATGCACTTGATACATTTTCGATTGATACATTTGTTTTCAAAGTCTGCTTGTGACATTGTATAGAAAAGGTAAGAATTGATTTTGTTTACGCCTAATGCATGAGGCAATCATATTGAAGCATCGTGTGCAACGGGTTATAGGGCTCTTTTTCCTTCGTTCTTCTTTTGAGACAGTGTATACTTGCAACATGATATATCATGACGGCATATTATGCCGTGTACGTCATTGATTGTTCAGTAGTTGTGGTCATGTTGTCCTCGTTGCCAGTCGTTCTGGATCTGCAAACGGATCGAATCATCCGCACGACACTCTCACGAAAAACGCGGTCCATTTGACAGTAGATGAAAGGATTAATTGCTGAGCTGGTGATATAGAGCAGAAAACTAACATGGCTGATGACGCCGTTCAAAGCAAAGTCATTGGAAACCACCAAGCACAAGCGCCTTACACCGTAGGGTGTATGACAGATGAGGAACGCAATGACGACGCAAACAATAAGCCTTGACGCTCTGATTTGACGGAAGGCTGCGTCTCGACTTTCAGAAGATGTTGCTGTTCCCTGTCCGACGCATTGGATGGCGGTTATGCGACGCGATTGCTTTACTGCGATGCGTAAAATTTGAATGTTGAACATGACTACAGCAATATTACCAGATATGATCATGCAGAAGATAAAAATATCGTTAGTATCCGTTGTTGTCGTTGGGAGAATCCGAACATTCGTACAATAAAAAGCTGGAATAGTTGGTTTAACGCTTTCGGTTACAATCAGTTCTATTGCGAACAGCGCGGATGTTAGCCAGCTGAGTAAAGCCAACATAACGATACGCTGTGGTGTCATGAGAGCATTATACCGCAGCGGCTTCAAGACGGCCAAGTAACGGTCGAACGTGATGATCACCATATGAAACATGGAATCACTGGCGCACATGTACACAACGCTAGTGAAGTACACGTCCCATTTTGCCGAGCAGGTGATATCGTTTGTGACAACCCTGCGATAGAGCTCAAGAGGAATCGCGATTGTTCCGGTGATAACATCGGTAATGGCCAAGCTGGTTAGGAGATAGTAAGACGGTTTCTTTAGCGCTCTTTGAGTAAAAACTGCCGCTATTACCATCACATTTCCAGCTAGGAGGACGATGATGGAAGGAATGCCGATGCCGAGATACACAACGGTTCTCCCGTTAAATGTGTTTAATTGAAACGTGGTAGTATTGAGTAACGTGTAGTAGATAGCCATGATTTAGGAATCCAAGGTTTGAGGTAAATGGTTCAAAAATCAAAACGTTTATAGAACAGGCAAACAGTACATGGCTTCATGGATGAACATGAGATATTCTGGGAGACAGCTCCGAATCCAGACAATTTGCTGGAATACCTTTCTTCCTACTGGTCAAAAGATTCTCATCATGGAATCTAAAGAAGCAGAGATGTATGACATCCGACTCGGGCAATTAGCAAATTACCAACCGCAGTGGACCTAGTTTCTCCTATAATTGATTGCAGTCCACTGCATTAATCGCCGTCGTGTATAGCTACAGCGCGAGTACATCATTTACAAATTATGGAAACTCGAATTGAAATGTCATCCTTTTTCTATCATCTCATATCTCAAATTTTCTCCTTTTTCCATTCTTCAATTTCCTTTCATTGACTTCTTCAATTGACTTTTTCTTAAATAAAGAGGTTGTGTATGCCTTCCTCGCTGTTGTAAATCACACGTTCTTCCTCGTACGATCAATACGATAAAAAAAAAAAAAAATTAGAAATCAATTCCAGTGCACTTTAAACAACCTAATGTAATGCTCTAGTTATAAACAGGATAGCGTTCGCACATTTATATTGGTGATGGACAATCCATTGATTTTGCAGCAGTTTGCAATCGTGGTTATGATGATCTTCCATCTCCGGTCTCTACCGTAAACCTTTAGAAATAGCGGATCTAAGTTGTGCACATGCGTTCACTTTATAATTGCTGGGCACATGATGAATGAAATGTGACACAGGTAAATTGTTTACGTGACATAGTACAGATGGGCTTAAGTCAGGGTAATAATATTTGCAACTTAAGCATCACCTGGCATGAAATATAAATGAAGCTATTATTAATATTATTCTTGTTTTTATTATTATTGTTATTACAATTAAATATCCTTTGGCAAGGTATTAATCTATATTTACCACACTCCACCGAGCTGTGGTAAATCGGTATCTGGCATGAATTAATTCTTTACAATACTAAAGCGCCATAATGGCAGCAATGATGAAGCCGGGGTTGTAATTGTAGACCGCCAGAAATTGTGAAATCTAACATCCATGAACGCAATAAAAGGACCCATGTTATAATGAATATAAATCATTGATATAAACCAGCGAAGAAGAACTGCAATCACTTAGTTTGCAACAATACTATTTCTTTGAATTCGTTGTTATATGTCCTAAGATGTCAGAACTCTGAATGCTTCCGACGCACAAATAATGATGTAGTTTTTCATATTTCTTGATTTTTTTTACAGAAGTTAATAATAATAATAATAGCTAGTTCTTATATAGCGCTTTTCAGGACCGAAGGCCCTCTCAAAGCGCTTTACACATATATATATTATTACCCCGGTCATAGGATTCAGGCTTACCCGCACACAGTGTATGCACATTTTCCACTCCCTGGGGAGCATTCCAGTAATGAAAAACACCCAAACATGTCCTACAACGAATAATAAGAGAGAAGAAATATCTAAATAATTGATACTGACCTGTTTCTCCCTGCTATTACAATATTGATCAAATATCGAAGCCAGCTGGCCTTGTACATCTCTTCCATTGACATTATCTAAAGAGTAGGGGCACACTATAATTGTCTTAGACAAAACGAGATGTATACCAGCAAAGATAGCCACTTCCAAATTAGGACGAATAAACAAAATGTACTTGATAACATTTTGAAGGCTGTGCAATAGATGCAAATATTGTTTGAGTAAGTGACTTTTGATCAGAGGTGAAAATCAATTAGGGGAATGCAGGTGTAATATATGTGGCAGACGGAAATGCATAAATTAAAAAATAACCCCGATGTAAAAAAATGAATAGGAATGCCTTGAAATTCTTTGATAAAGAGATAAACGAATATTATTCACGTTGCATACTTTTTTCTACAGCTCCAACATCTTGCTAAGAAAGCAAGAGATCATAAAAACCTTCCGAATATCTACCCCTCAATAATCTAGACAATATTGATATATAAGAAGAATTTTGTTTTAATGGAGTAGAACCTTCATTTAAAAAGGAGGAAATGCGCCGTGTTAGGTTTACTTTACAGGAAGTACCGTTTTTTAATGAATTTTTACAGCCATTGCTTTACAAATCCACGAATCCATTGCGTCAGGTTACCATTATTCATACAGACACCCACGTTAACCTTGGCCTCACTGTTGAATGGCTGCACGAACCTCTGTGTTCGTGACAAAAACAGGAAATACATGATAGTTTCCAATTTCCAGTCAAAAGATATTACTTAACCCTAAACGATTTGAATTGATGAAGAGAATTGAGGGATTCTGGTTCGTCTAGTCTTCAAAGTAATGTCTGTTTAGGACCAGGAGGATGTTATCCCTTATGATTTCACACAGATTACCGCCCTTCTACCTTCAGACAGTAAGATCATGACGTCATCCTGTTCTGAGCATGCGCAAGAATAAGCTTCATGTTTGTCTGTGCGGGGAGGGCAATCGATATCCATTAATTAATGCATTCATTCACTAGATTTATTCAATTTTCAACATATAAAAGTTACAAACACAACTCATTGTACTACATGAAAATAGCATAAGCAGAGAAGACAAGAATAAATAATGCACATGTATATTATAAATGTCTCTATGTAATGATTATATTTCAACAAAATTATTTAAGTTATTAATTATTTGATAGACAGAGGAAAAAGCGAAATGCATAGTGATTTGGGTAACCACATTTATTTTCCATTCCTGATTTTTCCCTCACTTGTTTACAGGCTGTTATTTCTATCATTTCTCTCTCCAATTGCCCCCAATCATAGCACACAGTATGGATTTATGGCATTACAAATTCATGTTATAATGATAGGGAAATCATTGTGAAATCACAATACCGTGAGTACCATCAACATTTATCAGTGGTGTTGAAAAGAGGGAGAGGGTGGCGGATGTGCGAAGAGAGAGCTTGAGACGAAAAAAGGTCTTGGGCAGAATATCATACAACCTCCTATCACGCTCTCGGGATTGTCTGTCCTTGTCATTTTTTTCATATCATCCTTTTGAATAGTTTTGAATAGATCAGTTTCAATAGGGGTTTTTCTGCATCTATTAGCTTACACCTAGAAAAAGTGTTCATTAACGTTTACGTGTACCCTACAAAAAGGACAGCTGCTGTGAGGATGGCTTTTAGGCTTTTGGGCGAAGAGATTTTACCGATTATCTTCATCTTTTTAGGTGAGTTTGTTTCAGTTTTAAAGCCCCACTGCACTACTTATAGCTACTTGCGCCCTCTATATATCAAACAATGCATAATCGGTGCCTGTTGGTCCCCCATGATCCCCTTTTTCTTTTGTTAATTGAGAGCTGATTTCATGAGATAACCACCTGTCACTGACCTTGCAGGGAGGTCTGATCCCCCCTGGCCAAACTAGTGCAGATGGGATTTAACGATGACAAGACTCTATGTCACATGATAAGAACACGACTGAATTTTTTTCTCGAAAAGTGAAGTAGGAAGGCAATTTTACTATCCTATTGTAAACCCCATAGAAATCATATTCGGGTTACGAAATGCGTCATTGTCACGCTCGAACATTTCAATAGGTGACGCACAAGCCCTTTGAAATCGCTAGTTGGCATCGTGTTGTTATGCCTTTTGGATGAATAATGTGTTTTGCAATAAAATGTTTTCATGTCTACATGTAATAAAAATGGATAACTATGAATAAAACTAAATTGAATAGAAAATGGAACAAATCTATGAAATCTTTTAAATAACCAAGGTATTTCTGCCAGGTACTTGCTGTAATTCTCCCTATATGCTTAGTTATTTTCATCATCAATGAATGGACTTTGCATTCGGAGGATTAAGCCCCTGATCAATGTTTCCAACAGCCATTTTGCGTTTGGTATAGAAAAACACTTTTAGGGAAACATAGAAATGCTGCAATTCGTGGGATATGATGTCGTCAAATGATCGTTTTGATATTGGAATGTATCACCGAGGGCTTCGTTAAGTACTTTTTATAGTCATGTTTATGTTAGAGTATGTTGCGCTATATGTTGCACTCAATTTTGCTCTCTCTTCGACAGGAAATTCATATTGACATATTTTATATGAATGTTTCTGCTTTATATCAGTTTGTTGCTACATTACTCAGGAATCTTCTAGACAAATTTGGAGTTGGAAATGTTCAAGATGAAGCAGCTAGTATGTAGGACAGTTTGTCATGAAAATACAGGCTTGGTCAACTTCTTGAACCTCCATTTTACAACATGCATGCATGAATGACCAGTCACCTATTGTTGGACAGATTAGAAACTTCCTTTGTTTTGGTCTTACCAACCAGATCACTCAGATCTGCCTCGCAAAATCTGCTAGTAATAAATAGAAGCCGAACCAAAACTTTCGGTGACAGGTCATTTGAATGTGCTGCACCAACCCTTTGGAACTCTCTTCCTAGCACTCTACGTGCTCAATCAGACAAAGACATGTTCCAGAAAGAGCTCAAGACATATTTGTTTAACATTTCCTTTTAATTTTGTACTGGTTCCAAAGGGTTGGTGCAGCACATACCATCTTTGTAATCATATTTATGTTGTTGTATAATTATAATCATTTTCAAATATTACATGTATCACCTTTAATAGAAGCTATTTTCGATTTGTCTAATGTATAACGTATGCCTACTTGTAAGTTTTGATTATAATTATATGTAATTATTTCTATATATGTCTTTATTTCTATTGTCTTCTACATTTGTAAAGCGCATTGGTATTACCTTCGGTAATTAAATGCGCTATATAAGAGCTAACTATTATTATTATTATTATAGAGGTTTAGTTGACTTGACACGCAACGGTCGTGGTTTCTATCCCCGACACGGCACTTATGTCCTTCGGCAAGGCTTCGATCTACATTTGTCACTTCATACCCTAGAGAAAATAATGACCTGGTGGGACGACGAAAGCCTTTTTTGTTAATATGCCCCCACGGTGACCACATTGTAGGAATGCTCCCCAAGGAGTGGAGATGGTGCACCCTTTGCGTGGATGAATCCACTGACCTGGTTTTGTAAAGCGTTTATAGGAGGAATTTCCTATTAAGCGCTATAGATTAATATTATAATTATAATTTTCACCATCATTGTTTATACTATCATTATTATTTTTTAAAACTGTCTGCATAATCCTTGTCGGTATTTTGTATAAAAGACCACTTCTGTTCGCTTATTGTTCGAACTATTTACTTTTTAATAAGCAATTTAGAATGTTTTGGAAAATTAAAAGGGCGTCTTATATCACTGGAGAGGTTCATCTGATTCGTGATGTAACGTTGAAAATCATCGTGCTACTGCTATCCACTAGCTGTGATTAAGTTCAGACGAACTTCCTTGACAGTTACTGAAATCTTAACAACACAGGTAATATTTTACCGACTGCGGATAAAACATTCTCATTATAAGATCCTCACCACCACCTTGATTATCATCTTCATTATCACTACCATCATCATCATCACCATCATCATCATCACTACCATCATGATCATGAACATCTTCAATACCATCATGATAATGATCATTTTTATTATCATCACCATTATCATCATCGTATTATCAGCCACATCAACATCAGTATCACCCTCATGATCATAATCATCATTATCGTCATTCTCATTGTCATCATAATCAACATCACCATCATTATCATTATCGTCATCCTCATCATCAACACAATCATCATCATAATCAATATCATTACCATCATCATCATCATCATCAATATCACTCCATCATCATCATCATCATCATCACTACCGTAATCAACAACATCATCGTATCATCAGCCACATCATCCGATCATCATAACCATCATGATCACAATCATCTGTATTATTGAATTGAATTTGAATTTATTTCATTCTCCATTAAAAATTACATTGATACGAATGATACAAAATTATTCATGAACAAATTTAGAAACGAAATGGGGAACTACATAAATAAAGCCCTTAGCATTCATAGCATAATATAATACAAAGAGAAACAAAAACAAAGATTTAAAAAAAAACATTAATCAAAAAGAAAACAAAAAATAAAAAACCTATAACACAAATATAAACTTAAGATAAGTATTCTATACATATTTGAGCTAAAGAAACTGCTTCATTTTTTTTTTGAAGAAATTAACTGACTTGCAATCAGAAACATCTTTGGGGATGGAGTTCCAAATCCCAGGGAAATTATGTCGTATCCTCATTATCGTCATCCTCAACATCATCATTTTCATCATCATTATCGTTATCATCATCATCATCTTCAACATCATCATAATTACCATCATCGTCTCGCCTTTGTCATCATTGTCTTTTCTTAATTTACTTAGTTGCTCGAGTGGTAGCGGGTAACCTGCGTTCTGAACAATGTCAAATCAAGTGTGGCTCGATAGCATTGGACAATGGTGACATCATTGCCTTGGAACCCAGAGCCAAAGCTACTGCAGATATTCCGTGGTTGCAAGGTATTCTTGGATTGGACAAAGTATCGACGATTTTTGTCTGTTTTATTCCTGGTACGTAGTATATATTCCGTTTTGTTGTATATATATACAGTGCGTCCTAGAAAAAACGAAACCGAGAAGTATCGATGTTTTATCATAACTTAATCACAACCATAATTAATGAATGACACATATTTGAAAAGCTTAGAGTCTCCTCTTTCAGTTGATGCTTCTCAGATGATGCATATTTCACGCATGAGCGATTAAAAGCAATTTGAAGGAAGGAAACCAAAAAGACATTTGGCGGGCGGTATCTTAATTTCGAAGAAAAATTCACATTTCTAAAAAGTTGAGTTTCTGCCCCTTCATATGACACCTCAATCAGGAAAAATGAGCGAGGAATAACAAAGTTCTGTTTGTTTAAAGTAGCCCTTACATTTTCATAATTTTAACAAACGAATTCGTTTTCACTGGGTGCCTGCCGTAGCAAAAAGCAGATTTGACAAAAGACTTAACTCCGTTTCGTTGACAATCAGCCATGCATGAAGACTCTCGTCTACGGCTGATTGTCAACGAAACGGAGTTAAGTCTTTTGTTAATTTCGTTTATTGATACGGCGGGCAGCCAGTGAAAACAAATTGTTTAATAAAATTATGGAAATGCAAGCACTACTTTAAACAAACAGAACTTTGTCATTCCTCGCTCATTTTTCCTGATTGAGGTGCATTATGAAAGGGCAGAAACTCAACTTTTTAGAAATGTAAATTTTTCTTCGAAATTCAGATACCACCCGCCAAATGTCTTTTTGGTTTACTTCCTTCAAATTACTTTTAATCACTCATGCATGAAATATGCATCATCTGAGTAGCATCACATGAAAGAGGAGACTCTAAGCTTTCCAAATATGTATCATTCATTAATTATAGTTGTGATTAAGTTATGATAGAACATCGATACTTCTCGGTTTCGTTTTTTCTGGGACGCACTGTAGATGTCCTGTTAATACAACATGCAGGGTTATATATATTTATATAATATGTGTGTGCGATAAAGAAGAGAAGATTCATGTTATCCAACAGCTTTTATTAGGGACTTTTAGATTCGCACGAAGACAATGGGGATTGCTACGATCGACGTCCTTTTAATTCACTGCCTTGAATGGACGTCACACGTATCAGTCCACGCAAATCTAAAAGTCCCTACTATGTTATGTATTGATAATACACCTTTATCTTTGGTAAATACGGTTAAGATTCCTGGTGTCACAATTCAAATGACCCTAGAACTAATTTTCGAAGTACATTACGTCATATCTACGTCGATAATTTATGACCGAATAAAGACCGTTGGATTTAAAGCATGAGTCTTCTCTTTTTTATCATTTATTGCGTCGTATTATACTAACAAATGGACTTATGATTGTAGATATATGTATTTATATATATATATATATATATATAAACGTATAAACATTACAAAAATGCAGTGGCTTGATGGTGACTTGACAGTAACACCACTGAGTAAAAGTGTGAAATTAGGAAGGGCACTCTATTGGAATCTCTTTGTTCTGCAAATGAATCCTTTATATTTTAGACATTTCGTAAATTTAATTTGTTGGTTTTCTTTGGAGGTAACCACGATGGACACAAAATAATTTGTATAATGAAACAGCAATATGTTTAGTCAGTTTTTCTCTACGAGTCAAAAGAGATGGCAGTTCTAGTCTTGCTACTGCCATGTCATATGAACTGTACGTTTATCCACAAATAATTCTACATGCTCTTATTATGTATACTTTCTATATCATTAACCTGTCTGATAGCCAAACTTAAAGCAAAAGGACGTACCGTGGCAAAGAACTCCAAAAGTATGACCTATTCGGTTAACAGTTCACAATCAGGTAGGTTGTAAGTTTTTATTCTACACAGCATGAAGAACTTTCTATTGATCTTATTCATAATTTCAGTTACATGAGTATTCCACTTTAAGGTATAGACCAGTTTTGGAAACGCCTCTCTCTCAAAAAAAGGAAATGGAAGCTCGCATTACCAATCATGTGAAAGAATATACGTGATGATACAAATTTTGCCGGGAAACCTCCTACTAATTGATATATTTGGTGAATTATTATATCTATCCGAACTAGATAGATATCGCGTAGTCCCATATACATCTTTCTGCGTACAAGTACTTGTAACTTTACCAAGACTGGGCCAAATTTCTTATCATTTTGATGATTCCAGAACCTTGCAGTACACAGCAATACTTATATGCTAGATGATCAATCTTTTATGATCAATTCCACAACGTTTCTTTCATAATGCAATCGCATCACCAGAACTGGTCTATACCTTTAAGGTCATTTGAATTGTGACACCAGGAATCTTAACCGTATTTACCTAAGGTAAAGGTGTATTATCAATATATAACATAGGTTGTTGTATAGTTTGGTCAGAAAATGAAAATGACATCGAGGAACATTTTAATACATTTAATTTCATTTTATTTTATAAAGTCCATGATTCGAGCAATTTATATATGCCTTTTGATTGGGATGTTTATGTACTTGTTCTACATTCTAATAGTGTCAAATTATCTGCGTATTTAAAATATGATACAGACAAATCTCTACAAGCACAGGCCTATGTGCCATATTAAAGCGTACATCCGAAAGTATTCAACACAGATCCTAATTCAACCAGTCAACCTTTCATTGTTGAGTTACGAAAAAAACACAAATTTACAAACAGTGTTAATACCAGTAATTCAGTTGATAAGTATGTATAATATTCATATACATATTTATATTATTCATGTTATTATTATGATTTAGTCATCCTACTTCTGCCATTACTATTTATATCGTCATTAACATGGGTATTATTAGCATAATTATTATTGTTATTAATATCATCATTATTATTATTAATGTTTTCATTATTATCATCATCTTCATTATCATTATCATCAACAATAATAATATTAACATGTACGTAGCTGTCAGTATGAAGCATTAGCATGTTTATTGTAATTTCAAGGTATCAATTATACAAATTTGTTTTAAAAAAAAAACATTTCAACTCACTATTTACCAACACGAAATTTAAAAAAAAAAGAAGTAAGAAACACTGTTTAACTACAGCCGAAAGCACAAACCCCCGATATGCCGATGTTAAATGTTTTAATTCTATTAACCTATTCTTCTGTCATTAGAAGAAGATGATGATGCTGCGATGACAACACCGAGCGCGGGCTCTTGCGCTCAATCCTGGTTCTATTTTGAAGGCAGTTGCTACGGCTATTTTCGGGACCCAGTCAACTTTAAAAGCGCCTTAAAAGTCTGCCGGACGGTAGAAAATGGAACAGCGGACTTGGTTTCAATACACAGTGAGGCTGAGAATGCATTCGTCTACAACCTGTGGTTGACTGAGGTGAGTGCAGACCAAACAAATAATATGATTTTTTTTGTATCCGCAAAAAAAGTTCTCATATATATATATATATATCAGTTTCAGTTTATTTATTTAACCATAAAAAATTTAAAAATAAAAAAGTAACATAGTAAACATAATACGGTAAAGGACACCCTTAGAAGCAAATTGCTTGTGGTGGGGCCTTAAAAAGAAAAACAAACTACACATAAATTATACAGTTTAAAAACTTTAAAATAACATGATACAAACACACATGCATGCTCACACATATACATACACACATACATTCAAAATATCCTCCTCTGCTCAAACTTGTTTACATAAATCATTAAATAATAACTGTGTACATCGTACTTTAAATCGAGATAGAGTTGTACTTTCCTTAATATCATTACTCAAATTATTCCATTCCTTAATGCCATTTAAATAGAAAGAATTTTGTGCATTTGTCGTACGAACTTTAAATAAATGTAAATCGTTCTTCTGACGAGTAGAATACGAGTGAATATCACTATTAATAACAAAGTTTATATAAGGAATTTCTGGCAATAGGCGATTTTGAAATCTGAACATAAATATGCGAGTATTAAATTGAATCAATTCAAAAATTGGGACTCCGTGTGTTTTAACAAAAAGTGGCCGTGATGGGGCTAAATAATCAGATTTTGTAATAATACGCACGGCTCGTTTCTGTAACAAATAAATCTTAGCCATATAATTATGATGCATAAGTATTTCCCCAAATAATATAACAATAATTTACATGTGGAAAAATCATACTATTATACAACATTAGCAAAATATTTGATGGTAAAACATGCTTTAGCTTTGACAAAACTCCAATACTTCGAGATAATTTCAACGAAATGCAATCAATATGAGATTTCCAACTAAGTGATTCATCAATCATAATACCAAGAAACTGAACACATTCTTTCCTTTTTATAATATTTACATCAATTTGTATAGGCAATAAATCACTAGGGATCTTCCGATTTCGAGAATGAAATATTACATAATTTGTTTTATCATAATTGAGAAATAATTTATTACATTTAAACCAATTATCCAATTTTATCAATTCATTATTCATAATATCAACTAAAGTAAATACACTACTGTGTGATGTAATAACTGAAGTATCATCTGCAAAGAGTGTAAAATTTAATACATTTGAAGATTGTTTAATATCATTTATATAAATTAAAAACAAAAGGGCCCCTAGAACTGATCATTGAGGAACACCACATATTACATCCCTTTTAGTCGAACAGACATATACCAATATTTAGACATAGAAATGCATTTCGAGATACACATCAGTGAGGGCATTAGTAAGAATTACCCACACAAGGTACCTTTGGAACAGTCTAGCACGCCCGAGGCGATAGCCGACGGTGTTTGGACTGTTTCGAAGGTACCGAGTGTGGGTATTTTTTAGTAATGCCCGAACAAAATGATGTGTATTTTTTGTTTTATAACATGATTTTACTAATCACCGGTCATAAGCATTTAGCAATGACCGGTGATTAGTAAAATTACGTGTTTAGCAAAATAAATGCCTGGTCACGTGAACGCGCTCTCAACCAATCATTTGATAAGGATCCGCTTCATCATCTTTTAAAATAATACGTCACATTTTCGTATGCTATAACACAGAGCTATGTGATTATGCGTATTTAAAGACCTTTGTTGCGTGATGTTGCCATTCATTTACAAGCGCTTAACCGCGTCATTTTTGAACGAGCCTCAATTATTTTCACCTGTGGTTTTTCTTCATTATTCGATATTCTTTTAACAGGATAGCCACATCAGTTCTTTTGAACATACTGTTATTCTTAAAGGAACCGAACACTTATTATGTTCGGGAGTGTGGATAGTAAAACATTTTTTTTATTTGTTTTATTTTTTAATGGGGGATAATCAAAACAAAAAACATCCGTTGGATATTTGAGACGACTGATAGACAAAATGGATGAAGAACTTCAATTTGAGACACCTGCTGTTAAATTTTGCAGGAAGAATATCTCGGTCAGTTACTGTGGATCGGATACTACCAACATGAAGCTTTGGATCCGTTTACCTGGACTGACGGAACACCGGAAGACTATACTTCCTGGGAGCCCACGCAGCCAGACAACAATGGAGGAAACGAGGACTGTGTCGCCTTCTGGCGCCAGAGTGCCGCTAATGACGCAGACAAACCCTGGAACGACGTTTTCTGTAGTTCAGTTACGGCCCCGTTCGTATGTAAGAAAGCTCCATAAAGGCTTGTACATATATTACCAGCGTTAAAATAAGAGCTAAACTAAGGTCTTTTGGGAATGCACTGTTAATAAGATTCAACAATAATATTTAATATTTAGCTTTTATATAGCGCTTAATACAATGTCTATAAGCGCTTTACAAATATACTATTACCCCGGTCATTGGGTTCAGTGCTTGCCCGCACTCACTGTGCACAATCTCCGCTCCCTAGGAAGCATATCAGCCAGGCGTTTATACTTGACGCTCAAAAACTGCTTGACCAACAATGACGATATAAAGATGAGAAACAATTTCCAATGTTAACGTATGACTTAAGGAAGAAAGAGGATCTTTCTGTTTTCTATTCTCTTCTTTCCATTTCCATTACAGCGCATAGTTAATATGAAACATTTTTATTATCATATTTATAATTATTATTATCAATATTATTATTGTTACATTTATCATAAGTATTATTATTATTAAAGAATAGATGGCTAATGTATCTACAGCCGATGTTCAAAGACGTACTTTTTACAAACTTTAACATCAATGGTCCTATTTGCAATATCTAGACTAGCTTAGCCCAACGCATATTATACGATCTTTCTGCAATCCAATTTGCGATGGATTGCAATCATATTAGAATAACATATATAAATTTAAACTATTGAAATACTTTTTATGACGTCAATACGATTCTAAGCCGATTTTGGGACTCCTTCCTCAAAAATGCTTGAAATCTCTGTAAAATGTTCTATGAATAATCATTATTCACTGAGATTTTAGAAGTCTGGAAATTTATATCAAACGCTAAATTGCGAATTGTTATTAAATCGGATTCAATCGGAACGTGTAGAGTGCGGTGGGTTTTAAGTGTATGCTCTTATATTTGCTTCATAGATCAAGACAGAGCTAGAGTAACAACGTTGACACATAGATGACTGAACTGCCCGTATGCGTTTATTTTGCTTGTCTAAAACTGAATAATAGAATGATAATATTGCTTCAATGAAAACTCATGAATCCCAAATTGTGTTGTGTATTTGTCATGTCTGTACCTGACTCTGAGAATCCTATTTGGTTTTGGATAGTAAGTCTTTTTTATATTCTGTTTTCATTATTTTTTTTCTATTTCTGTTTTATTGTTTTGTTATTCTGTATGTATATCATAATATATATCATATCATCTTTGCTTTTAAAAAAGGATTTTTTTTTTTAAAGAAAAAAGTACAATACCGGTTTAGTGCGCAATTGGGTTTTATTTACATCTAAATTTATATACTTTCGCGATACTTCACCGTGGAAACAATCAATAAATGCAATGGCATGTTTATATTTAAAGAGAAGGTTGAGTAATGGGGAAAGGTGAAACAATGGTCAATTAGGCTGGGATGGTGAGCGTTTATATGAGTTCGTTGATAACGCCATCTTGGGTAGTTTCACAATGAGAAGGTGCTGTTGCATTTTCCGACGCAATCGAATGAAATTCATACAAGAACGTTAACACGTAACACGGGCAGGTTTCTTCAATGATGTCTTCTAGGTGAGGCTTACCTCACCATTTGAAGTCGGGTTGTTCTCCCCCCTAGAAAATCTGTTCACGACTGAACTGAGCATGCGCCATGCGCATTCCCTGAATACGCGGTCAACCCGGCAGTAAATCAACGGGTTAACCGCGGAACTGATTAGATAAAGAACAAACGAGATTTCGTTCAAAGCGCTGTTCAGAACGACGCTATCAGAAACGGCAAAGCACAGGTGCATGACGCCGATGGGTGTGTGGCAAATGATGAAAGCGGTCACGACGCAAATGATTACTTTACACGCTTTCATCTTTCTCGCTGCTTCCTCACGGCTTTCTGACACGCCGTTTGCGTTGTGTAAAGCGTGTTCAACGTTGGCGATCCGTCGAAGTTGCCTAATAGCGGTGCGCAGGATGATTGCGTTTAAGATGACCATGGCGATACCGGATGTTGTAGTAGTTATGAATATGAAGATATCAAACAGAACCGTGTAAAGATCCGGACGGTATCGAATCCCTAGACAGTTAACCGACGGAAACGTTTCTTTGTTATGGTAGAGTACGACCTGACCTATAACCGATGCGATAGATAGTATCCATCCTACCAGCACTACGATTGCTATGCGTTTCTGCGTAACCAATGCGATATACCGGAGCGGTTTTACTATGGCGATGTATCGATCAAACGTAACCATTACAATGTGTAGCATCGAGTCAAATCCACAAATATATGTCATTCCCAATAAATAGACTTCCCACCTCGCCGAGCAGGTTATATCGTTCACATTTGTCCGACGATAAATCTCCAATGGTATCGCGATAATGCTAGTTAGAAGATCAGTTACAGCCAGGCTTGTAAGAATGAAATAAGTCGGCTTCTTTAAACTGTTGTTCGTAAAAACCGTTGCTATGACAATTGAGTTACCAATCCAAAGGATAATAATCATGGGGAGGCAGAAGCTGAAGTAGAAAATTTTCTTTCCAGGATAATCGTATAGTAGAAATTTTGTCTGATTTAAAAGGGTAAAGTATTCCATCTTGACCTGCAGTTAATCGTTTGAGTAGTTCCAGAATTATGACTTAGAAAATCGCATTTTTGTAATCACGAAACTTGAGTAAATTAACCAACACGCTATATTCTAGGGTACACCGACAGGCAATGTTTTCTCTGTGTATCCGAAACTCTGGCAGGCTTTGAATATTTTAAATTCCAAATGAATTTATACCGAATTCAAAAGTAAATGTCTGCAGAAATAACATTCTGCAGAAATAACATGAATTCGCTCCCTGCCATGAAACCTTTATATACTAGTGATGGCTTTTGATTTGTCTGCAACGAATGAACTCACCCCATTTCTGAAATATTCGATGCTGATTTTGTCCTACCTGAACGTCACATAAAAAAATTACGTCTCGCTCTTAAGACACAAATTACGTTAGGGGTATGTTAATGGCTAAGTTGTATGGTTGCGTGTTCAAAGGGCCACAAAAGAAAGACCTTGGCGTTGAAAAGTAAAGGAAATATATTCATCCCTCTTTTCTAGGAGGCTTTCCCCTTTGTTACCTCTTTTTCATTCCTGTTTTCGAGGGTTCATAAAACATGAGTTAAGCTAGTTACAAAAGCAAGGTTGAAATCATCATAATGTCTTTTGACATTTGAGGATGTTCGTAGACATGTTTTCTTTTGGGGGGATGTGAGTCAAGTGTGGAGGTAAAAAATGGTATGCATCCTTCTTTTCTTTCTCTTTGTTACCTCTTCTTCCATATCTGTTTTCTAGGGTTGATAAAGCACGAGTCTATTTTTTTAGAGCAAGGTTGAAATCATAATAATGTATTCTTTTAAATGTGAGGTAGTTCGTAGACTTGGTTTATTTGATTTGGGAATAAGTTACTTTAGCTCGTCGATGAACTTGATAGATACTCGACTTTAAAAGACTTGAATGTCTGTTATGATACATTTGTGTAATTCTTTCATTTTAGTTTATTAACATATTGTAATAGAATAGAATCTCTTTACACATTTAAAGTGAATATATGGATAGAGTATAGGCCTACATGTTCATTTTTATTTAAATTGTAATGATTTTTTTATTAAACATGATTCATGAGGTCTCATGAAAGATGAGGTTGTAAAACAGTTATCTTAACATCACATTTCATTGCTAGATATTCGTCTGATTAACTTGTGACAATCCAAGAAAATAGTCTTATGATAATGTTTAAATGATTGCTTATTGGACGATAGGGAATGGTGAATTTTCATTATTTTAGTATTCGTTTAAAAATTATTAAACGTTGATTCAGAGTATCGCGGACTCAAAGGCTTTATGAGAGTTTCTCTTTTACGAAAGGTGTTAACAGAAAGAAGTTATTTTTTCCCTACATTTGGACTAAAGTGTTTAATACATGTAGCGAGGCTTCATGTGATTGAAAAAAAAAATACAGGCCATTAAATAAAAATTAGAACTTCGAAATAAGTAGCACGATTCTGAATATTTTTGTCATTAACATTTCTTGCTCAGAGAGAGAGAGAAAGAGAGAGAAAAGAGAAAGGGGGACAAGGACACAACCTGGTCGAAACACGTCAGATCGAGACAATCCTTCGTGATACTGAGAGTTGTTACGGGGAGAGAAAAAAAAACATGAAAACTGGGGAGAGAATGATGAGCAGGAGGAGAAAGAGAGAGAAAGAGAGAGAATTATTCATACAAAAGTGAAAAGCAGACATGACGTAGTCTAGAATTTGGACGATTTGATTGATGAACAATCTCCACCAACGTAATACGATCTTCCTCTACTTTCTGCAACCCGAAGATTTTGCGTGATCCTCAAAATTTGACGCCGTATTCGTGGATCACGCCATCTTCGGCTCACGCCATGTAGGGGATGGGATCGAGAGATCGCGAAATTGTAAAATAACACTGTCCAGATTTTGGACTAAATACATTGACGTGGCAGAGACATAGAATTAAATAGAGAGTGCAAGCGAAAGGTAATAAAATGGATGGGCGTGGTTTGTAGTGCAATGAAAGTAGCGAAAGGAGTTTGTTAACAAAAGTGTGCGTGTAAGATGTGCATATGTAGATGTGTAGGTGTAGGGTGTACGTACGTGAACGGAGTTTTCATAAAACGTGTTATCAATAACAACTGCAACATATATCTATGACAAATCTACTCCTAGCCAATGAAAGCTGGATCATTCGATAAATGAGACCGGACGCCGCTTGTAAATTGCATAACTGTTTTATTCAATCTGTAATCAAAAAGAAGATACAGATAGAAAATCCGGTGTTAGCATTCAGATATTCAGTCATAGAGTTACACACAAGATATTTCATTGAATGGTTCACTGTATGTCTTGCCAAAAATCTCAACCAAAAATTAACTCCATGATGATCAGAGCACAAGCATGTGCATATACATGCAACGCCTTAATCCAATAGCTTGTCACATACACCTGTCAAAGTGACTTTCACAACTGACCTAAATAATTATGCGCAGAAGCAAACATGACTTCCTTTGCATTCAATCCACCTTGCTAAATAACTGTTGCTGATTTTCAAACTCAGCCAAAATGAGAATTTATCAAACTTGTAAATCTCCTTTCCTTTTGATACAACCAAATGACCAAATTATTCTTTAGAAATTTGCATACAATTTATGCGCATTCATTAAGTGTTTTCTTTTATGAATTTATACAAATAGCATGGCATTCTTTAATTTGCCAAGACTAAACCTTTTAATTCATACACTTGCATAAATTGCCTGTTATACGTACATGTTTACTTTCTCCAAATAAACCAAATTCTTTGTTCATATGAGCAACCAAAGTTCAATATGCATGCAGTATTTTTACAAACTAAATATCAGGTCCTAGACACTTCACTTTGTGAATGACCCTAATAGCAGTGACCTACTTTTTGCAAGCCAGATTTCATGCATGGCCTGGTGAAATTAACTCTTACTCTTAAAACCAATCTTGGTTTTCATCATTTTTATGTAAATAAGCTATAATCAAATATCTCACTCCATTTACACTCACTTCTAACTATATCTGCGCAATACTTTGTGTCTCTGCGTTAAATTACAATTTCCACTGAATTTACGGCTTTTCGAAATAAACAACAACTTTCACTTGACCGATAGACGTAAAGTCTTAACAGTGCGCACAATGCCCTATTTGAAACTGTACGCACATACCAAATTAATCTGACACGTTGACACAAAATCTTGCACAGTTTATATCTCAACATTGAATTAATCTACACATCTTTATCCTTCATTAAACAAGTATTGAGTATTTCATGATTTAAACTTACTCTATGGGCGGCGGTAAACTCTACGTAAAAGGACAAATTTGGGGACTTTCCGTCCCACCGGAATACTCGTACTTTGACTTTCTCTGGAACGTAATGTGTCTGCAAAAAAAACTCATGTTACGGTGTCTTCAAGTTACAAACAACATTTAAAAAACAGATCAAGAAAAATGATTAAAGAAACTGCTGTTTCAATGAAACAAAAGCTAAGGATTTCAGTAGCCCTTATAACAATTATTGTTATTGATAACAAGTTTTATGATAAAGGGCCCCGGAGGCGTTATGTTTTTCGGCGGCACAGATTGGAGTTATAGGTGCGTGTTGAGCCTGTGGGAAAGTTTAGGGTTAGGGTCAGGGTTAGGGTTAGGGTTAGGGTTAGGGTTAGGGTTAAATCAAGACCTCTTTTTTTTTTTAAAGCCCCAATTAATCTGTGCCGCAAGAAAAAAAATGACGCGCCCCGGAGTAGGCGTGTATGGTGTCTGGGAGCGAGGGTTTTTGGCGGGAATTATGGTGTAATTACATTTTACTACCAAATGATTAGTAAACATTTTGCAAAATGCAATTTCATGAAATGGCTATCAAGCAGTCGATCTTCAGCTTCCACGTGAACGTCATTGCGCCCCCAACGTCGATGCCCATGACCACCTGAGTCGATATTTCAGTGAATGAATATCTTTTTCCGGCAATGGAGAGTCTGTGTTCCTAGTACACTTTCCAGAAGGATTAAAAGTAAGTAATTTGTAGTATCAATTATTTACGTATTTGTCACTTTGAGCTTGAAAATGAGTGCAGTATACAAGATACCTGTAGGAGAATGTGAAGTTATACGCGTACTATTCTACTTCATGTACATGTTGAATTGAGCCACTAAATTGACATCCTGAACAGGGGTGACTGTATAAGGCATTGATCGTACATTTTCTCTTCACCGTTAATTTTGGGAAATGAGTGTAGTATGCAATAAACCTGTACTAGAATGTGTACTTTATGTACATGTTGAATTTGACCTAGTGATACGAGCCATTAAATTGACATCCTGAACAAGGCTGACAGTATAAGGAAGTGCTCGTACATTTCCTTTTCACCGTTAATAGTTTTTTTTGGGGGGGGTGGGATTATTCTGATTATTTCTGTTCAATGTCTCTCTCTCTCTCTCTCTCTCTCTCTCTCTCTTTCTCTTTCCTTCCAATCGCTCTTGATGTTTTGTACATGCTTCAGCAAGTGCCTTTACACACCTGCTTCATAATTAAGGTGAGAAATACACAAATTAGTTATGTTTTTGTGCTTTTTGAGAGATGGTACGTACTTTGACATTCTGTTACTTGGCACAAAGTATGATTTCTCTTCTCTCTGACGAGCGTGTCTAACCGTAAAATTAGTTTTGTTATAAATTGTAATAGTGGAATAAAACATTACCGTAGCAACATTTCCAATCCTTTGCTGGTAAGCCGACCCATTAAGAATTGTTGTTTGAACGCCAAGCCTCATCTATACGATTTCGAACGATCGACTTTGAAACCACAATGTGTTGCATATTCCATTTTTGTACATCCAAACCCGTAGTTATACTACATGTACTTCTCGTTTTGTTTGCATTGTTCCGAATCAGAAGGCTTAGCAAACATTTTGGCCCGTGTTCTAATAAACTTCGAACCAGACGCTAGGCATAAGTTTTTGTTTAATATCAGGTTAACACAGGAGGTAAGTGTGAGCAGTGGCGGATCCAGCCGGCGGGAAGAGGGGGGTTGGGGCCCAATCCGTGAGAAACTATTAGTTGCGACTCAACCACCGGTGAGTAAGCGGGGGGGGGGGGGGGGGGGGGGGGGGGGGGGGGGGTAGGAGGCACTTTTTTGTCCAATTTTTCAGGAAATATTTTACCCCGACTCAGCCAGCCGGTAAATAAGCGGGGGGAGGGGGGTGGGAAAGACCATTTTTTTGGTTTTTTGGCCTTCTTTGTGAGAATTTTTTTTTTTTTAATAATAATAAACAAAAAATTAAAAACAATTTTTTTGCTGTTGTTGACCCGTCAGCCCCCCCCCCCCCCCCCCCCCCCCCGTGGATCCGCGCCTGCAGAGGATCAAGCCGGCGACAAGGGGGAGGGGGAGCCAAATCTTAATACAAAATTTAGCGTCGTCGACTCAGCCGGCCGGCGAATATCCTATTTTTTATCATTGGGGGGGGGGGGGGGGCTAGGGGGGGGGGCGGAAAAATCGCTACGTGGATCCGCCCCTGAGTGTGAGGTCTATATTTCCTGGCCTAATGTCATGTTTGTTATACCTTATTTTAGACCGAGTGTCGGATATGACTAATGTTCTAAAGTAGTAGAACCATTAATGCAGCCTTATTACTATAATGGTTGGGGGTGGGGGGCTTGGAAATGAGGCCTGTCCCCCCCCCCTTTCCCTTTCTCTCTCTCTCTCTCTCTCTCTCTCTATATGTCTCTCTGCATGGATGTGTGTGTGTCTTTCCCTCTGCCTGTCTGTCTCGCTCTCAGTTTCCCTCTATCTCGTTGTGTCCCCTCTTTTTGTTTTCTCTCTCTCTCTCTCTCTCTCCTTCTCCTTCCTTTTCTATCTATAAAAAGTATGAATCTCCCTTTCACTTCACTTACATATATATATATATATATATATATATATATATATATGTATGTGTGTGTGTGTGTGTGTGTGTGTGTGGGTGTGTGTGTCTGATTTTTCTCTGTTTATACACCCTTTCTTTCTCCCTTTCTCTCTCTCTGCTCTGTCTCCATTAATTTTCACAGTCTCTTTTCTCCTTGTTTTCGTTTCATGGCCATTTAGCCCATTGGACTTCAGGATTCCACGTCATAATATATGTACACGGAAATCAAGGCTTTCCTCATTGCCCAGTAAACGCATTATCTACATATCCGGTTTTAGTTACTTTCTGTTGTAGATACTGTCTTGCATGTATTCTCAATGTCTGAACTTTTATTTTGAATTTGTAAGCATAGAGCCTACGGATAACAATTTTCTTTTTCATTCATGTTTGTCTTTTATCTTGAACCAGAAACATTTTTAAAAAAACATGGCATCGTTTATGAATGATCTGGCTTCAGCAACGCCAAGGTCAGTATATTTGATATCATAATACACAGTTAAGGTTCATGAATTCGAATCAGTGATAAGGTTTATACCGTGACTTGCTGCGACCGAGACCGAAACATTGTTATGAAATGTTAGGATATTTAAAGGAAAGCAAGGGACCTCTGATATTAACATTCAGTATCGAAAACTCATTTTCTTTTGTACATCTGATTGTATTAAATTGATTAAAAACAGTAAAATATTTCGACGAGGTTCATTTAAAGGTAAAGACCAGTTATGGTCATGCGATTGCATTGTGAAAGAAACGTTGTGGAATCGATCAGAAAAGGTTGATCATCTAGCATCTAGCATCTGCAAGGTTCTGGAATTATCAAAATTATAAGAAATTTGGCCCATTCTTTGTAAAGTTACAAGCACTATACACAGAAAGATGTATATGGGACTACCCTATATCTCTCACAGACCATGAGAGAAACAAATTTACCAAATATATGAATTAGTAGGCGGTTTCCCGGCAAATGTTTTATCATCATGTATAAGTCAAAACATATTCTTTCACATGATTGGTAATGAGAGCTTCCATTTCATTTTTTGAAATTGGGGCGTTTCCAATACTGGTCTTTACCTTTAAAGCTTATCTGCCGTAGTTTACAGGAGGGATTAAACCGCTCTACAAGGTCACTGGACAGGTGGTTATCTCATCAACTCAGCTCTCAGTTAACATAAGAAAAAGAGGATCATGGGGGACCAATGGTCACCGATTAGGCATTGTTTGTTATATAGAGGGCGCAAGTAGCTACCAGTAGTGCAGTGGGCCTTTAATGCATGTGGGATATTGGAAATCGAAACAACAATTAATCATTTGGACCACTTTTCTTCGTTCAATGACATTGGCTCATCTTAAATAAATTCACCCTTGCGCCCCAGAAATATCTTCATCATGTGGCAAAAAATTGGTAATTTGATCAAAACATGTACCTATATTGCCAAACACCACATTTCCATGTTTTTAACTTCATGTCAAGTTTAAAATTGAAAAGGAGAACAAGGATATGAAACCTGGTGAGAATTAAGTTAAGGGAGTGCTCTAAACCTTTCGTATTAAACCTTTAAGGCTAGTGAACTCTTCAGCATTGGAACATAGGAAATCCATTCGTTTTCTACCCACCAGTCGATCTAGCCACAATAATTAGTTGATTCGTGCGATTAACTTTGGAATTCAATGTGATACCTCTTAAATATTTCATTTCTCTGCAAAAGCTCTCAAAACCACAACGCAGCCAATCTCACAGAACTGGAATTGTTAGAGTTAGCTACGAAACTATACCCTGACGATTTTTTCAGACTTGGAGTAAGACTAGGATTCGAAGAATCCAGACTCAGCCACTTTAAACATGACAACCCAAACAACATTGAGGGCGCACTTTCAACAATGCTAATACGATGGCGAAAGAATCAATCAGGGAAACCGTCTTTGATCAGGCAGAGATTAGCACACGCTTTAAAACACGTGCAACGTTTGGACTTGTCAGAGTCCGTTTATCTACAAGGTAATACGTACGTATTTGGACCATAATTATTTCAATCATTTGCTCGATGTATACCCAAAAATTCCTCATTTTCTAAGTTTACGACGTAGGGGTAATCCGTATAGCGTTTCAGCTACTGTAGCCAATGTCTTTAAAAATTTCGTACGCAAGCGCGCCCTGATTTACCAATCTCTGACACGGAAAAGTGCTTATATTTTAAACACAGTTTCTGAATGAATTTTTTTCAACAATAATATATAATCGTTTTGTATGTGCTGTGAAATTTCCCTGAGCTTTGAAGGCAAATGAGGGAGATATTTGCGAGGGTAAATTTTGGACGAACTTTACTCCTCTCTTCGAACAGGGGTTCGATAGCCGTTACGAATTAAATAGCTCTTTCCACTTTTCAGGGTTTTAATTGCACCCTAGCCCCGCGCCTAAAAACTGTAAGATATTTTTAAAAGATAAAGGAACTTTTCTGTTTCAATCTGCGTACGAAAAAATGAGACGCCGCCGGCATATCGCCCCCACACTATATTGAACGTCCACCTAAACAAACACACACAAAATAAACATTAATAAAATGTGCAAAATATTCAAGATACGCTCAACGGTTGAGCCCCACGCCCATGTCAGTGAAGTATTCACACACTTCGATTTAGGTCACTGAAATTTGCCCTAGGTTGATTTTCCCAAAGTCTTTGCAATAATGTTTTGCTTCTTCTTGTCAACAGAGGACGTCCTCCCAACATTCAAGGATATAGGTTTAAAGGAGAACACTGGTGAATGGCATTTGGATAAAACAATCGCCCTTCCAACCGACAAAGCTGAGTGGATGAAAGCATGTATAGCACTTCCTGGACGGCGCGTGGCTGTCGGATACAGATCTGGTAGCATCGACATCATTGATATCGAGAATGATTTACGGGAAAGAATTCTAGACCAACTGAAAATCAGAAGTCTTGCTCAGTTGAGCGACGGAACCCTAGTCATCTGCAACGACGATGTCAAATCAGTAAAGATCTATACATGTACACTGGGAGGGAAGCACACAGTAGCAAAACCTTTGTACACCGTGAGACAGTCTGGTACGCACCGATCGCTGAGCGTTGATGCAGAGGACAACATCTACCTCGGTTTGCGGGGGTTCAAACAAATCGAGGTGGTTAAACCGATCAGCGGTGCGTTGACGAAGACGATCAAAACGGCTGTCGACCCATGGAGCATTGCCGTCATGCGCACCGGAAATATTGCCATAACGAATTCCCTGAGAGGCACCGAAGATGCAGTGTGTGTTCTTACCCAGGGCGGGGATATAGTTAGCAGGATGCCAGGGGTCAAAGACGCCAGACAGTTCATTGCGGTTGATTCAAAGGACAGCATCTATGCCGCGATAAAAGCAAAAAATGGCATGGTGAAGATCAGAAAGTATTCAGGTCATGACGTTGAGGTCGTCACCGAAAATGTGGAATCTGTCACGAAGCGCCGTGACTGGATTCAATTGGCCTGTCTCTCCCCCAACGAGCTGGTGATGTGTGATGCTAAATCAATGTTCGTATTTAAACAGTACTGAGAATGTACGGTCCTATCTCACTCATCTGCGAGTGCTTAATTGCGAACGTTGCAAATTTGCATTTGCCAACTTTTCTGACGAATGTTTTTTTCGAAAAATAGCGGCTTCTAGCGATGTTTAGCGACAATTAGCAACATTTGAGAGCATTTTAGCGAAAGTGTTTGCGAAAGGCAATTCGCGACTATTAGCGACTGAAAGCAAATGTTAGCGACAGTTTTTGCGAAGATTAGCAACTATTTGCCAATCCTTTGCCACTATTTGTGAACGTTTGGGACCTTTTGCTAATTCTTGGTACTCAATGGGTCAATTTCATAAAGGAACCATATGGTAACGTACTTGCTGCATTTGCGAAACAAAGAGAACTGGCGAAAACAAAGAGCGACACCGTCTTACAATCGTTTGCAAAGGCTTGCGACGGTTTTGCAAACGCTTGCAACTGTTTGCGGAAAAATAAAATCGCAAACAAATTTTGAACATGCTCAAAACTTCTTTGCGACAAGAAAAAATGTTTGCGACAATGAAAACTGTTTGCGAACTTTCTTGCAACCTTTTGCAATCTTTTACGAACCCTGGCGAAACTCCAAATTCGCTACGTACGTTTGCAAGCATTCGCCGCTCAGTGAGATCATCGCAAGTGTTCGTAAACTTACAAACCCCAAACTCGTTACTCTACTTTGGGATTGATATAAAGTTGCGATGCTTTCAAGCAACCTAAACTGGTTTACATAGTTTCAGAATTATATGATGCAATCCGTAGAGCAGAACTGTATAGAAGGTGATTTGTTTTCTTCTGTATTTTTTTTTCCTCATGCACTGTCTTTTTGTGGGACACATGTGAAATTTTGAAATTCGCAGACAATTGACACGCGAGTGAAAACGCCTCCCAGTTTCCTTTGTAAGAATTTTGCTGCTTTACATAATGTAATGTTATTTCTACCTATATTTGAGCATACTTGTCACTTGTATAACCAGGTTTATTGTTATGACTCAAACTTACTTGAAGAATAAAAGCTCGTAATTTTGTAACTTATACAGATCTTCTACGCTTAACAGATATACTATTACCCCGGTCATTGGATTCAATACTTGCCCGCACACACTGTGTACACAATCCCAACTCCCTTGGGAGCATTTCAGCCAGGCGTTACTTGACGCTCAAGTATTTAAAAGATGATGGGTATAGAAGGATGCGTACATAATTAACGTGCCTCCCGTTTGCTTTGAAAAGACCAGATAAACTAGCTACTCATCACAAATAACAAATGTATACAGGGCTGAGTCTGAGGTGTTTGCACAACAGTTGCATTTTAATTACATCTTGGTGATTAACATCAAAGCGGTGTTTGTGTATTAATAAGACGTGAAATAAATCAAGATGATAGGAAATATAAGAGCAGCAATAATCTAAGATAATATAGTATCGACAAGTTAAACACTTAAATCAGTTTACTAAAATGACATCTTTTTTTAAAACCATATCAATGAAACTAAGTATTGTTTCTTATGAATAAATTAACACTTTATATATTACATATTTATTAACCCGGTATAAAATCTTATCTGGGTTTAAGGCACCATCTAAACTGAATTTACCTACAACTGTCATGCTTAAAAGGAAAAACATGATTCCACTCTTTCGCAATACAAACGTATTTCTTATACTCATTTTAAAAGTACGCACATTTCATATAGAGGTATGTTATAATATTTACAAGTTTAATTTGTTTGGACGGCATATGATTGCGGTCTCCTGCGTCCACACTTTATGTTTATTATGAGATATTAATTTCCCGATGTTTATTTTCTTTATGGGTTAAATAGTAATTTATTAATGTCTGAAAATGTGTGTATACATTTTGTGTAATATCTAATTATTTTGTATAACGTTCTTGAACGCATGAAAAATTATTCAAACAAGCATTGATTGCTACAAGTCCCGCTGATTTTCTATCGAGCCTTTCTAAATATTAATAACATATGAATTAAGAATTCATGGATACGTCATATTCTTTTCTTCTATTTTTATTAATTGGAATACAACAATAACGATTACAACTTTGTAATTCCGACATATTTTACACATTTTTAACGCAAATAAAGGTGATTGTTGTATAACTTGTACTATTAAAGGTACTATGTTCCATTTGCAGTCCAATATAATGAAAAGTTGAAATTCCAGCGGCATTTGAAAGATGATACTAATTTAGAAGCTCCCTTAAAAACTAAAGGCTTGTAAAGTCTTTGGGTGAGAGAAAATGATTATTAGTTGTGGAATCGACTTCATTGATTTTCTGTACTTTGCTTATTTTACTTAATTTATTGTTGTGTGCTTATAATATTTTGTATTTCTGTAAATGGGCGATCCCACTTTACAGGTTTTCGCAACCATCCTGGAAAGCCCTGCATATTACCTTTGTAAGTTTAGTTAAAATTGACTGTTACCTTGGATACTTTGATGTTTATATTGCGAAATAAATTGAATTGAATTGAAATTGAATTGATTGCAATCACTGAAGTAATAGTCTGATGTTCAGACCCTCGTATCAAATGGTCGTACGTTTTGTGCTGCGCAAAGATTCATAATCACAAGACTTGGATTATTGATGTAGACAAATGCTCATGAACCCTTTACAGCTCATTTTATGTTTCTTATTACCAAAGAACAAAAGGGGTCAGTCAGTCACTCAATAGTGTCTGACAAGTGAAGTCTAGAAAGTAAGCGGGTTACCTTGCATAATTTGAATACTACTACTTCCCCTTCGACTAATATTACTACTACTGTTAAATGGTAATACATACGTAATTATCGAGTAGCATTTAAAAGTTAGATTACGACAATGAGGAAATTACTATTGATCCTGATGATAATTGTGATGAAGAAAATAATTAAGCTAGTACTTATAACAATAATGATGAGAGTAATACAAATAATGAAGATAAAAAACACAGGAATGATAAGAATGGTTATACCAATAACAAGAATAATGAATCCTTTCGATTATACAGTGTGAGCTTATTGCTTATTATTTTTAAAATCATCTATGAACAGTACATTATTATATATCTTATGAAAGAGTGTTTTACCCCAAATCATTTGGTACCATTTTTGTGTGGTATGTGATCACGCTTGGAAGAACAGGAGACATTGTTTGCGAGAGTATTATGTTTGCGAGAGTATTATGTTGGGATTAGCGGAGTGACAGAATGAATTGAAAGTATCAAATGAAATGCATTGTATATATGCTTTTTGCAAAGGGCAAAGTCACAAACACCCACACACGCGCACAAAATGTTCGTTGATATTTGATATTCGATTTTTGATATGTGTGGCATGATTGATTTTGTTAGGGGTGTTATTTGGATTTGCAAAAAAAACCGAATTAATACCCAAATCCCAATTGTTTCATTCAAACATCACATAAGCAACTTTGGCGCAAGTCGATTTTTGCACTCTCGCAAACAATGCCTCCTGTCCATCCAAGCGTGAACACATACAACACAAAAATGGTACCAAATGATTCGGGATAAAACACTCTTTCATAAGATGAATAATAATGTACTGTTCATAGATGATTTTAAAAATAAAAAGCAATTTTCTAGGTGTAAACTTTTTGTTGACTCACACTGTAGTTCTACCTGGATATTACAAAGCAAAACAACCTAATATATTACAATATAAAACCCTACGCCAGTATAATTTTAAACCCATCAAAGTATGATATGAGTGAGAGAAATTTTAAATTTGTGTAATTTAATCATCGTGAGCGGGTGTGTGCGCGTGGGTTTGTGCGTGTTGTGTAAGATAAAATGTATGCACGTTCTAGCGGTAGGTGGCAACATAGCGAGAGAAAAAAACATGCATGCAAGAAAGAGAGGGAGAGAGAGGGGTGGGGAATGCTGTAAAGAGGGGTGGGGCAGTTGTTCCCCACCAAATAGTTCACGAACATTCACCAACCATGGCCATGTGTGGGGGCAAATAAGCCTCTACAACTGCATGGGAGAATTCCGAGGGGGTGTTTAAGGTAGGACTAAAATAGAAAACTACTCGATCTGAGTCATAGAGGTGTAGTATATGCTTGGCAATTTTTAGACAAATAGAGCAAGTGTGTGAGCGGTGATTAAAAGTTCTACATTATGACGTATTAAACTGGTTAGGAGTACGATATTTAATAGTTGGTCTACGTTAAAATAAATGATTAATATATCCGTTGAGTCATTATTGAACATTAAAACCCTCAAATAAGACAACCAACCTGGTCAGAGAGAAATTAGAGAAGAGGACAAACTTTTCAAAACTTGCTGCGACCGATTATTTTAACAATAGTCTGTCGAAAGAGTGGTTGAGCCATGGCATAGGCCAAAGGATTCACCAGACTGTTGCTGAAAGCTACCCAGCGTGTGATCTCGGACAACCTGACTTTGTTCTTGATGAACTGGTAGAAATCGGGGAAGAAGGCATACATGGTGACGGTCACGGCGGTTGGCAACCAGGTCACGATGAAGACAAACACGATGAAGGTCAGGGTTCGCATTGCCTTTTGTCCTTCGGCTCTGGATTCCCGTTGAGGTTTCTTGATGACCTTGTTCTTGGACGGCGCCATGTTTTCCGCATCAGATGAGCCTACTGCGTGCGAAAGGGTGACTTTCGGATTTTCGGATGATCCAGACTTCCCGATTTTCTGGGATATGCTTGATATCGCAACTGTATCTTTCTTGGCTGCAGAATCCGCTTCAAATTCCTCCAGACCAGTTGTAGTTACGGTACTCGATTCTTCACCTGTGAAAACGGAATCGGTAACGGACAGCTCTTTTTCCAAGTTTTTCTTCTTCCTCATATATCTTGAGAGGTTGCCGATGTTCTTGACCCGGAAGTATATTCGGACGTATAAACCAGTCATAATGACGAATGGCAAGCCAAATCGGAGAGCAAACATGAACAGGCTAGACGTGTAGGTCAAGGAATAGTTCGGTCTGGAGAAACCAGACGATGTGACAAGGTTGTTTGGGTCGATGAAGTCCCAGGCGGTGGACATCATCATCCACAGCCCAAAGGATGAGACCCACGTGAAAATACTGACCAATGTAGCCTTGCGGATACTCCTTCTCTGATAGTGCTGAATGGGATAAAACGTCGCCAGGTACCTATCAATACAGACCACGACAACGCCACAAACAGACACGCCCAGGATAGAGTTCTGAAACCCCATGAAAAAGATACTGGCCACCTTGCCAAAGGGCCAACCGTCATAGAGATGGATCATTGACCGGATCGGCATGCAGATGGATCCAACGACAAAGTCCGCGATGGTCATGTTGAGGATGAAGTAGTTGGTGTACGTCCGCAGTTTCTTCTCCAAGTAAAAAGCAGCCAGTATTAGGGAATTGGCCATGACTGTCGACACAGCCAGTAGCACGAGCAGAAAGAAGGCCAGGCTGAACACTGGTCTGTTGGTGTCTGTGGGTGTTGTATCGGTCATATTGAGGCCATCAACGATTTCTGCCACGTCTGTAGGCCAGGCTCAAGCGTTATCCATTATGACAGGTATGTCAGCTCCGCCTGTAGGAATGAAAACAGATACCAGTTGCAGTCACAATTTGTAGATATACTCAAATTTACCATATGAAGTTGATAAGAGAGTATTTATATTAATGGACATTAGGAATGCTAGGGATTCAGTTAAAAGTGCCGTTACATCTATCCACCGATAAAGACGGGTTTTCCGAAATGGTCCTCAATAGGGATAGTTGAGTTCTGTTGCAGAGGGCGCTACACAAAATAAGTTTTTTGTGAGATAAAAAAACTGACATTTGAAAGAACATACAATTTAAATGACAAAATCATCTTTGTTTGATCAAAATCGGTTCAGAGACGGCTGAAATATCCATAAATATAGTGATTTCTAATACTTGTGTACCACCACAAATATTCGATAATTTGAAAATGTCATAGATAGGAATAAAAGCAATAACCATGCACTTTGAAGGCGTTTGCAATCTGAAAGTTAACGCATCATACAAGGTTTAAAAATAGTGACTCATCGCTTTAATGTTGGCTCATACGCACACAAGCCAAACTAATAATGCTCAATAATATCACCTATTGAACATAATCTACATTCTCGATTGACTGCTCTTATTTAAACAAGGGAATCAACAAGTTTAGCTTTTTTACTAGATTTCCCCATATTTCACTTCAAATATATTTGTCTAATTTCGGTTTAAATACCATACATTTGTATTTATATCTCCGGGCCATGTCCGTATCGACTGTATCGTTACTTTCATGGCCTGACATTATTTAAGTATTTTTTTACACCTATTGAAAGGACAATTCCTTTCATTCTTCTTGTTATAATTTATGATTTCAGGCCGGAAAAACCCGATTAAAATCGGTTTTCCGATTATTAATTTTTTTCCCCGATTTTTTTTAATTTGTTAAATATTTGTTTTACCCAATTAAAAACAAAATAATTGTTTACCCGAAGAAAAAAAATTCTTCCCGATTTTCCCCTTATTTTCTCTATTCTTCCCTATTATTTCCCAATTTTTCTTACTCAAAAGGGGGAAATAGATGCCATTTTCCTCCCGAATCCTCTTTTTTTTGTTGGTTACTCAAGGGGGCGTGGTTTATGTAATGAATGTGAACGTGAAATAAAAACTCAACTGAAAAAAGCGGAAAACGGAAACCTATCATTGCATTTGAGCGATATCAAGAGTCGCCTCGGCCAGAATGTTCCCAGCAATGTAAAGAAATATGAGTATCATGGTCTCCGGTGCAAATATTTGAATGTAAGGCAACTACATACCCTAAGATCCACACTCGGTATTTTCTAGATCGAAAACTTGGTAGCGGGTAACAAAGAGCCATAAAGTATCACATTTTCACGAGTCAGAGTCGTTTGTTTGAATTAAAAGCATGGAGTGTATTTCGAAGTATCTGAACCCTGCATGACCGTAATCACACCAATGAATCTTAAATATTTCTCTCGTGCGGTAACTGTTTATGTATATTGTGTCTGTATCATTACAGTGTACATATATACAGTTATCAAAAACGAAATACGGACGGATCGCTCTATTCAGAGGCATTATTCAAATGGCCATCTTCTTCCTAGAGACACACATAACAACACAGGTATATATATGGAATGAACGTATCTATGTACATATATAAATATAACAACAAATATCACAAATATATTGTACGCTCCTGTACTCTGAAAATATTTCAAATCCCCTCCCTACCCGATTATATGATGCACTATTACGACTAGACCCCCACCCTCCCAACCCTTTCCATGTTTACATCTAAAGTTTATATGTATCAAAGTTTTCTATCCATAGCTATCTTCTATCTATACCCATCGAAAGCCAGTGTTTTCAAAAATCGGAAATCTGTAGCGCGAAACTTAAAAGGAAATTATACCTGAAAAATTGAATGTAATATTTGAAATTTGGGGGTGTGCATTTGGTGAGAATAATACAAAAAGAGCAGTGTCATTGTGGTTCACCATCTGCAAGGTTCTGAATCAATCACGTATGTCATATATGTTCCTTTAAAATGTAGCAGCCGATATATTGGTTTAATGCCATTAATCTAAATCGGTGAAATGGTATTCTTTCTTTCTTGTTTAGATTATTTCAAAGAGGCATCTCAACATTGAAGATGAAAACTTAATGGGTTCTATAGTATAATATCGACGGCACGTAGAACACATTAGCATGATTTCGAAGTAAAAATAAATGCACGGCATCGGTAGGGAAAGAGTTAAATGGGTTAAGGTTGCTAGAACTGTGGTATGACATGATCAAGGAACGTGCAATATGATGACGAAAAGCAAATAAAAAGTTATGGACGGAACTCGGGAAATCGAGGGAACATCTCCTACATTTAATTTTGTTCACGAATCAACTTCTCTGTCAGTCATTTTCAAAAAGGGAAAAGAGATAAATAAACTTTTGCAATATCGAATCCTTACAATTGGAGGTTTAAGATTTAATAAAGTACATGTATGAATGATTAAGTCTGAAGCATTATATAAATTACATTAATAAACTTACAGCGATGGCCCGATGAAAAAATATTTACGATTTTAAAATGATATTAAAGGTTTTATATGGATCAAGAACATCTCCTACATTTAATTGCGTTCAGGAATCTTCATATTTAATTTCTCTCTGACGTATATCAAAGCTTCTCTCTAAGTCATTTTCATAAGGGGAAAAGAGAAAAATAATCTTGTGCAATATCGAATTTATCGATTTTATAAAATACATGTATGAATGATAAAGTACGAGGCATTATTAAAATTACATTAAGAAACTTACAGCAAAGACCCGATGAAAATGTTCACGATTAAAAGTCATGAAAATGATATAAAAGGTTTTATATGGAGGAAAAATATTAGATAAAAAGAAAGCAGCGCATAAAGTCTTCAGCTTCTTGAGGGAAAAGAGGAGGAAAATCTAATCAAAAGCGTTTTTCGCTCAAAAGGGAAAATAAGGTGGGTGCAACTTATAACTTAATAAGTACATTCATACCGGGGTATAGGAGTACCTGGATTCAATGCGTCACATCTAAACAAGCCCTAGATTCTCTAAGGAAAATCACATATCTGCAGTCCAACGTGTCTGCCAGATTATATCTCCTTCGCAGGCGGTTCGACATGATATCGAATAAAGACGAAAATACGGTCACAGCAAAATAGTAGATATGATTTATCATATAATATAAATGAAAATCACATATACCTGCAGTCAAATTGTCAGCCACCTTATATCGAAGGTGGAATATGACGTAATGCATTATGATCCTATATGATATTAAAAGTACCGTCATAACAAACAGATATAATTGTTTGAGGTTGAATAGGATACTTTATAATCGTTTAAAGGGACAGAGCTAAACATTCGGAATCAGATAGGATATAAAAAATACCGTCACAGCCCCCCAAAATATATGAGGTTGAATAGGATACAGTATATAAAGCATTATATAAATTACATTAATAAACTTACAGCGATGGCCCGATGAAAAAATATTTACGATTTTAAAATGATATTAAAGGTTTTATATGGATCAAGAACATCTCCTACATTTAATTGCGTTCAGGAATCTTCATATTTAATTTCTCTCTGACGTATATCAAAGCTTCTCTCTAAGTCATTTTCATAAGGGGAAAAGAGAAAAATAATCTTGTGCAATATCGAATTTATCGATTTTATAAAATACATGTATGAATGATAAAGTACGAGGCATTATTAAAATTACATTAAGAAACTTACAGCAAAGACCCGATGAAAATGTTCACGATTAAAAGTCATGAAAATGATATAAAAGGTTTTATATGGAGGAAAAATATTAGATAAAAAGAAAGCAGCGCATAAAGTCTTCAGCTTCTTGAGGGAAAAGAGGAGGAAAATCTAATCAAAAGCGTTTTTCGCTCAAAAGGGAAAATAAGGTGGGTGCAACTTATAACTTAATAAGTACATTCATACCGGGGTATAGGAGTACCTGGATTCAATGCGTCACATCTAAACAAGCCCTAGATTCTCTAAGGAAAATCACATATCTGCAGTCCAACGTGTCTGCCAGATTATATCTCCTTCGCAGGCGGTTCGACATGATATCGAATAAAGACGAAAATACGGTCACAGCAAAATAGTAGATATGATTTATCATATAATATAAATGAAAATCACATATACCTGCAGTCAAATTGTCAGCCACCTTATATCGAAGGTGGAATATGACGTAATGCATTATGATCCTATATGATATTAAAAGTACCGTCATAACAAACAGATATAATTGTTTGAGGTTGAATAGGATACTTTATAATCGTTTAAAGGGACAGAGCTAAACATTCGGAATCAGATAGGATATAAAAAATACCGTCACAGCCCCCCAAAATATATGAGGTTGAATAGGATACAGTATATTTTCTTAACGGACAGAGCTAAACATTCGGAATCAGATAGGATATAAAAAATACCGTCACAGCCCAAAAAAATATACGAGGTTGAATAGGATACAGTATATTTTCTTAACGGACAAAGCTAAACATTCGGAATGAGATATATATATATATATATATATATATATATATATATATATTAATGAAATAGAACATGTTCAAAATATCGTTCAAAGCTCTCACCCTGCATGAAATTTGATATGGTCTACAACAATAATAATAATAATAATATTAAGATATTTTTATACCGCAAATTGCAAATTGCCTCTGGCGCTGTTGACTTTACAGTATCGGGTTTACTTGTTGCGTCCATCTGTTTTGTATACATAACATACATACCCCTACTTATATGCTTTATGGTCCGATATAATATGAAAAGTACTGTCATCGTAAAAATAGTATATATATATATATATATATATATATATATATATATATATATATATTTATGTATTATATATATATATCTACATAATTATTTATATATATCAGGTTGGACAAGAATTATTATATCATCTAAATGGACTGAGCCACACATTCTAAATGATGTATACTTTAATGAACATTTTCCGAATACCGTTCGAAATTCTCACCCTGCATAATTTGATATCGTCCACAAACGGCGCTGTTGATTTTACAGTATCGGGTGTACTTCCTACGTCCATCTGTTTTTAATATACATAACTTATATTAAATATGGGGGAAATCCTATTTGTACAGCTTCTTTATTTTTTGGGTACACTTAAGGACAAATAATAATCATATTAACGATAATGATAATAACGACAACTATGATAATAATAATAATACTTACAGTAATACTAGTTACCCCCCCCCCCGGCTTCAGCATGGCTGCCAATTGGGCGTTCTAGCATTTCAGGGAATTAATTCCTTCCAATCAGTACCTATTTACCTCACCTGGGTCGAGCGAGGTAAATGTAAATTAATTTCTTGCCCAAGGATATTAGTGCCACGGCGGGACTCGAACCCCGGCCCGAACCATGTTGTTCACAGTCAGGTGACGTTTCCACTCGACCTCGACACCTCGACTCGATGGGTAACTACACCTTAAAGAGGGTTAGGTAAAGTTTTACCCATATTGGGTATAAAAGGAGGGCACATGTATAATAAGCCCCTAGCTATATAGCACGTGTACAAATGCCCCCATAATATTCACAGATGTTTTATAAATGAAGAAGCTCCACTGTATTTTAGCATAATCGTTGCCAAAGCGATGGAGGGGCTTCATGAATAACTTTTTGTTTGCCCTCTTGAAAAGAAAATTATATGCACTGTATATTGAATCTGTTGTCGCCGAAGCCACCAGTCTTTCTCCGTGGTCTAGTGGTTAAAGATAAAGTTGAGTTCTGGTCATTAGATTGCATTGTGAAAGAAACGGTGTGGAATCTATCAGAAAAGGTTGATCATCTAGTATATAAGTATTCGTGTGCATTGCAAGGTTCTGGAATCATCAAAATGATAAGAAATTTGGCCAAATTTTGGCAAAGTTACAAGCACTGTACACAGAATTATATGGGACTACACGAGCACATGGCGAAAAGAACCTACCCCGGATTTTTACGATGTTTCATGTCATATTTAGTATATGAAGGCATTTGAAGAGCCATGCTTTTCAGGGAACATGTTTAATCTGATGTTCTTCCACCCTTGCATAATATAACAATGATAACGCTCACAAATTATGTGTATACCTCTTCCCAGAACTCAACCTTCTCTTTAAGGCATCGCCGTTCTAAGCCAGTGACCCTGAGCCATTATTTTAACTTTTGCCCCCAAAAAAGGTTCCTAAATGGAAGAATAGCAATGGCTAACTTTGATTCAAATTACGTAACTATTATTCTCTAGTTTCCTTTCGCTTATATGTATAGATAGTTTATTCCTCAGCACTACATCCTGACTTATGGATCCTGCTGAGTATCGTCGTAGAATGAATTATGTGTTCATGCGTTTCAATAGTTCATGCAGGGGGCTACTGACATTAATATATATATATATATTTTTTTCTCTTAGGTCTTTGAGATCGTTTAACGTTAATGTTGTTTTACCGTTTAAAAAAAAAACTATTGTAAGCGTGATTATTCAATGAGCTAATTCGTATCAATTACCGGTCTTCGTACCGTGTCCAAGGCTCTACCAAAGTGTGCGCTGTAATTCAAAACGTGTCAACATTGAAATCTGCCAATCCTGATGGAAGAAATGATATATCGTTCACCTTGCTGCATATCTCTTCTAATATTGATTTGGACATGACTGATGATTGTATCGTGATTTTTTTTCCGGCGTTACAGAGAATGTGTTATAAATTATGAATCTAATTTGTAGAAAGTAACACTTCAATTCAATGTATTAACAACAAAATTTATATTATGAACACTGCTTTGCAAACAAAAGCTGAAAAATACATTGACCAAAAAAAATACCGTAAGATTCACTGAAAATAGTCTAACCCTTCTTAACAAACAATGCACTAAACAAATGTCAGACTGTAAGTTATGACCATATGCTGTTGTGTTTGGATTTGTTATTACGCGAGGAAAATATACGTTGTGATCTTTACATTAGAAAGGTCTTTCCACCCTCAAAACTTATTTATTCAGCAGCCCTTTTGCATTTTAATGGATTGAAGAGTATGTTGATTTTCGACATTACCGCTTTCTTCCATGGATAAGTACAATATTACTGTTTTCACACTGGCAAAATTTTGCTTAACCCCGTACTATAGGTGGGGTTAAGGGGGGTCTATGAAAGAGTATTTATCGCGGCAAATAGTTGTGCCATATGAGAATGCAGTCGAACTTTGCATTTTTTTATAATCTTCAGCGCGATATGGGCGGATGAGAGAGAGAGAGAGAAAGAGAAAAATCAGTTTTTGCCATGGAATTGCGATAGATGTTTTATTAAAATAAATAAAGTGATTTGGTACGTAAAACACTGGTAGGCATGTTTTTAACGGACATGTTATTGATTTAAACTTAAAGGGATAGTTGAGTTTTGTTGCAGGGGGCGCTACGCAAAATAATTTTGTTTGTGAGATAATGGATGTCACATTTGAAAGAACATTCAATTCAAATGACAAAATCATCTTTGTTTAATCAAAATCGGTTCAGAGACGGCTGAAATATCGATAAATATATCTCTCTTTTTTTTTTTTTTTTCTGGTGCCCCACAAATATTCGATAATTTGAACCAGCCGTTGTAAACACGAGATAGCGCCTTATACGTTTTATTCCAGCCTATTACGATGTTGGCTATTTGTTTGCTTTTTCGTGTTGGTTATAATACGCACAACCAGCCGGCCCGTGAATCGTTATTATATATTAATTAATTAATTAACGTTCACCGTATTTTAGGAGCTAGTGGAGCTGAATTGGTATGATCGTCTTGGCAAAATCTCATACATTTTGGGGTCTAAAACTACCTTCATAGCAAATCTAAGTCCAAAAGAACACTATAAATATCATAAACAAGAATAGCAATAACCATACACTTTAAGGGCGTTTTGCTTATCCCTTTAACGGAATGTTTGGACACTTTTAACACTTATTTTGCTCAAAACAATAGACACCAATGGACGAACGGATTGATTTGTGCGATACAATGGCTTGGGAAAATGACCTATTTCTTCTCCTGATTAGCTCCATGACAACGCTTTTAACACGGGTATAGATTAATCTCGCATTGAAATAGTGAAACAAATCTTGAAAATGTTTGTATATCTTCTACATATTTATAACTGCAATGTGGCAAATGTGAATTACTTTGAGTAGCATAATTACAAACAGTTAAAATTTAATTTCACTACCGGGCCATAAAAGTTTTGCACTTAAATGAGTAACTTTCTAGACCTTCGTAGACCCATAGGATATTGAAGAAGGAATAGACTTTACTGATACCATATTATGTAACAATACTTTACAAGAGTAATGTTACTAGACATAAAACACATATTGGGACGGTTACACGGACTGGCAGAGGCTAATTTAGCGTCGAGGAACTAAAGGGTTTGGTAGCAATGTCGTAGATTATGATTATTGAAAAAGATTCTCAACTTACACTACAATATGGAGGAAAAAAACATTCGAAAACACGAAGTATACATTACAATGAATAGATGTACTGATAATGATGATAATAACACCGATTTAATATATAAACTGACCAGAACGTTTTCAGTATCATTATTGTTCAGGTATAATGTGAAAGTAATATTTACCTGAGTAAGTTTGATGTAAAGGCTTCCCGAATCTGTAAACTACTTATGTTATGAAGTGAAGATGCGTCGAATCTACAGTTGGGTGAATACACGCAGACGGATGGACTGCCTCATGGACGTAGGTACAGCACTGTTCATCGGTACCTCGCTATCGGATCAGCAAAACGACACTGCAAGCCTTCTGCGCATGAACAGCATTATATACCACGTCTTTGGCGTTGGAAATACTCGAAATACCCCCTCCCCCTCCCCCTCCCCTCCCCCTCCGCCGCCGCCCCTCAGCAAGGTGATCGCACAGGCATACTTTCACAATAATCATAATATGAGAGGATAAGTAAAGAAAGTGCCTGGTTTCCGGATTCGGGGATGATTTTAAAGCTCTGCAAACTTGAATGTCCCGCGGCATTGTGATCTAAAACTGCACTCTGTCTAATGATGCTTTATAATATATTTTTTTCTTTTTTGCCCTCCGGTTGATCTCCGCTTTCCATGATAACGCCGATTAAGACGAATCAAGCTAGTAAGAACACATGTTTTTTTAATGATTTCTTTATGAAATAGGTAGAAAAGGTCGAGGCTTTTTCTTAATTAAAAGCAATTAGATTGCTTATGACCTATTTAAAGTCAATAACAATATAATACTCTTACCGCAGCAGTACTCTAATGTAATAGAAGACATTACAAATATGCAACTATCATATTTTTTGTAATTCATTTATCTGATATTTTGTAAAGCGCATCGAAATGTATAATAAAATGCAATATGTAGGGGGAAAATTCACGTTATTATCATTACAGTCATAATTATTATGACCATCATCATCATCATCATCATTATCATCATTATCTACATCATTATTTTCATCATCATTTAAGCTATTATTGTGATGTCATTAAAATTACACTAGTTATATTTTCTTGAAACAGTATAAAAGAGCGGGGTATTATTTTCAAGGAGGCGGTTGGCTCAGTTATTAAAATGTCGAAACAAAGATCGAATCCAAACTAGGCGGATGACTGAAGCTTGTTTCGGGTCTTAATTAAAATAATAATGATAAATGTATAAAGCGCCCACTCTGTGGAGTGTTCAAAGCGCATGTTACAAGCCCCTCCCATGTTTCATAGAACTATGCTATGTTACAGTAAAAAAAAAAAACTTCGTCCTTCGAATGGGACGTTAAATGGAGGTCATATGCAGAGGAGAGTCACCACTTGCGTATAGGCCAACCTGCACACACCCAATCGGTTATAGGTAGGGGAGAAACGAGGGTCACACTGTTTCAGTTTGATTTTCCCCTCCAACGCACATGTGACGCCAAAACGAAATGATAGCATTCTATTAGTAATGGGATTAACTTTGATCGATCAAAATATTTCTTCGGCCTTCCCCTTTATTGAAATGATTCTCTATCAAAGTACAAAGCTTACTCTGAAAAGGGTTTTATAATTAAAATATTGATAATTGACTGCCAAGGCCGACATTCATCTAGGGAAACAAACTTGACCTACAAAATTCTTCGATATTGGAAGCAGAAGAAAATAACAAAGCAATATGAAATTAAGTACAAGAACTACAACACGAGATGGATAGTGAAGAAAATAATAAATATTTTTTTAAAGTCTAATTTGATTGAAAAGAGAATTTATAACAATCAAAGAAATGCCACAGCTGGAAGTTAAAAATCTTAAAAAGACGCATACAAAATCCCATTTCCTCAAAGGCCAGATCATTATAAAGGTAATGAAACGGTATGGAATAAAAGAAATATTATTTGTGCACGAAGGTCTATTTTCCCGCCATGATATTGATTTTGATATTTGAAGAATCTAAAAATTTAAAAGAATGAGAAAAAAAATAACTCAGGATTATCAGTCAAGAATTTTTGAAACCCTTAAAAGATATAAAAGAAGGTAAAGAAAATTCCTTTTTCAATAGCAAAGATGCAGATATTTCATAATCCAAAGGTTTCTTTTCTTGTCCTCTTTCGAGGTACCAAAGATATAAGAGACAGCAAAGTAAATTCATGTTTGAATAGCAATCTGTTAAAAGAACAGGATATTGAAAATGTATTTTCACTGCTTAGACTAAAATGATCAAGAACGTGAAGGTAGAGAGTCAGAAGTAGCCACAAGGTTAAAGACCTTTGTATTTTTTGTCAGAGCAAAATCAAGGCTCTGCCAAGGCATATAAAAAGAATTGTGTGTTTTTTTTCTTTTTAAAGATACAGTTGAGTATGATGGAATAAACTATCTTGAAGTAATGGGAGTATGTTGCTTATGTCTTTACAGGGGGATAGATTCATACTGCGAGGTTTTTTAATGATGACCATGAAGACAAATTGATCGATCCAATGTACCTTTCAGATACTTCTCGTCATGGGTAGGTAGTTGAAGAGAAATTCTTTTCAGAGCACATTTCTGCTATTTTGATTTTGATCCAGACTTCCATAAGAATATGCTCCCCAGAGAGTGGAAATGTGCATACATTGTGTGCGAGTAAGCCTGAATCCGATGACCGGGGAAATAATATATCTGTAAAGTGCTTATAGGAACATCGTTGGATCGATGTATTGAGCGCTATATAAGCACGGAATATTATTATTATAATAATTTATTTTAAAAAAAATTATCAATCAATTTTCGTCGTTACCATAGAACGCAACCTTTTTCACCAGGGTATTACCTAGTAAATATGTTTCCCCTAAAAGCAAATGAATTACATCCTTCAATCGTTTTAAAGTTTGCTTAGAGAAGTGGGTAGGTCTGGACAAATTGCAACCGAAATAGATGAACAAAGTGGATATACCTTCGCAATATGTTTCCACACCAAAAAATAAAATCGATTTCTTAAAAAATTGTTTTATACATGAACAGACATGACGGAGAGAAAAAAAGAGGGAAATAAATAGATAAAGAGACAGAGAGAAAGAGAGATAAACATACATAAGCCGACTGAGAGGAAGACAGAGAGAGAGAGAGAGAGAGAGAGAGGGGAGAGACACAGAGAGAGGGGGAGAGAGAGACACAGAGAGAGGCCAAGAGGCCGAGAGACACAGGTATAGAGAGACAGAGACAGACAAACAGAACAGACATAGATGAGAGAGGGAGACAAACAGACAGACAGACAGATATACAAAGACAGAGACAGAGACAGACAAACAGGGCAGACATAGAGGAGAGAGGAAGACAGACAGACAGACAAAGAGAGAGAAAGAAAGAGTGAATAGTGTGTTTTACTTTTTTCTGGTACGAAGTTTGGTTTTCTTAGTTCATTTTGGGCAGCATAGAATCATGAATCATGGATGCTTTTGTGTCTATTCTCTGCTACGTTCTTGTGAATAATTTTGTAACGTATGTATACTTCAAATAGATGAAGAGAAGAAGAAGAAGAAGAAAAAGGAAGAAAGAAAAAGAAAAAGAGGAGAAATTATGTGAAAATAAAAATAAACTTTGAAACTTTGAACTATGAAAAACAAATTGTATAAACTTTGTAAACAAAATACAATTTTCTTTTCATCGATTTTCATATAAGTTTTCTAAATGCATGTAGATAATCTTTTTATTGAACTTGAAGACAGGAAGAGGGAGAAAAGGCAGAAGTCATAATGTGAAATGTATAAACAAAAAATTTGGACTGTGAACAACTGAACGCAAAAATAAAATGAGAGTTTTAGGCCGGGAGCAGGCACAAAATAACTCCCCCCCCCCCCCCCCCCCCCAAAAAAAAAAAAAACGTTGGCTAATTAATGAAGACCACACTTTGCCTGGGAATCATGTGCTTCAATTATTGCAGTGGGGCGTTTCATGAAACAATTATTCGGTGGTTTTCACCGACAATTCAGTCAGCACTGACTAAATTTGACCAATCAGAGGCCTGGAAAATAGTCGGTGACAATAGAAATGTCGGTGAAAATAATATTAGTCGGTGAAAACCACCGACTAATTGCTTCATGAAACGCCCCCTAATCTCATTGCGTTAATAATAGTGGTACATTAAAGCAGACTTCCACGTGTAAACTAACTACGAAAATGGAAGAACTTGAGAAAAGTTCAAAGACAGGCTATGTGTCTTTAAGATCTTTCCGGGCCTCCTTAGAAACTAGAGCAGCTGCTCTTTATAATTATATTCATCCACGTTTGCACCTGTCATTTGAATGTTTGTTTTCTTTTAGCCAGATTGTATTTTAGTTATTAACTCACGATGTTATTGTTTTTATGTGTTTTTATCTCCATTTTGTTGTTAATAAGTTATTGTCGTCTTCCATATTCTGTATTTCTTTAATTTTACATTTCGAATTTTAAATTCAAATATATTTATATTGAAACGGACATAAATGAATCAAAACAAATCAATTCAATTTTTCAGATAAATGAATTAAATAGAATATATAATTTGTTAGCAGAATTTGTTTTGTTTGTATTCAATGAAACTGAGAGTCCCTTTCAGTAAAGAAATATATTTGACAGGAAATTCTACTTCTAATTCAACTTGAACTGTTGATGGACAGTTATTAAACGTCAATATTACAATTTCTCTTTAGTTTGACGGTCACACTAAAGAGAGATGGTACTATACTCATAGAAACGTCCTTTTTCAGAAAGACAGGAAGTCTGTTTAAATGATCTTTAAAAAGCACTTAATCTATTAAAAATTCAACCTCGTTTTTTTTATTCAATATGCCTTTCAATGATATTGGAATGAAGGACTCCCCATCTCATTTTCTTTATGGAAAGCCAGCCAACAACGGCATTAAATGGGTGCTACCATCTGAATGGTATTGTTGTAACGATTTTTTAATATATTTTCCTGTTGGTGAAATATCGTTTTCTTTTTAATTGGAGAGAAGTAAAATTACAAGTAAAAGATCGGCGTGTATTGCAACACGAATTCGAATTCTCCTCCTCTTCAGTAAAAGGGCGAACTATGGCCTAAATCTCTTTAATTATCTTGGCATTTACATTCAACTGAAGAGCCAGAGAAAGGTATCTTCCAGCATTTGATATTTTGTCATGTCTGTAAATCTTGATCTTTATCAGTATTGAAGTTGTGGTGTGGCGTTTTTTTAAAGTCTAATTTAACAGCTAGGTTTCTAACTTTTCTCTCTCTCTCTTGTTTTCTATTAATTTCCCCTCCCTTTCTCCTATCCATCCCTTCTTTCTGTCTTTCTGACTCACTCTCTCTCTCTCTCTCTCTCTCTCTCTCTCTCTCTTCCGCCCCTCCTTCCCCATACCCTTATACCAACCTTTCTCTCTTTCGCCCCTCTCTCCCCTTTCATCTCCCGCTCCCTTTTATTCCCTTTTCCACTCTTTTATCGTTCCAATTTGGCACCCTTTCATTCCTTCTTATCCCTTACATCTCCCCCTTATGCCCTATGTATTTTGCTTCATTCAACGTTCCTCTTCCATTTTGCAACCCCCTCTTTTTCCCCCACTCTGTTCCCCCATCTGGGCCCTGTTTCATAAAACTTGATACCAATAACAAGTTACAAGCTACTGTTATAAGCTACTGAAATCCTTGCTTCTGATTGGTTATCTGCAGATTTGTCACTGATATTAGTCATTTGCCATTGAAAAAAAAGCTTTGTGAAACGGGTCCCTGATATTTTCTTCGGCCCCTTCTCCCTTGTCTAGCCCCCATCCTCTCTCTCTCTCTCTCTCTCTCTCTCTCCGTCGATTATTTATATTACCTCCTCTCCTATTCTGCCCATCTCTTTTCTTTCTCTCTCTCTCTCTTTTAGATGCAATCATCCATTTCCACCCTCCCCTTTCTCTTCTATCTCTGCTAATTTTCATTTCCATCATCAACCCTCCCTCACCCCCCCCCCTCCATCTCGACCCCTCTCTTACTCTCTCTCTCTCTCTCCATCTCTCTTGGTGTTGATTTATTATGTTCCTTTATTTATCTCTCTCCATTTCTGCCCCTCTCTGTTGCAAACTTGCAATCGTCAATTCACATGTTTTACCTCTGCTCATCCTATACTCCTAATCTGTGTCTCCTTCATCCGCTTCCGATTACTCCCTCCCACTCTCTCTCTCTCTCTCTCTCTCTCTCTCTTTGTCTCTCTGTCCCTTCCTTCTCTTGTATCTCTATTTCTTTGTATCGCCTCTATCATTTCAGACGAGAAGTTGCTTCTTTTTTTATAACTGATTTTAATAAAGATGAAAATGAAATAGCGCTAGCCAACTCAATGCCTAAAGACTTCACATATTCTTTTCTCTTGATTACTTGATTATTGTGGGCCACTTTGAATTCAAATGATTTTTTAGAACTAATTTTTAGAACCAAACAAATGCTTTCTGTTTTTCCCAAGTGTAAAGAAACCTTATTATCAGTCATCCAATCGACACACGTAGACATCTTTTCACTGAGCTTTTCCTCAAGATAATTTGGATTAGGATTGCATTAAGTGGTACGCTGTCATCTGCGTACAATAATAGTTTACAGTTGTATACCTATACCCATTATCATTGATATAACTTGTAAATAGAATTGGGCATAAAATGCTTCCCTGAGGAACACCGCTTGTAGGCATTAGTTTCGAACGAATATATATCATGAATGGCCACTATTTGGTGTCTATTAGACAAGTAAGATCTGAACCACTCGTGACCAGCCTTGTTAAAAACCATTATTTGTAACTTTTTTAATAAGACGCCATGATTATCTGTATCAAAAGTTACTGTCCTCAAATAAACAATTTGTGTACAGACATCACAGTTGTAGGGATTTAAAAGCAAGACGTATATACTCTGTTTTGCTCAAATTCATTGTTTATTTGACTGTGCTAACCCTGCAGGGTATAGTAACATAAACAAGTCAGATCAAACTAAATTGAAAATTATACAGAACAAACTGGTGAGATTCATCAATCGTTCTGGTCCAAAAACTCATGCTGGCTACAGCGAACTTTCTAAAGCTGGTTTTCTTGAAGTCAACCAAAGATTAGCACAACTCGTATTGCATCACGTGCATAAAACATTTCACACTAGGTCGGATCATTATATGCGATCCAACTTCAATCTTGTTTAATACTGGCTTACATGACAATAATTAGCCTATTCATATTTAACTTACCAGAAAGAGTAGGAAGTATTGGAAATTACATTGCCATAAAACATTGGAATTTCCTTCGTGATGATATAAAGGAAATTGAAAACTTTGCTCATTTTAAGAGGAAACTACCTGGAATACCTATCACTTGAGAGTCAGAGGAGAGGAGCAAATGACATGTTATATGATTGAAATAGCCTGAATACAGAACACTTTTCTCTTCTCTGCCAGGTTCATACTTTTTAATTTTGTATATACTTATGTTTTTGTACGTTTTTGAAATTCAACATATTCATCCTTATTTTTCCTCTTCTTCCTCCTCCACCTCTTCCTCTTTTTCGTTTTCTCCTTCTTCTTTTTCTTCTTCTTCCTTCTTTTCTTCTTCTTATCCATTTTTTAATCTTTATCATTTCTATCATTATTATTTTAATGTTGTTATCATTATTATCATCATTATTATCTTTAATAAATTTTCTTAACTTATTAGTTTTGTACATGCATGTCGGGGACGCCACTGGAAATAAGCTCTCGAGCTTTCGTGGGTTATCCTGTTCATGCTGACTTAATTTGATCTAAAATTCCGATGTTGCATGCATATGTTGGAGGCTTGGCGAATAAAACCAATCAAATATCAATCAATCAAACAGCTTTCACTGATTCAGAAGTTAGCAATAGTCAATGATGCTCCATGATGCCAAGGACTCAACCTTCCCCATATGGAAATAAAATTGTGAATGACCTTACCATTGCTGAAAGTCGACCATCATCATCTATGACTAATAGTTGTCTCGCAGTCCAATTAGAACTACAGAAACACTGTATGGTGTTACGAATCAAATGAAACTAAAACCAATTAAGCAAATGGCATCGTTTTCGGGTGTCCTACAAAAGGAATCCACTGAGATATCGAAAGCCCATTATTAGTTGTGGACAACTCATTCGCATGTGTGAAGATGAAAATTCAAAGTGACCTCAAATGGAACCTCCATGTTTAAAAATTGTGTCGTAGGCCACTAGCAAAAGCCAAAATTTACATGATCTGTAGGCCTACACTCAGGAAATTTGGCCTACCAACCGTATCATCTCACAGTTTTCAAATCTTACATCAAATTCCTAGCTTTTATTCCATTGTCATTTTTTAAACACTTTTTTCTGTCATTTTATTTTACTTGTATCTGTTATTGTTCACTCTGTTTGTACTTACGGATTTCATTATTTTTAGAAATGTATTACATTACATTCAGTAACTATTCAGTCGTAATTAAAGGCAGTGCGAGAACTAGATACAAATATATTGAATAAACACGTTCGTGTGCAACATGAAGTACACAGCTTTTCTCAAGACTCACATCTTCCTTCAGATATTAAAATGCTAACTTTATTGGAGGAGCTTGCGCCTTTGAATGTTTTTTAAACAGATAAATGGCGCCTTACAAATGCTGTGAATCATCTATCATTAAGTTGCTTTTACATTGCATAATCGAGGTACAGTGCGCATGCGCCGTTCAATTTGTTGATATTTTCCATGGCACCGACAGCCGCAGCTCAGCCGCCGTTAGTAATGCCTTAATTTTAATGTCACTTTCTTTTGTATTGAATTATTTGATTTTCAATGAATTCGTGTAGCTAATCAGGAAAATATTTAAACATGAATTGCAGTCATCGTTTTACCTCGAAAGAATTCCCACGTATTTGATGATGGAACACGAAACCAATATATCTAGCTAGAGTTGTGTGCTGCTGCATGTGAAATTTGTTCAGCAGCCCGCGGTCCGTCGTAAGTTCAGTGGGCCAGTAGACCGGGGGGATCTTCGTCGCAGTTGCCGTTGGAGCATTGCCATCATGTCGCTCCGCACACGAATGAACGGTTTCACTGGTTGGGTAAATCTCCGGCTCAATAAATATGACATGCTCCTGAAAAATGTCCTCATGGATCTACTGGGTGGAACAAATATGAAGATGCTGTTACAAAGTGAGTACTTTTTGAATTGGCATGCCATGTGCAAGAGAGGTACGTGGACCTAGACTTTGACTTTTCAGTTTTGAGAACAAATAGATCGAACAAAATTGTCACAAAAGTAGGAGCTCTGTTTTCTGAAAAATAAATTTTTACATTAATATTTTGAAATTCATCAACAACAAAAAAGAATTGAGCAAGAAAAACCTAGACTAATTTCACCAAGAATTTCTTGATTTTTACTTAAATTTAAGGTGTAGACCTACGCTATAGTCTAGATCTAGTCTAGACTCTAACGTTAGACTCTACTAGACCTAGTAGAATCTAGTAGTACATGTAACTCCAGGAAGCTCCAACACCGGCGCCGGTGTAGGAGCTTCCTGGAGTTACATGTAAATGTACTAGTCTAGACTACATGCAAGCTTCAGAATGTCCACCTTTGCATTTGCCTTTGGCTTTAATCTTTTTCTATTTAGGCCTAATTTTACTTTTGTTTAAACTGATTGATATATGACAAGCACATAACGATTTAGGTAGAGTCGAGTACTTACCCATCTTAAGATGCATAGATTCTATTTGTAAAGTTTCGTCCTGTGTTTGTGATTTTCAGGTATGACGGGAATTGATAACAAAAAGCTTCAAAGCTTTGATGGTCTCACTCATCAGCAGAAGGCTACCAGAATGGAATGGATCGTCAAAGAACTCAAGGAAAAGTAAGTTGATGAACTAAAAGTAAAGGCACATAGCAGTGGTAGTGGGATCTCATGGGGAATTTGACACCATTCAGGTAATCAGGTGTTTACCCAATAACAGGTGTTGTCAGTCATCAGAATTAGCCTTCAGTTTTATGAAATACGAGCCTTTTGTAAAGTTCTGCATTTTCCACCAATCATCCAATATACATGTACATGTAAGGTAAAGTCATTATCTTACATTTTCCCCACCCGAAGACTGAGAGACTAGGAGGTATTTCTTGATGGGACTACAGGTTTTTAAAGAAATGAAATTATGAATTAAATGAATATTAAGTTATTGAAAACAAACAATAAATGTTGTCTCTTGCCAAACCTCTATAACAATAAAGTCACCTTATCAATCTTTTCTCTACAGTGAAGTGCTACCAGGTGACATATTTGTGGACTTCCGACTTTTTGCCATGAGGCACGCAGAACACGTGAGTCCAAATTATTGCAAGACTTAAAATGTTAATGTCATCATCCTACCAAATCGATTGATTTATACTTTTTCCCTGCAGATATTTGTGGACAGTCTTCTGAAATGGGGGACCCAAACATTTACTCCTGTGACTAGCTCTGGGCTTTTATTATCAAAGGTGCAGAATTAGTGTTAGGGTTTCAATTAGGGTCTAGGTTAAATATGTTCAGCGTTTATATGTAGCACCTTTCCAGCAACAATGGCCTTTGACAAGGCGTTATTCTATGTTATACAACGCCTACTAAGATTCTTGCAACCTCAATTCTTGATCACATGACATGCGCTAAAAGTACCATTGAACGGCATCATTCTCTAGCCGTGCAATTCCGTTTGATCCTTTGGCACCATTGCACTCTGACGTCACTAACGATGTACAAAGTATATTGTGAGCTAAGTCACGTCAGAGTACAATGGTGCGAAAGGATCAAACGAAATTGCACTCCGCGTCAAAATAAACATAAATCTTTGTACGCGTGGTGCATGGTATGCGCATGGTTTGCTGCCTGCTTAATAATGCGCACTCACTATCGGCAATTTCGTTAATTAAAAACAAACAAAACATCGCTGAGATTTAGGCCCAGAAAAACTGTTTTAAGCCCATTAACGTCCGAGGTGTTGTATAAAACAAATAGTGAATGGGCTTTATTCGTGCAATGGTACAAGATTTTGCATTCGGTGAAAGATGAGACGCTCCATTCAACTCGGCTGCGCCTCGTTGAATAAAGCATCTCTTTATCTTTCACCTCGTGCAAAATCTTGTACCATTGCACTCATGGCCATTCACTATTTGTATATTACTCTCCATCCTGTTGTTAAGTGCTTTACACTACAGATGTATGGTTATCCTGTTTGTCGGATTCAGGCTTGCCCGCACACAATGTGTGCAATGTGTGCACATTCTCCTCTCCATGGGGAGTATTTCAGCCATGCACCATTTCACAGACGCTCACAATGCTAAGCAAACAACATTAATGTTTGCATCATACCGGGTACCTTTTTAACACCTGGATGGGGAGTGGCAAATATAGATTAACGCCTTGCCAAAGGACGTTAGTGCCAGGCTGGGATTTGAACCCTGTACCTTGTGATCTACAGTCTGGGGATTTATACACTCTGGAGACCACAACACCTCTACTCAAGGTAATGTGTTGGGTCCAGGGTGGAAGATATTAGTCAGTGTAGGAAATTGACGTGGAGTAATTTTTGCAGGAGTTAGCGTCCTACAGCCCTTGATAAAATGTAATGTGTTTATATGTCAATCATTGCTTTCCACAGCCAGATCATGATACTTTGAGCAAAGGAGCAGCTAGTGTAAGATACATTGATTGTGATATCCCTCATTTTTACTTTGGTTGTTTCTTCAAAATTTCGGATATTTGAGGTTCCACTTCCATTTTCTGCAAATCTCTGGAGTAAAGGGCCCGAGATAACTTGGGCTTGAGTGTTTAAAATATGGGCTTTACAAATCAAATTGTATACAATTACAACGATAGGCACTGAGGTTTATAATACAGTGTAGGGCCTAGTAGTGTGCATGTAGCTAATTCTTTTAGCGTTCTTCATACTTCGGTGATCTTCTCAGGACAGGCCTTTTTCTGTATCAAGATGACATACTAATGATTTCATTTAGTACACATCAATCACTCTTAGGTTGCGTTCAAGCGCTTTTAGAAGTGAACCGTACCGTACGGTACCGTGTAGGTATGGTTTAACATTTCAAAATGGCTGATCGGAATACCTAGCAATCAATCACGCAAAAAGCTGAACAAGTAGAAATAAATTATTAGTTGAAAGAACCATAGAACTTCAAACGAAAGAAAAGCAATCCGTACCGTACCATATACACTGTAGACCGTGCTACTCTAATGGGTTGTTTTGCTAGCATTTGTGTGGGAAGTGTATACATCTCCAAGGTACCAATTCAATATGCTCTCAATTAATCTGTTCTGGTACAGTTAGCTGTAAGCCAGCTTGCGTTCAGGCGCTCATCGAGGTACGGTACGGTTCGCCTTGGCATGCTTTTAACCACCTTGGAAGATACGCCGTGGTACGCTTCTGGAGCGGTAAAGTACCAGTATGGTTCGCTTTAGAACTTGTTCAGGGGCCTCTGGCGCGGTACGGTTCTGTACGGTACAGGTATGGAACGCTTGAAAAGAGCGCCTGAACGAGGCCAGTGTGTTCCTTCTTTTGGGATTGTTTTATATGTGGACGTTCATTGAGGAGGTTGATGAATGAGATCATTACTCATCAGCTGATCTTTTATATTTTTACTCTTTCAATTTTTTGTTCTTCTTTGAAGTTCTTGGTTCTTTCAACTATTAATTTATTTTGACTTGTTTAGCTTTTTGCGTGATTGAGTGCTGGATATTCCGATAACTGGTGGCGTTGGTATTGTGAAGGGGTGTTAGGTTAATATTGAAAATTCACATTTTTAAAAACATTTTTATGAATAAATATGTGTTATGTTCATTATTGCATCAAATAAACCTGTAGCCATATTAAATTAATCCAGATGTTTCCAGCAATGAGGAGGCATATGTAAGATGTTATAAATTTGTTCATTTTCTCCTTTAAATCATTTCTTTACATTCATGAATCACACAGCTTTTGATATTATCTTATTCATTGTTTATCCAATGGTCCATACCTGTAGCTCATTTCTCTTTCATCCATCATTCATTTTTATCCACAGCAGGTCTTCTTCATACATTCCTGTTAACCAACCTTTGACCCCTTTTGCTCACCTTTGACCTTCTACAGTGTATATTCATTCTACATCATGTTCTCTATTTATACATAAAGGCAATGAAATCTAAAAGTTTCTTTTGCAGGCATTTAAATCAGGGGACAACTCGATTATGTCAGTACAGTAGTTTTCTATTTGTTCTACCCATGATACTCTTTCATGTAATTACTTCCAATCTTCATGTTCTCACTTTTTTTCTTGTTAGATTGATTGGGGAATATTAAAACAGATCTTATCATTTATAAGTGGTACACTTGTGGCAGCAGCAGAATGCATTAAAGGGAGGCCTTTTGCTGTAGATGGTTTATAATAGTATGTTCATGCTATCGGCTCACCTTTCACCCTTTAATTGTTATTGTACTTTTTTTCTGATTTATCCATGCTTTTTCTTTTCAAGTGTTGGATATAAACCATAGAAGTCTGTCATTCAAACAAATAAATCAGTCGCTTGTTTAACATTGATCATTATTTTGTAAGCGTGTTCGTAGAATTGCCCACGTGTATTTCAACTTTTACTTCTTGTGACTCATTCTGTGTGCCTTGTGTGATCGTTTGTGAGGTATTTGCCTCAACCATTTCTACGTATTCTTGTTTATACTGTGGCAGTAGGTTGTCAGTTCATGGGTTTATATTGTTTGTTTGATTACTAATTGACTGTTATTAGAAAACGTACTTACACTGTATGTTTGTAAGTAAGCAGCCAGGGTACTGACGGCTCTAAGTCCTCTCCAAGGGACTTGGTAATGAGGATTAATGTTTTATCAAAGGTCACTAGTGCATCAACTTGGGTTTGAACCCAGAACCTTGGGGTTACGAGATCACTGCTCTAAACCACTCATCCTTTGTGCCTCCTGGACCTACCATGTCCACGTACTTCAGATTGCAATTGTCTCACTCATTTAAAACGTATTACAGTAAGTTCTGATAAATATGATAGAATCTATCGATGATGTTAACCATGTGATTTGTTTGTTTGTTTAAACAAAAGCAATACTTAAATGCACATGAGTAACCTTCTAGGTTTATAGGTGTGTTTTCTCTTTATTTTTGTGATCATTTGATTTTCAATGCCATTAAATCATATCTAGAGAGAATCGTTTTCTGTCATTCTTCCTTTTTAAAAGTTTTCTTTTTCATCATATATACATGTGTATTTTGGTACAATTGTGAATATGCATATCTGAAAATGATTGTGTTGTTGTATTCAGCAGCCAGATAGGATCAATCAAGAGAGCATTGATGATAAAGAAGCAGCAGAAGTAAGATGTTCATTTTGAATCATTTACTTTATTTCTCTTTGTGATTATCTCATCAAGTTCATTTCAATCATTCAAACAGGTCCATGGTTCATCCCACTTTTCTTTTTATCCCATCTTATTTTCAGGAAAAGACTTATACATCATGATCACTCCATCTCATTTTTATTCCCTGGTGTTCCACTTTTCTGTTTCCATGGTATACTTCTTTTTCTGGATTATCTCATCTTTGTGTCTCTTAATGAAAGATGCAGTACTAGGTCTTTTGGATGGTGACGTTAAAGGTCGGTCCCCAGACGTAAATAATCATATCTAATTCATACACGTCTGTAAAAACCCAATTACACACACACACGCACACACACACACACACACGCCAGTCTCCCATGCAGACAACTCCATTGGAGCACTACACTGTCTACAAAATTACTTTAATGGGCATCATCTTGAGATCACATCATTGCAAATGCTTTCCCTTTTTTTTTTTTGGTTCTGGAGTGTTACTCTGGCAGTGGGAGCAGCAGGATACAATAGGGACTTTTAGATTTGCGTGGACTGATACGTGTGACGTCCATTCAAGGCAGTGCATTAAAAGGACGTCGATCGTAGCAATCCACGTTGTCGTTGTGCAAATCTAAAAGTCCCTAATAACGGAACAACTGCACCCTACTTCTACCCTAATCACACTCACCAGCATGCTCCATCTCGTGGTCAATAGTCGCTAGACTACTTTTATTTCTTTGTATCCACATATTCTGAGAAAAATTCCTTATCACTCTTTTCTTCTTCTTGTAAAGCAGCTATGAAGTGTTACACTGGTGGCAGCAGATTGATATGCCTGTTCAGAAGGTCTAAATCATCCACACCCTACTTCAAACCATGTTCAAACACTCTCTGGCAACCTTGTTAGTACTGAGTACTTGGTCCCCAGACAAATTTCTGAGTATTGGGTCATATACACACATGTTCATGTACATGGATCTCATTATTTTTCTTCACTGACATTTGTTTCTTATTGGACCATATTTGAAGCAGCCATTTTGAAGTGCGACACTGGCGGCAGCAGTTATGTTTACAAAGAAGTCAATACTCATTTGGCACATTTTATCTCACTGTTTCCACTTGCCTAACTGTAGTACTTTTCACTCATTTTTTTCCTTTTATGATCACATCTAGCAGCCATTTTGAAGTGTGACACTGGTGGCAGCAGTTATGTCTACAAAAGAGTCAATAATCATCCGACACGTTTCATGTCACTTTTTCCACTTTCCTACGTGTAACTATAGTTCTTTGCACTTATTTCTTTTCCTTTTATGATCACATCTAGCAGTCATTTTGAAGTGTTACACTGGTGGCAGCAGTGGGATATGTAAGGTCGCAAATTCTGATGTTCCGCTCCCAACTTCAACTTTAAGTACATGTACGTTCGCGGGCATCCTCAATCTTGTCAACTACTCTGAGGCTGGTTAAACACAGTGCATCTGTACAGTTAGGAAAAGAACATATTGTTTGTCAAAGCTCTTTGATTGAGGGCATATGTAACATTTAAGCATTACACAAGTAGACCTCAACCATGAAATATCTCTTTGTTTTTTTTAATAATTATTTTTTCCCTCTCTCTCAGGTATTTGATCTGTTGTGGAGACTTGTGAGTCATGACGTCTGGTTCACATGGGAAAGATTGGAGTACCTCACCCACCACGAGGATAAGATTCTCTGCGAGGTTCCCTTTGAGGTGAGAAAAGCAAAACTTTCCAAGAATGTTCAGTTTTAAAAAGATTCATAAAATTTCTCAATCACTATGGTTTGTTCTCAAAGTCACTTTACCCACAACGAGGATAAGATTCTCTGCGAGGTTCCCTTTGAGGTAAGACAAGCAAAACTTTTGAAAATTTTCAGTCCCTGTAAAGTTTTTAAAATGATTCATAAACTTTCTCAATCACATGCAAATGGTTTGTTCTCAAAGTCACTTTACCCACAACGAGGATAAGATTCTATGCGAAGTTCCCTTTGAGGTGAGACAGGCAAAACTTTACAAGAATGTTAATCCTGGTAAAGTTTGATTAAAAATGGTTCATAAACTTTCTCAATCACATGCAAATGGTTTGCTCTCAAAGTACACTTTACTTTTATATGTCAGGTATGAATAGATATACATGTTGTTCACAACTTTGGACCAGGTTTTAAACAACTTTTACGCGTCATGAGGTATTTGAATGAACCTTATCTTTGATGGCCATCATCTAAGATTTATAAGGTAATGATTTTTTTATATAAACATATTTTCTATTTTAGAACATATTAAAAGAAAAGGAAGCATATAATACAGGGACAAATTGATGTTCAATTTTTACTAAAATAACCTTTTTTCAATTCAACACACAAGGAAGACAACTATTTGTTAATTTTGTTTTCATTCATGTTTTTTTTTTTTTAATTCTTCGTTTATTCTTTCATTCGCTTATTGATTTATTTGTCTATGTACCTTTTTATTTGTTGAATTAATTGATTTATATATTTTTTTGTTTGGATACAGTGGACACCAAAACCTCCCCCTGAGAAGAAAAAGAAAAAGAAAGTTTCGTACAACAAATCCTTCCTTTCCGGATTTGGAGGTGCTTCTCTGATATCAGACGGTCTGCCAGACAGTCCGGTAAGTCTTGCTATGTGATCATGCTGGATTGAACTAGTTTGATCTGGTTCAATCTTGGTATTAACCAAAGAGCCCACATTACCACCTAATCACTCTGATTTGAGCTACACATGTAGTTTGAACTGGTTTGGTCTGCTATTCACTATTTGTCAAACTTGCTTGAAATTTAGCATGATATTCAATGATTGCTGAACAAATTATTTTGGTTCCAAGAGAACCTGATATTTGAAAAAACAAGGGGACAAAAAGAAGAGTACACAATAATTATTTGAAAGTAAAAAGAACAGCTTACTTTTAGAGACTAAAACTGTAAGTGGTTTTATGTGCTTTGCTGTGATTTAATTTTTGCACTTGTACAAATGTAAAATTGTATTACTGTATGTATATATGTTTAAAACTATTCTTTAACAAAAAGATATATACATGTATAGGTATGTTCTGTTGCTTTATGCCTTCCATCACAGCAAAATGCTAACTTATTTGCCTTTCTCTCTTTGCATATTACATCATATTATAACATTTTGGCTTCAATCTTTCTCCCAATGTATTTTATAAGTATCATTGTGCCCCTTAGAGCCATTTATTTTTACTTATTTTTGTGTATATTGTAGAAAAATCTATAAAGCTTCTATGTTGCCAGTTTTATGTACTGTTGCTTGTCATTGCTTAGCATGTACATTATGTACTGTAAATCGTGTCTTAATCATGTTTAACCTTGCTTTTATTTTGCTTGCTGTGTTCACTTCACACATGATTTCTTTTTCCCATCACCCTTATCATTGCCTAATGTGAGCAGAACCCGTTTGAAACCCCTCCCGAATCCCTGCTCTCCACTGCACCCACTACCCCTACCCCTTCCCCTAACCTTCCCCCTTCCCCTACCACTACCCTTCCCTCTTCCCTTACCCCTACCCTTCCCCCATCCCCTACCCCTACCCTTCCCCCTTCCCCTACCCCTACCCTTCCTCCCTACACCCCGAGCTCTGCTGGCTCAGTGAGATCATTTGGGGTAAGTTTCACATGTTGATTTGCTTTAATTTGCACTTTAAAGGTTGTTTTGAATTCTGTCACTTAAAGAGAAGGTTGAGTTCTGGGAAGAGGTGAAAAACAAATAGTGAGCAATTTCATTGTTATATACAAGTGTGGAAGAACATCAGAGAAAAATTGTTCCCTGAAAAGCATGGCTCTTCAAATGCCTTGATATTCTAAATGTAACATGTAACAGGTTAAAAAAGAGGACCTCATTCATATGCCACATGTTATGTGTAGTCCCATATACATCTTTCTCTGTACAGTGCTTGCTACTTTTACCAAGACTGGGCCAAATTTCTTATCATTTTGATCATTCCAGAACCTTGCAATACACACCAGTACTTAATATGCTACATGATCAATTTTTTCTGAACGAGTCCACACCATTTCAATTGCGTTACCAGAACTCAACGTTATCTTTAATTTTAAATGAAAAATGGCTTGCTATCATTTTCAATTCCTGTCATGGCACTTTATGTTTGTATGATCTACTAAATGTAAATAAATTCATGAGAAATCACAGAAAATTGTGTGCCTTGAAAAGCAAACTGAAATAGCCAAATGTTGGACGAGATGTTTTATCTACTTGGCCAGATCGACCTTGTAGTCTCTCTGCATCTCTTCTGGCTTATTATTTGCATTCCATGCTTTCATTATTTTCCATTAAGTTTATTTGTATTTTTGACAATTCAATATGCATGTCTTTCTTTATTTAAACATATATTTTGTTGAAAGTGGGAGCTTTGACAATTTAAATCTCATTACCAGTATTCATTATTACTTCAAAACTTATGCTTGGGCAAATCTGAGGCATTTTGTGTTTCATACTTTACCAAATATCTGGGTATTTTAAACATTATTTTGCATCAAAAATATAATTTTAAATGATATTTGGTTGCCTCAACGTTCTAGTAGGACTTGCACATTGATTTAAATATTTAGTTTTGTAACGAATTGGACAAAACTTGTACTTGACCATATTTATAACAAGCCTTTGATCATCTAAGGTGTGTATTGGCTTTTACAAGTCTGTTATTTTTTCCTGCCTTATTGCTCATCTACTCCATGGAAACAAATCATTTTAGAGGGTTTCTACGTTTCTTTCATGCTGAACTAACCTGGCTATCATATGCTGTAATAAAATTCTTGACAGATCTTATGTTGATAGGCTTATTATTGGTTTCAGTATCAAGGCTCTCTTATTTCCTGTCAATTTCTTCCTCGTGGTGATTTGGTTACAACTGAAAAAAGGAACAAAACATTAACAACTCATTGGTCTCGGTCATATAGCACAAGTCTTTGTTTCTAGACCCTTTATCACAAACGTTCACCTCCCAACGACAGGAACCTGAAAGTCCTCCTCCTCCCGAGATCAAACACATCCGCTTTCCAGGAGAAGATTTCTGCAGGAAGTTCAAGAAAAAGTCCCAACATCGACCGGACCCAGAGGAGTGCATCTTGGAAATGGTCACGACCATGCTGAATGTAAGTTCATTTAGTTATAAGTTCTTTTTTTTTTTTTAAAGGGAAAGTCCTCCCTGAGACAACTTTTGGATATAAAGCCTATCTGCACTAGTTTGGCCAGGAGGGATTAGACCTCCCTGCATGGTCACTGACAGGTAGTTATCTCATCAAATCAGCTCTCAATTAACATTAGAAAAAGGGGATCATGGGGGAACAACGGGAACCGCTTAGGCATTGTTTGCTATATAGAGGGCGAAAGTAGCTACAAGTAGTACAGTCCTGCTTTAAGTTCTTTGTTTGTCAAAGGGAAAGTCCTCCCTGAGACAACGTTTGGATTTAAGACAAACAGAACTTTAACTTAGTAAAATGGGTCATCCAAGTGGTCAAACATACAGCTTATATGGAAGATTCACAAAAGAAAGAAGATAAATGTACATGGACATTAGATTAGTATACATGTATAGAAAATAAGAAAGTTTTTAAAGGTCCACAAGACTGACATTCAAAGGTATCGATGAAGGAAAGATTGATATAGTTATCATGTGGGTACTTAGTCTCGTAGGATGTCAGTCTATCGGGCTGTCGGTCTCATTGGTTCTTGCTGTAGTGGCCTGCAATCACTCTAAGATATGTACAGATTATGTGCACATCATTATTTAAATACAAATCACATGGACTGGTTTTTGATGAGTTGTGCTTTTGAATAAAACATTGCTACCATCAGACCAAGTGAGCAAAAATACATACAGTATGTGCATTGAATTTCCAGTTTGATGAAAAATATATCCAACTGTTAGTTGTTTACGTTCTCTATGTGTATTTTTTTTCTCTGATTGATGTGTATTCCTATAGAGCACGAGAGAGGGTAGAAAGCTCAACGTGGAAGGCCTAGATGATCTGGTTGACAGTCGAGTCCTTTGCGAACTGGTGAATTCCTTCGTCCCTGGTACGTTCACCACCGAGGTTCTGCTGAACGACCGCTGGACCATCAACCTTGCTCTCAAGACGTTTGAGAAGATGATCCGCATCAGTACTCCGATAGATTCCTCGGACCTTCTAGAGGTGAGAAGAGGAGTTTGATGAGAGATGTTAAAGTTGCTCATGCGTGGTTATATAGAGGGTAGCACACCTACGTACGCTCAGGAGCGTAATACCTGTTGGTTTGTTGGTTTGGTGTCATTCAAACTCAAATTCAAATTCAAATTCAAAGTTTATTTAACACTCTTCATAAAAACATTTAAAACATACAAATACAGAATGGAATGATAAAAGAACAAGATAGTGATAACAAATAACAATGGCAATTTATGAGAGTATTTGGGATAGGCAGAAAGGAGGGGTTCCTTATATGAAAGCCTACCCCAAAAACACATACATACAGGAAAAAAAGAAACATGAACAAAAGAACAGAACAACAACAAAAAAAAAAACTAAAACATACTGTCATGTACAAATAGAGTTAAAAAAGTGTCAAACTTGTCCATGCTATTCGTAATACTGATTATTATACTTATTTAACAGAAATTGTTTGAATTTAATTTTAAAAAGATTGAGGGTTTTGCATTTTGTAATGTTATGGAGTGATCACCAAGTTGCCTACCTCACGAACGACTATATACCCACGCTTGAGCAAATTTAACTAATGAGCGCTGCCTCAATAAAAGAGAATTGAAATGTTGTGGATATTTGAGATAATAATAGTTTCCACAGATCTTTAAGAGGTGAGAGTAAAAGTTCAATGAATTATGTGGGGAGAACAAAGATACTATTCCCCCTAGAGTTTTTTGTTGTTAGCAACATAAAAACTTTACAACCCTCTTATTTTTAATCAGATTTTACTCAAACTTTCACTAATCTGTTTCTTTTCCTTTTCTGCTCTTTATAGGTTGGACTCCATCTTGAAGTCAATTCAATTCAGTTCATTAAGTACCATAATTAACAGTGTATTAACCTCACCTTTTTGCTGCCGAAAAAAATTCAAAGTCGGGGGTGCGGTTTATACACGGTACACCAAAAAATAATAATTAAGGTTTCGATTTATGCCCCTCCACCTGGTGCTATGCCTGGCAAGGTCTGCCAGCTCAGTAATCGGTGTGTTGACTCACCACTCTGAAACTAGAACAACACTCAAATTTGTCTGTCATCTTGGTTTGAAAGTAATCTTTCTGATAGATTTCAATATGTAGTTGATCATAAAAATTCCTCCAATTTTTCTTCTATTACATGGCGTACCACAAGGTTCTATCATAGGTCCTCTACTGTTTTTTAAGTCTGCAATTTTTAAAATTTTTTTTTTTAGGGTGAAAAAGAGGGGTGTGGTTAATACGCGAGGGCGGTTTATACAACGTTAATTACGGTACTGCTAATCCTGACCCCACCCCAACCCTGTGTACAATTAGTCCCTATTTCCATTTGTTTCAATATCAATTTAGTAGCATTTAAGTGTCACAAACAAAAGATATTGATGGTGGCAGCGGTGGGATTTGAACCCTCACAATCAAAATGACTGGTGACTCAAACCAGGGAGTGAGTTTTAACGCGACATTCAAACATGTTAATAGTTTTTTCCCTTGAACTCCAATGGACTCTGAATTTTGTAATAAATATTTTTATTGTGCAGCTACAAATTTGTGAAAGTCTCGAAAACTTGCAATTTGGACAGTTTATCTCAGATCTTTATTGTTTCCTGGTTGATACATTCTCCAATACAAAGCTCAAAGAGGAGAGGATGTGACAATATGGTTTATGAGATTTAGAAAAAGAAATACTTATAATGTTGATATCAATAGAGGGCAGCATACAACCTCACAGCCTCACTGGTAATAAATTACTCTCTTACAATACACATGGGCTGTGTGAACCATCTTCTGTTTTGAGACACTTAAATGTACTAAAACGATATTGAAACACCACATACCCCTTTGAATGTTTCATGCGATCATGTACCTTGTCTTGTTTACAGGCTGATCCGATGGCTGTGTGCTGTGCTATGGGTGTCTACTTCATGTGTGGCTTCAAGATCAGACAGGCCAAGGGTGTCATCAACAGACTGGTATGGAAGACTTACTCTCATTCAAATACATGTACAAGGCACCAATATTGAATTAAATATTATGATAATAATGATATATGAGACTTAAGGTACAGAATCCACTCACAATCAAATGCTCAAGGCACACTTGTGAAATAAGCAATAAAAGAGATCGCATATAAGCATCTGCATTATATACAAAGGAACAAAAATGCAGAAGAACATACACTTTAAGATTATTTGAAACGGTGATCTGCTAGTGCCAATCTCTGGAGGGAAAGCATTCCACAGCAAAGGCCTTGCATGAACAAAGGCTCTCATCCCCCCTTGAAATTTCCTTAATGATAGAAAATATAAATGATTTGAATCAACATTTTATGCCTTTTAAAATAACTCTTACAAAATATTTCAAAGATGCTAACGGCTTTCCATAATTGCTAAGTCCAACTTTGAGATAAGGTCGACTTAGGATCTTTGTGAAACAACCCCCATGTCACCTATTATTGCTCAATTTCCTTTTGATAGATTGAGTTGGAGCATCAGACGAGGGCAGCACACCATGACCTTGACAACCTTCCTGAGATTCTTGAAGACGTTGAGCTGATTAAGAAACGCAAGATGCTCAAAGAGACATTAGAAGACTGCAACCAAGGTTAGAATTATGTGTAGAGTACGTGGTGCAACAATTGGTTTTGTTTTTCTTCTGCATACATGTACATTACTTATCATAGTTAACGATAATAGTGTAAACTTATAGAGCGCACACACCATCCAGGGACACTCATGGGGCTAGCTCAGCAACAAGTCTCTATAATACCAGTAAAGTAAATGTTTATTTGATAATAGAGTTTAATGTAACATCAGAAACTAAAAAAACAATTTTGGAACATTTGTATCACCCATTTCAATCCTCAGCTCTGCCCGCTGTATGATAATCATAGTGATACTAATACTACTAATAGTAGTACCATAATTATAATGTTATGTAGTTCTTGTGTAGCACATACCACAAATTGTACTTTCTCTACTGAAATATTAAAGGCATCGTTTAACAATGTGAAATCTGAGATGCATGACCCTACGTGTTAGCAGTGTCTGCAATATGGTGTAATATTGGTGCCGTAACAAAATTGAAAATCTTTGAGTGACCAGTTTTACCATACTCATTTTCCCCAATAGATTGTAGTGTTATAAAAACTGTAAGGAAAATGAAAAATGAAATTTAGATTTACGATTTGTAAAAGTGCGCTTCCTGACTGACCTAAAGGTTTATAATTATGATTGCAGCATGAGCTTAATCCAGGATTTTGTTTCGAATCTGAGGCAAAGATACCCAATCCCTTTAAAATTGCTCTTTGATAGCCATCAATATTTCTGTTTTCTTTCCTTCAATAGAGAGAGTGTTGATAGAGAGTAAGTTTGACGTGGAAGCATGCAGACAATGGTGGAAACACATAGAAACTGTACAAACTGAGGTAAGAAAAATGATGTTTATTTATTTTGTCCACGATGTGGAAATATGCTTCCAACCAGCATTACAATAATACAAGAAACAGAGTACAATGATATGAAATATGCAAAACAATTAAGCAAACAATTTAAAAACAGAACAAATCTTGTCATTTCGCAGAAATGATTTTTACGACATCCAAAATTGTTAAGCTTCTTTTCTGATTAGATGATTAAATGTATTTCTTTGTTTTTGTTTTGGTATGCAAATATGGTTGATATCATTTCTTTATTCAAGCAAAGTAGAATAAAAATAGAGTATGGTACCGTAAGTATACATGTTATAAATAAATCTAAAAATGATAATAAAGTGAAGTTGTGACATCAACATAATTTCTATTTAATGATGATGTCAATTTATCTTCTGTCATTCTGTTTTATGACCTACCTGTCTATTCAAACTTCTAATCAACTTGGCGACATTGATTTTCTTTTTCTCTTTCAGACTCGTGAAGTCATCTCTAAGAAGATGACCGACCGATTCGACCTCATGACTCTCCCGAGGGCGGTCAGTATGAATGACCTCTGTATCTCTCTTGCCATCAACCTGACCTTGACCCAGGGGTCAGGGTTTTACCTCGGCAAGACCCGAGAGACGGTCACCACTGACCGCCGTATCGTACTCAAAGATGCAGAGACGGGTGACTTCATCGATGACTTCACCCATGGCAAGGGGCCAAGTAAAAGTGAGTTTCCACTGCCTCTTCTGAGCATCATTCTTTTAATACCCCATCGTGTTAAAAACAGAAACTATTTTTCTCAAACTGTGCCTGAAGGGAAAATGAAAGTTTATTGTTGTAATAATCCATAAGTCTCCCCTCACAATCTGACTGATTGGGATATGCAGTATACCACACCAACAGGTTTCCTCTTTTTTTTTACAGTGTACATTTCCTTAGCTCTTTTCGTGCCACTAAGATTCTGGATGCTTGGCCCAAATACACTTTTGAGAGTTAACTTAGGGTTGGATTTTCTCTATCATTGTTGAATTCAGGTTAAACTATCTCCTGTGTGAATTGACTTTATATCATGTATACACCTATTTCTACTTCAGGAAGAAGAAGTAGAGGATGTAGTTTTTACCAAAACATATGGTATATGGTTGAACAATAGACAATCATATTATTGGATGGGATATTCTGCCCATGGTATGAAGGGGGTTACTCTTCTTTTTCCCCTCTTTTTTTTTCTTTTATCTTTTTAAAGTATTTATTAAAAACAATTCTTATACATAATAATAACATATTTTTATAGACGAGGAAGATATAATGTACTAGTTTACTCATCAATAAAACTACTCTTAAACATTTAGAAAATATTGAACGTATACTTGGTTTCAAGTAAAATACTCTCAATCTTCATTATAAGAAATGGCAGATATTTTGTCAAGTAATTTTGTTGGGGTTGCTATTCTTTTGTTTCAAGGCAGTGTGAATCCTTCTGTTCAATTTGCTGAATATGTTCTGATTTTTCTTTGTCTTTCTTACCATCAGTCAATGTCCGTAAGATTTTGGGAATGTCCCTCTACGAGCCGTCTGAACTTAACCCTTCAAACTACCCCCAGTATGAGGTAAGATGTTGTCAAGGTATAAAACCTGTGAAATCAAACATATTGTCCCGAATTCACAAAGGAGGTTTAAATTTAAACCATGAAGATTTAAACCTCTTTTGTGAATTTGGGCCATTGTCTCTTTTGAGCGTTAACTCAAGTTCCTTAACACATTCAGACTTATTGCCCTTGTAGTTCCAAACTGACAATATACCACTGTTTTTCGGATCGGCTGCTTGTTGAGCGCACCCTTAGGCTGCCCGTGGCGTGCCATGGGGTGCATGGCTACAGGCTCAGGGGGAGCAGCTACTTTTTCACCCCTTTGCGTTGCGAGTTGCCAGTTCTGGGGGGGGGGAACTTATAGTTCACTATTTCCCGGGAAAAGGTGAACTATTTGAGACGTCAGCAATAAAAAACGAACTATTCGGCAGGAAAACGTCTTCCCTAGTTAAACAATTCTTTTTCTTGTTGTGTACACTCCTAATGCAACAATCTTACCATGATGATGATTTCTATGTTTTAGCTCTTGAGTAGCAGCTGATTATATTTTGTGTATTTTTCTCTTGACTAGATCTATGTTGAGAGCCCCTCAAAGAACAAACTTCTCAAAGCAGGTAGCATGTAAGTACATTGTTTCATTATTAATTGGCTATACAGACCCGCAAACGTGTACGATTTTATCGTATTTCATACGATTGTTAATGGCAAATTGCCCATTCTCTCCTGTAAAGTATCCTACACTAACATCTCACATCGGCAATTTGATATATTCATTCTATATCTCGTATTTATATCAAATTTATTATTAAATTGCAGTCACTTGAATGTTTGTTTGTATGAACAACAAGGAAAGAAATGTTAAAGTATTTTGTTTTATTTGAGTTAGAGAAAGATTTCATTTCATTGATTCGTAAAATGTTTTGTTTGACTCAATAAAATAGCCTATGGAGGGCTAAAACGTTTTTTTTTTTTTAATGTAAAAAAAATTCTTTAAGGGTATTTTCTTGCAATCTTTTTGTCTAGCTTCCTATACCAAGTGTTTCCTGGTAACTACTTACAATGGGAGAACCTGTTCTTCAAGGCTTGTAAGGTCGGGGAGTACGACACCGTCTACAAGCTCATTGTCTTCTTCCAAGAGAAAAAACCCAATTTCATCAACGCTCGGGAGAAGAAGACGGGCAACATGGGCCTGCACATGGCTGCCAGGAATGGCCATTATGTGAGTAGAAAGGGGGTGTTATTCTTTGGTTCTATGACAAAGGCTCTGGTGCGAAATACTTCATGAGAAATTCAATACTTGTCCGCTCACAATGTGTGCACAATCTCCACTTCCTGGGGAGCATTCCAGCCAAGCGTTACTTGACGCTAAAAAACTTTTTGACCAACAGTGACGGTTGCATCCTACTGGGTACCCATTTAACACCTGGGTGGAGAGTAGCAAGTGCAGGTTAATATCTTGCCAAAGGATATACAGTAAGTGCTGTGTCGGAATTCGAACCCTCAACCTTCGCATCTCCAGTCAAGCGCCTTAAACCATTTGACCATGACACTCTTGTAATTGTTTCTAACATGGACTCGTTTCTTTCTTTTAACTCGGAACCTGCAACCAAACCCTATCCCTAACCTTTACCCTAATGCTTACCCTAACCCTAACCCTAGCCTAGGCCTCAACATAAACATGTTTACCAGTACTTATTTATTCATTCATAGTTTTAATTTTTACAGGGAAGTATTATCATTAGATTATTTAGCAGCCTTGAAACTTTATGTATGTGAAATTACCAGGCTTTACAGTAAGTTTAATTATCTCTTTTTGCAGGATATTGCCTTGTTTCTGCTGGAGAATGGAGCTAAACTGGACGCTAGAAATGTTAGTGGTGCTTCGCCATTCTTTGGAGCAGTAGAGGGACTTCACAAGGGCATCAGCCAGGTTAATATTCTTGTTTATTTCTTTCTTATCTGTTTTTTATTTTATCTTTGTTGTAATATGAAGAAAGAAAAAATCACTTTGTGGCAATGACTGCTAGTCTGCAGGCACAGACTCTAATTTGACTTATAAACACAATTGAATTGAATTGAAAATGGTTTATTAGAAACGATGCATAGCAGCCCGAAAGCTGAATTACATATCGATTCACAATAAAATGGTAAACACGCATTTGATTTTACAAAAATATACATATAATCTTACCAATTTGAAAGCATTACATAGTTCAAGTCAGTACATATTGTAAGGTGAATCATCCTACAGATGCTGTTATGCAACACTGAAGGAGGGAGAAGAGAGAGAAATAGAGATGGAGACGAAGAGAGAGAACGATCAGCATATGAGAGAAAGGAGAGAGCAATGAAAGAGTGAGAGAGAGATAGTGCGATGACAAAATGAGAGACAGAAAAAAAGTTTCAACAAGATCTCCAATCATCATTGAGCCAAGTCTATATCTGTCAATCTCTGGCTATGTCAAAGAGCAGCTTAAGTACAGAGCCTATGGTCTGCAGTAGACTGTGCAGTATACATATTCTCTTAGTTTAAAGACACTGTGTTATCAAACTAAAGTATTATTACTGTGGTCATACTTTCACATCAACCCTACCCCTAGGTATCTCATCAGACCAATTTTATTTTGTGTTAACTGCAATGAGGGATTTGAATGAAAGAACAGTTTGTTTGTTTGGGTAATGGTTCTGTTGAAAAATTAATAAAGAAGTGTCGTTGTCCACAGACATTTTAGTGTCAAATGTGCATGTATGCCGCCTTCACACATGTTTCACCAAACTCTTCAATAAAAGTACTTTTCTTTCTTTATCATGCATGAAATGCATTTATTGTGTACAAAATACAATCATTTTACATCCTATCTGAGTGATGCAATTTATGCTTTTTTTAATTTCTCAATCTCCAGATGTTTCGTATCAGTGACGGCTCCGGAAAGAACTCGTTTGCGCAAGAAGGCAAGGTAAGAATCAATTTCATTTTTCAAGTCAGCCACCTGAAATTACATGACCTGAAATTACATGTCTGTTACACTACCTCTCATGCCATGATAGTTGCCAATTTGATGATATAGGGGTCATTTATTTTATTTTATTTATTTCACTTTTTTATTTATTTATTTATGCATGTTCACAATTTCACAATTCATTAGAGCTAACATCACATAAAATAGCATATAATATAATAAATCATTTTAAATTTTGATATCCATTTGAATTGACTTTACATGAGAAAGAATATAACAATGTTTTATGAAAGACAAGTTGCATTTATTTGAAGAAATCACTCATGCAATATCTTTATTTTGTCATAATTGTCCAATATAATCATTCGTACCTCATCTTATTACTAATCTTAATATTCACTTCACATTTCTATTAATGTACGAAAACATATAGCTCCATGTGGATAACCCACTTGTATGAAAGTATAATGATTAACAAGTTGTTATGACAATTTAATAGCAGCATTATGAGACAAGTGTAACAGCAAGTGAAACATTATTGAAGCACTTTAATCCTAAACAAGGGTATTTTTTTTTATGCAGGGTGTATTATCAGATTCAATTATTTTTTAAGTATGGCAATGAATATGTGAAAAGGAATTCTGTTGACGAATGAGTTTCACTATAACAAAAAGTCAAATGTGGTTGAAGAGATCAAATGAATTAAATACACTTTTATTTTCCTAATGCATATCTTAATTGTTAGCCATTTACTCCACCTAGACGTAAACAGGTAAGATTTCTAGGCGTGATAATTCAATGGCGGTGAATCATTTCTGATAAAGGAATGAACTTTGCTTTGCATAATAATGTTTGCTTGATTAAGCATTTTTCTATATTTTATCCTAATTTCAATCATTCAATGGCGGTGCTTCACTTGTACTAAAAGAAGGAACTTTGCTTTGCATTAATGTTTGCTTGATATTTTATTAAGCAATTTCTATATTTTAACCTAATTTGAATTTTTAAATGAGGGTTTTTTTAATTTTTATTTCTCCTACATTTTCTTTCAAACCTGAAATACAGATATATGTTGTATTGTAAGGTCCATTCAATGGCGGTGCTTCATTTTTACTAAAAGAAGGAACTTTGCTTTGGATTCATGTTCACTTTAAATTTTATCAAGCATTTTTCTATATTTTAACCTGATTTGAATTTTTAAATGAGGTTTTTTTTTCCCTTACATTTTCTTTCAAACCTGAAATACCGATGTATGTTATATTGTAAATCCTTTAATTTTTTTATGACAGCATGCTTTGCTTCAAAAGACATTTTTGTGGGGTACAATAATATCAAAATAGCCACTACAATAGAAGATTTAATCAATTTAACGATACGGCTCTTGGTAAAGTACAAGTACATCAAATATTCAGAAATGCAAATTCATATTATTTGTATGTGTGTCCAGCTTCTCGCTTTGCTTCAAATGGTAATGTTATTTTTTTTTAAACAACTTCTTTCAAAGGTGACTGAACAGAGAACTAAAGGAGGTTGAAAAAGGGCTACAATAATATTATGATGTGAATTGTTGGGTGATCGCTGAATGTGGAATTAAGTCAATTCATTATAGAGCTGGAAATTTGTTTTGGTATGGCAGGTTGGTTTAATATACCAGAGAGATCTGCATTGAGATCTTCTACTAGGGGGTTTATGTGTCAGCTGGTAATAGGAACACTAACAATTTCTCAGAATAACAATAATAATGATTTAAATTGCAGATAAGTTTGCTATTACTTCGGCTTTTCTGCACATGTTGTGTGCACAATCCATGCTACATTTACTCTGCTCAGCAGGCCGTCTTCCAGAAAGCTGCCTAACTTTAGGTCAGAAAAAGCTGGATTGTTACCTAATTATGGTCTTAAGTCTTAATTTCTCCTAGTAATTCTTCCCACCTCATCATCATATCCATATTAAACAAAGAGCGGTTGTTATATAATTATATAACTATGGCTGTTCTTAAATTTTAATTTCTCCTAGTATTTCTTCCCACCTCATTATCATGTCCACGACAAGGAGTGATACATACATATTCATGTTCATATTTTGAATATATGCATCCATATACATGTATCTCTGTTAAGAGCCAAAATGATGATGACTGCTACTGTATTCTTCAATACACCCATACACAAACATGTCAATTGTCGTAAATGCCTTCCTGGTTTTCAACTGGTTTTCAAGAGTTAAAAATTGTTGCTGTCTAAATTTGCAAGGATGCATTAGTCTTGTAATCATAGTATTAAAGAGAGCTAATTACAGTGTACATGTACATGGTCTATCAGTTGATGTAATTATTAATTAATTTATAATTTTGTTTTGTTTTTGTGTGTGTTTTAGAATTCCCATGGGAACACTGCTCAGGTGAGTCAAAATTATGTTATATTGCAAACCCTTGAGTGGAATATAATCCCATGATCTAACGAGCATTGCACGAATCAACATGACAAGTTAAATATTATCAAAATAAGTGTGATATACCCTCACAATCTCTCAAAGTATAAGCCTTTCGTTGATGTCATGATTTAATCATTGTTATCATTAATTGTCTGAACCTATATAGTACCTAAATTGTGTTTTACTGTGTGATTTTCTTTTCTACACTTATTATATAAAGTGAAAAGAAGAAGATATCCAAAAATACAGTCTCTTACAAGATACCGTGTGGAAAATATTTTTTAAAGGTACATGTATTAATCTTTACACAAAATAACTGTAGTCATTCAGACCAGACCTTAACACACATTCATCCAAGACTGCATACTTGACTAGGTGTCCTGGAGGCACCAAGGAACCCAATCTTGAGTCACATGAAGAACTACCTTTGCCTCCCAACCTCAATTTGCCCCTGTAGCTGCAAAAATATCTGATGAAAAAAGAATAATGACACATTTAGTATTTCTTTTTTTTTGGTCTCCAGCTTTTGCTTGAGTGGGGAGCAAATATCTGGATGAAGAACAAGTTGGGAAAGACAGCGTTTGATATCTCTAAGAATGACGAACAGAGGACAGAGTTAGTAGGTAAGTTCTGGGGGAATAATTCACTAGCTTTTCATCCTTAACCTGAACAATATCTAGCACAGGTACATGTTACTTGAACTTGAAGACAACCTCAAAGCACCTATGTTTTCGGGTTGTCCGTCCGTCCGTATGTACGTCCGGTTCTCGTGATCGTAGACGGTGATAGTAGATACAGTTAACAACTAAATAAGTATGTGAAAAATTGATTTGTCTTGATTTATATTTATTGAGAACGTGACATATAAGCTTATTCAAGTATTCAACCTAGGCCCTTATTAAACCAGTCCACCTTTCATTCTTGAGATAAAACAAACAAAAAGGCACCACATTTACAAAGGGTATGAGAATTTTTTCAGGATTTTTTGCATGTCAGAGGGTTATTACAGTAGAAGGAATATAGTAAGTAACATTTTATACAAAAATTAAGCAATTTTTTCATCAACCTTCAACAATGTTACCAAGTCACTTTAACCGAGAATGAAATAAATGAGAATTGAATTGAATTAAAAAAGTGGCGTTACAACAAATCAAATGCTCACTTTGTAGGTTTTATTTGAATAGATAACATGTCTACCATAAAAAAACAGTCCGCCGACTCTATATTATCCCCAGTTATTTACTATTACTAAGACCCTCAAACACATCATGGTGGCAACGGTGGGATATGTACTATTGCATGATTGTAATATGATTAATATTTATCCCCACCCAGGTGTTAAATGGGTACCTGGTAGGATGCGAAAGCTAATGTGCTTAGATTAGCAAGTGTGCGTTTTTAAAATTGACACCTGGCTGGAATGCTCCCCAGGGAGTGGAGAATGTGCATACATTGTGTGCCGGTAAGCCTGAATCCGATGACCAGGGTAATAATATTTATATCTGTAAAGCGCTTTTAGAGGGCCTTCGGTCCTGAAAAGCGCGATATAAGAACTAGCTATTATTATTATTATTATCTTCCAGGTTATTACGATCATCTTCAGAGCTGCATTCCGCGGTTGATGAGGGGTGATGTTGCACACTTGAGACGACTCGTAGAGGATCACTTTGCAGGAGTCCAGAAGTTTGCCAGTCTACGAAGCAGGTACTCTATACATGTATCAGTGCTGCCACAGATTCTATGGCATATGGCGTATTTTCGACAGCAGCCTAAGCTATAATCATGGCCTATTACTTTGTTCACTGATTCATTAAAGGCAAAGGCCTATAACATTGTGTATTTATACGACACGTCCACATCTAAATTAGACCACGCTCTCCATTACAAAAAAAATCAACGTTATGTTTCAAGTGAATGACATATTATCATGCTTCATCTCTAAGTTCAAACAATTTTGTAACAAAATGAAGACACCGAGTTATTTTGGTCATGAGATGAAAATGACACTTTCAAAGAGACATGTGAAGAGTAAAAAATTGCAAATTTTAAAGATTTACTTTTTTTTGCAGTGAGAAATTTTCGCAAAGTGCGGAAATATCTGTGTTGTATGTGACTCAATTATTTTTTTATGTGAAACATCATGAATCTGAATCATACGCTAAACTCGTAAATTTTCACACATATGGAAGTGAGTTGTTTAAGCGGGACTGCACTTCTTGTAGCTACTTGCGCCCTCTATATATCCAACAATGCCTAAGCGGTACCTGTTGGTCCACCATGATTCCCTTTTTCTTATGTTAAATGAGAGCTGATTTGATGAGATAACAACTTGTCTGTGACCTTGTAGGGAGGTCTAATCCCTCCTGGTTAAACTAGTGCAGACGGGCTTTAAGAGTAAATGGAATACCTCATATTTACCCCAAGGTTGATCGGACACAAGTGAGGTCTAAAAATTAAACTACATTACTTTGTTGATTTTAGATGCATCAACGGGAGCACATTGATCCACACTGCATCCTACTTTGGTGTTGTGGCTGTTCTTAAGGTTCTGCTGAAAGAACGCGTGGATGTGAACCTGCGGGACTACAAGGGAGCTACACCTCTACACAGGGCTAAGGATAAACCTACCATCAGGGTAAATATTGAATCTTCCCAAGTATAACAATCTTAAGATTGTAAAGCAAATTTTCTTTGGGCCAAATTCTGAAAGTGGTTTGTGTTATATAACCTATGGTTTGAATCTCTATATTAAACCGTAGTGCATGTCCTCATCCAATGACCAGGCACTAATTCATACGCTTCTATAAGTTTATTTATGCTCGTTTGAGTTCAGGGGGGAGGTATGAACCATGGATCAGACTGTGTGTTAAATTTCAAACCTGTTTGGTGAATTAGACCAACTGTAAATAAATATTGAGAAGTTTATTTGGAAGACATTGAGAGATTGCTGGTTGCAGAAAATTTGGGTCGTGGATTCCACAGTTTGGGATATCAGCAGTTGTGAATGCGCTAGCTGTCACCAAATGTGGGAAGCATCTTGGAAGATGGATAGCTTACTATATAAACTTTACAAATTGTCTGATGGTGATTTTAAAACTGCAGTAAAAAAATTAAAATGTAGCAATGGCCACTATTTTACATGATTTTACATTCATGTACAGAGTAGAGAAATAATTATTGAATGAAATCACTGATCTTTTATTAATTTCTATGGATAGTTGCTGCTTGAAAACGGTGCTTTGCTGAACGCTATCGATGGCGAAGGGAACACACCTCTCCATGTTAAGTGCTATGGGGAAGGAGGACAACCAACACAGATGGACTGCATTCAACAATTTGTGAGTGGAAACACAACTTAGGATAGTACTCATTAAAGAACTAACTAACTAACTTTAGTCAAAATTGAAGCCTTGACTGAGTGGGCATGATTAGTCCACTGATATGTGGATCACCTAAATGTCAACCTCATCATTTATTGAAAATTAAATTAAATTTTTAAATGAATGACTTCAAATAAATTTTGTAACTTATAAACTAAAGCCATGTCATTGTGAAATCGGGTCAAGCTCGCTATTTATTATTCATAATAATTAACCTCTATCCATAACTTGTGACAAAATGATTAGCGATCCTTTATGAATAGCGGCCCTTATAAATAGCAGGCAAACCATAGACGATTCACCTTGCTATTCATTAGGGCCGCCATTCACAAATAGACCACTATTCGTAAGGACTGCTATCCATAAAGCGGGACTTAATGAATAGCAGTCTTTTATAAATAGTCGTTATAAATAGCGAGGCAGACCCTGTGAAATCAATGCGTCATTTTAATTTCATGACTGATTTTATTTAGATATATTATTCTTTAAGAAAATAAGGGTAACTTGTCCAAGGTACAGTGGTTAGAGCTTGGAAGGTGCCATTCTATAAATCAATTGACTTTAATAGATAAACTACGTGTAATTTAGTATGGCTTTATGAATACAAGCCATGGTACATTACAATCTATCTGATGTGAATCCCTTGAAACGGTCCCGTAAAAGCAGTTGTGAAATGATTTTGCATTTTTCCTTCTCCAGCAGTGACCAAAAATTGATAAGCGTGATTGATGCCTCTATATGTGTATCTGCAAAATTTCCATGGAATATGTGGTGTGAGTTGGTCTAGCGGCACTTTCACTTGGTCAGCTCTCTGTCTCTTTGCCTACAAACTGGCTCAGGCGACCCCGGTTTGAAACTGAGTCACGTCTTTCGGATGGTGACGTTAAAGGTCATCCCCCAGACGTAAATAATCATATCTGATAGATACATGTCTGTAAGAACCTAATCACACACACCATGGATTTATCTTTTTTTCTTCTTTTTATAATATTTTTTCATTTTTAGTTGTCTGAGAATATCAACTTGGTTCACCGAAACAACAAGGAGCTGATGGCCATCCACTGCTGTGCCATGCAGGGACGGATCGATGCCATCCAGGTACTCCTCGACCTGGACGCCACGAAAGACGGCGCCATCAGGGCGAGCCTCGAGAACGAGGACCCCAAGTCGCCCCCATCGTTGCCCCACCTTGCCCTCGCCAACGATTTCTTGGAATGTGGGGAGTGGCTGATCGATCAGGGTTTTACCTTCAAGGAGCATGAGCAAGATATCCTGGTGCATAGGTTACTTACAGAACAGATTAAGAGGTATGTGGCCAGACCTATACTGTTGGGGTAACGAGTGCTCTTGGTTATTTCCTCAAAGATACAGGGTTAGGGTTAGGGTACCTTAAAGCCTATGTGCACTTGTTTGGCCAGGAGGGATTAGACCTCTCTGCATGGTCACTGATAGGTGGTTATCTTGTTCATTCAGCTCTCAATTAACATAAGAAAAGGGGGACCATAGGGGACCAATGATCACCGCTTAGACATTGTTTGCTATATAGAGGGCGCAAGTAGCTATAAGTAGAGCAGTGGGGCTTTAAATCTTGTTAAACATATGCTTAAACTGTTTCCATTAACTGATGAATAATTAACATCCTTTGCCATCATGACGTCCTGGTTTGTTTGTGTCTTTGTACTTTATCTTGTAAATAGTTTTGTTTTACATTTTTAATATTTTAAATGTGTTAGTTAATTTCTCTTAAAAGGAACTTGGTGCCCCATCAAAACTTCTCACTTTTTTTTCACCAAATTCAAATTCCATTTTCCTATATACATGTACCTGTATGTACAATAGCCGTGTTTTTCTCTTTATTTCTCAGATCCTTCCTGACACTGTATAATAATAGTTCGCAAGCAGTGGTAGGACATCATTTTGATATGTAGCCTTGTGTAGACATGATCTGATTCTTACAATAGGAATCCTTTTTTTTTCCTTCTATTTGTTTGATGTAGTAGTGAATTTTGGCCTTCTGCCCATGGAAAATGGCAACCCGCTCCCTTTAAAGCTACAGACCAGTTATGGTCATGCTATTGCATTGTGCAAGAAACGTTGTGAAATCGATCAGAAAAGGTTGATCATCTAGCATAGATGTACTGCAAGGTTCTGGAATCATCAAAATGATAAGAAATTTGGCCAAGTTTTCATAAAGTTAGAAGCATTGTACACAGAAAGATGTATATGGGACTACACACTTGCGCGACACGTGCATTTCATATCTCTCAACAGGCGAGAGATACACTAATCTACCAAATATATCAATTAGTAGGTTAAAATTTTTATCATCATGTAATATTCAAAACATATTCTTTCACATGATTGGAGCTTCCATTTCATTTTTTGAAATTGGGGCGTTTCCAATACTGGTCTTTACCTTTAATGCATGGAAATGATCTGATTCTTTTGCTTTTTTCTGTTTGTTTGATGTAGTAAGCAGCGTTTGGACATCATGAGATTCCTCTTCAAGCATGGGGCTGATCTAGACCAGAGATATGCTGGGGGAAACACGTAAGTCTCACCTTTGATATGTGACTTTGATTGCCACGATCAAGCACAAAACATCTTAACTCTCATGCTCGGTTAATGGGCTTGTGATATGATCAGTGCATTTTTCCTTTTCTTTGAAATAGTGATGAAAGCTAATTTGTAGTTCTTGTAGTGAAGTTTCCTTATAAGGATATTTTTTTATATTGACTATGAATGGTCATTATATAATCAGTAAAAGTTACCATGAACTATTAAGCAAGAGGGAGTGATTTTGAGACTTTCTGTCAGGCTGCATGCACGTTTGTAGATTTGGTGAAGGAATTTGTAGTGATATTTGGGCAAATTTTTGTGCTTTAGGAGGGTACCAATGACTGACGGTGGCCTTGAATAATATATGTTTTGCTTCTTGGTCGAGGAGTATACATTGTATGTGCAATTAGGTGTAAAACCTGATCTAAGACTTTTCGTTTTGATGAGACTTGTGTAAAAGCTTGAATATTGATAAAAAATAAATTTTAGGGGAAGGGGATATTGGTAAATCAAGGTACAGGGTTCAACTCCCCATCACAGCACAAATGTCATTTGGCAAGAAATTAATCTATGTTTGCCACTAGGGGAGGTAGATGGATACCTGGCTGCAATTATTACTTAAAATGCTTGAGCAATGTAATGGCAGCCGTCCTGATGCTGGGGTAAAAATAATAGAGGGCTAGGAGTGGAAACGTGCTGGACATGAGTGCTATACAAGACTCCAATATTGTTATCATTACCATTATTATTTTAATTATTATCATCTTCATCATCTTCAATATAATTGCATTTCACTCGGGTCTGTGCTTTAAATTGATTTCATCCATGACTTCATTTATTCATTGTTCTGTCAACTTCCTTTCAACTTCAAGTTGGCATTCATTTCAGACTGTTCATCTTCTGAAAACTTTTGTAAGACAAATCTAAATTATTCATTTGCCTTGGAAATTGTACTCAAGTTTAGTAGGAGCTCACACACCTTGCTTTTGTATATATGTATGGTCTGCAATAGTACAGTGTATGCACAAGCAGCTTTATATTTTTTTTTACTTCAACTTATCAATTGTAATTTTATTCAACATTTCCTAAATTTGTTTAAAGGGATAGTTGAGTTCTGTTTTTAGACCGCAAATGCCTTCAAAGTGCATGGTTATTGCTCTTATTCTTATCTATGACATTTTTAGTGCCCTTTTAGGACCTAAAATTGCTATGAACTTATGAAGGTAATTCTAGGCCCCAAAATGGGTGAAATTTAGCCAATAGGATCATGCCAAATTAACAATAACATCCACTTCCATAAAAATATGGTGTCCGTTAATTAATTAATAATAACAACTGTAGATTCACTTTTAGTTTATGCTTTTCATGTGCAATCTTTCCATGAATAAGCGAAAGGATATCTTTATTTAACATGCTTCTAAGTAGAAAATCTCTATTTATATTTCTGTGCAGTCATCAATGTAATGTTGACATATTAGGGAGATATTTCTTATGTCGCTATAATTATGCCTTCAATGAACATACATGTGCAATATCCTCTTACCAGGAGAAATTTTTTTACATATCAGGGTCTATTTTCAATTCAGAATTTTTTCTTTGTTTGATGCAAGGTTTGATGTTTACTGTGCTTTTTTTTAATATTGCATAGATAATAAACTTTGCATGGTTGCTTCTTTTTTTTTTAATGGAAAAAAAAAAAAATCATTACTTTCATTCTTTCAAAAGTCATATTTACATTTATATATACAGTGTTGTGTTACACAATTTGTTTTGTTTGTCATGATTTGTTTTGGAATGTTATATTTTTCTTCTTGATGTTTTGCTGTTCTGTGTAGCCCTTTACACTATGCAGCTGGAATGATGATACACGCGAAGCGTAAATCGTAAGAAACGGTCTGCAGAAAGTATCTTTCTCTCATCTATGTTTCCATCAGTATTTGCCAGATGATGCTTATCAATAACAATCTTGTGATCACAATGTTCAAAATTCTCTCCAGCACTTCATTTTAAGATAAAAAAATCTAAATCTTAGAAATCCTGAGACTATCTTCAATTGATTTTAGACAAAAGGTTAATAAGCTGACGGTTGTGTTTGAATTTTAGAGGAATAAGGGCCCATGGAGGTTTGTAGTATCTGCTGGAAACCCATCATTTTCATGTGGTACTTTAATTAGTCTTGGGACTTTTGCGCAGGGTTCTTGATTCACAAGATTGGAGCTAAGGTATCATCCGGTACTATCTGTTTTTGCCAGTCTTGATATCCACCCTATATGCATGTCTTTATTTTGATTTAATAATCAGAGTTGCCAGCACATGCATGAACAACTTTCTTCTTTTTACTCACTTTTGTTTTTCACGATAATACTGTATTTCATCTATTTGGAGACAGAAAGAGTTAACTCTTTGTAAAATTACATGAGTTACTGTCCTTCTGGCTCCAAACAGACGTTTCAAGAGCATGAACTATTCCAGGTACCTGCAATTGTTTTTTGGACTAAGACTGCTGCATATTAACTCTGCATGATGAAAACATTGTTTGATTTTTATTTCTTGTTAACATATAATAATAAGCATGAAATGTGTTCACTTATTATCTATTAACATTTTGCTTTACAGATATTAACATGGATGTCCTTTATTGCATGACCTTTTTGAAAAGGATTTATTAATTTTGCTAACCTCTCTTGTTTGTTTTTTCATCTACGAGTATACTTTTTATCTTTCTCAACTGACAACGTGCATGGATACATGATTTTCAGTGTGAAGTGTGAATTCAAGCCTGTTGATTTTCATTTCTCTCTCTTTTTTCCCCTTGTTTACCAAAAATAAACAGTTCCTATAGCTCAGTTGCAACCACTTTTAATCTGATTTTATCTCCAGACTTACCAACTGTTTTCTACTTTGACAACGCTGAGATTGATTAATACCTACAAGATTCTTTTTGTGTTTTACTAAGAAGAGTGTTAATAGTAGTAGACTTTATGAGATAACTTGTTGAGCACAAAACTAATCTTCTGTGAAGTCCAAGATATTTTTCTAAAATCCTTGGAATGCTCCGTTTTAATTTTCACTTTAAGTGCATGTCTCAGTTTGTCACAATAACAGTTTGCTTTCTTGAATGCATGACAATATACTTTGATTATCATGATTATTGATTGAATATAGTGCCATATGCTTGTTTATTTTGTTAATCAAGAAAAATATCTCAATTTGCCACTGCTGTGTGCATTGAAAATGGTGCCAGATGTGCATACATGTGCTAGAAACATATTTTTGAATATAGGCTATGTTACATTCTCCTTTTACAAAAATAGATAAAAGGACAAGACTAATTTTCCTGTAATGTTTTCCAAACTTTAAAGTCAAAGATATTAGAAAGTTTTTCTACAAAATATGTGGCATCCAGAATCAATTTCTAAATGATCAATAAAGTAGACTTTCTTTCAGAAATGTTAATAATGAAACATGAATCTACCTCCAACTTGTAGGGTGTAAACATAATATATGTTTGTTCTGTCTCATGCAAATGATGTTTATGTATTTCTCTATTTCATTTTCCACTTTGAGGAAGGAAGTATGAGAACATTACCCTTAGACTTTGTGAAATTCACCCCTATTACAAAGTGAAACATTCCTTTGCATCCCCTCACGTTATACATGTCTGAATTGCTCCTTCAGACCAGTCCATTATGCTGCAGGGATGACAGGTCCGACCGATATATTAGAACTCCTCATCGAGTATGGAGCAGATCTTGACTCAGTCAACGAGGATAATTGCACGCCGCTCTTCTTCGCCACCCAGTCCAACAACTACTTTGCAGCAAGTGTGTTACTAAACGGAGGTAGGTATTCATATCTCAATTTTTCAGGGATAGATTGTAAGATTTTGATATTCATCTCATTCCAATGTATAAAAATTTTCAAACTGCAAACCGAGAGGAAAACAGTTCAGTCAGCACCATGCTTTTGCAATAAAACAAGACCGAGATATTGTCAATTTTCCTCTAATCCTCTTGATTTATTATGGTTTTATTTATATGAAGACTATCATAAATGTCAAAAAAGTGCTGTATAAACTTTGGGGTCCTTAATATTATGTGATTTTTCTGTTGGGAAAGTTTTGCTTATGTGGACCAACTGAGAAATTGAAGAAGATAAAAAAATCTTCCAGATGAGTACTTTGTGGTTTATCAGTAGTTTTAACATGGACAGACAATGTGACGCAACAGTGCTTTATCAGTACAAGTATTTAATACCTTGATGTGATCTGAAGACGAGTTAAGACATATTAAGTAGCCAATTAGTAAAATGCTAAGTATATGTATATATGCATATTAATTGTTGTACCTGTGTATGTTTACCCTTACATTTGAAACAACTCTTTTGAATATGTGGGACTGAGATATTCTTTTCCGTTCCTTATCTACAGGAGGCAATGTAAGACATAAGAACATCCAAGGCTTGACAGCATTTGACTGCATCATAGACTTTGATGAGTGGTTAGAATGTGGCTTCTTTACCGATGAGGTCAAGGCAAGGTTAAAAGGTAATCATGATCATTTTGTTCCTTGCACAGTTATTAAAAGGAGTGTAGCCTGACGAGACTATGTGTCTTTCCCGTGGCCTGACTCAGGGCCAATCGGGTATAATATGACTACGGACGACGCGACCGCAGCAATCACATACATGCAATATACCCTAAACCGAGGCATGAGGAGAACTTCGATCTGTTTTGCGAACTGTTTATTCAACCAGTCCACCTTTCATTCTTGATCGAGTTACGAAAACAAAAATTTAATTTACCAGGGGTGTAAATAATTTAGTTGTTAATTGTATATCTCATTTTTAAATTAATCTAACCATGAAATATACACTGTAGTTGTATGCCCACCCATTATTTACATTCATAATGGTGTCAGTGCCAATGAAGTTCTGGATAACTTCATAATTGAATATATGTATGTATTAGTAATCCAATTACTTGGTTCATTTAGTTGTTATTATGAATGAAACTGAAATTTGCACTTCAGTTCTATTTATATATCATTAGATGTGCTTTGATTTTAATACTTTTATTATATTCTACTAGATATACACATTTCACTTATATATCATTATTTCTATATTTGTGTTAGTACATGCAGTACTGAAATGTAGAACATAGTATTTCATACAAATTTTGGTATACTGCAGGCTTCTTGCCAAAATTGATTTTTGAAAGTCTATATAGTGTCTATATCATTCTACTGTAAACGGTTTTAAAAGTAAGCATTAATGTATATATATGTTTCGACCAACACAGGTACAGTGTATTAAATAGGCCATTATCGTATTGTAACCAAAATTTATACTGAAGTGCCTCGATATGAATTACTTCATTCACCTGTTACAAAAAATTATATTTCAATAGTCAGAATGCAAACTGCATATATTATGGCTTGTAAGGTATGGCAAGCCATAAATGTTTGTCCTACATGTACCTAGAAACAACTAATGTATGCAATTTGAATTCTTACTATTGAGATACATTAATCAGTAACAAGTGAATTAAATAATTTGTATGAAGGTGCTTCACAAAGGTACAGTCAAACCTGCTTTAGTGACCACTTGTCTACAAAGACCACCATTTTTTGTTTCCCATCGAAACATGCACTAAAGGAACCTGTCTACAAAGACCACCTGCCTATAAAGACCACTTTTTGTGTTTCCCTTGGGCTGTTGCTATAGACAGGGTTTGACTGTATATGAATTAAGTTACATTACAAAAATGGCCTATTGCTCTGATAAAGTTGATGACTCTATACATGCACTGCAGCGATGAGTACCGTAGAGATTGTCATCAGGTGTGCATAACCTGTGGAAAATGATCTTGGAAAAATCATCTCCAATGTCATTCAATTTCTTTTCCATTCGCAGCTCACAGCCTGAAGCACGCCAGAGATCTCGTGCGGGCCATCACCCAGAAGGTTCGGGGGTCGCACCGCAAGGGACTCTTCGCGCAGGTGGCCCAGCGGTCCAACGCCCCGAACCCGGGGGGAGAGAACCGTCAGCATTCCCTCTCGGCTTCGTTACCCATCCGAGGGGCGTTAAAGGGAGGGGGTAATGCCAGTAATAGTAACATGAAGCTAGGACAGGGCATGATCTTGCCCCCTCTCAAACCAAGAACTTTTATGAAGCACTAGACATATTGGTCTGTATTCTTGTAAGGCTACTATTAAAGGCCAGGTTTAACCCCCTCCTCAGTGTGTAGAGGTAGCCCACAGATTTAGGGAGTACCATATAGTGGTGGTTATTTTACCTGACTGCTAAGAAAGCATAAATGCTTGTGAGTAAGCAGCCAGAGGACCGACGGCTTTAGGTCCTCTCTGATAGACCTGGTAATGAGGATGAATGCCTTACAAGGGCACTAACGCATCGCCTTGGTTTTGAATGCGGGGCGCCGGATTACGAGACCACTACTCTACCAACTGAGCTATCGCGCCCGATTATTTAGTGCTTTTTTTTTTTTTTTGTGTACTTATATCTTTTCTTCTCCATGCGCCTCGAACACATTATTCATGTGGAGTTGGCGCATTACAAATACTCTGTATTATTATTTTATTATTATTTATGTGGAATACTGTCTGTAAGTGTTTTACTCTGTTTTAAAGCTATGGGAAGTCGAAATGAGACTTATAGCCAGGGTCTCCAAAAATGAGAACTACTACAATAAAACTGATAATCAGACAAACATAGGCCTACAAAACACTGCAAATATCCTACTTCTAGACTGTTTGGTGCTTCAAGATTTTGAAATTAGAAGAGAGTACAGGTATACTCTTTCAGGAACTGCTGAAAACTAAAATTTATTCAACATGACCAAATACACCATCATTGAACTCTTGTTAAACATAACACCATCGACTTTTGTGGTGCCTGGTCACATTTTGAAAATGTTACATGTATTCTCTTTTAATGAGGTTTAAAAAAAAGTATCAATGTCGTACGGGACATGTTTTGTACAATGTCTCAAACTTATTAAAGATAACTGCAAGAGCTTTACATAAAATTTGCCATAAAATCGTGAAAAACATGATGAGTAACAATGATTTATTTTATTTGAAAACTATTATTTCTAAAAGTTTTACATGGACTTATACTAGGTTTTAGAATATCTTTAAATGCGTGATTACCAGTATTTCATCTATCAACTTGGCTAATCACAAATTTTACTCCATACATGTAAATTCAGGTATGGGAATTGCATTTGTGTATATTTATATGAAAATCACCTTGAGAAAATCATGTAAGTTAACAACTAAATTATTCATACCCCTTGAAAATGTCATGTTTCATGTTTATTTGTAACTTGAGAATACAAGGTGGATTGGTTGAAATAGGGCCTTTGTTGGATAATTTTAGATGTAAGCTTTAATATGTCACATTCTCAAGGCCCATATACAGGGAGAAATCAATTTTTTATTATATAATAAAAGATCACAAAACGTGGTATTAATATGAATAATTTAGTTGATAACTGTATTTGTATTTATTCATTAGAAATGGAAATTTGTATGATATTGTAAATGTACAGTATCTTTTATGCACCTTTTTTGTACAGTTTATAAATAATGTATTATAGCAGAGAGCAATAGTCAGCGGGATTGCTGACTAATAAAATCATTGGAATAAATGAAATTTCAAACTGGTAAAAGAATTGTATTTTGTTGCTGGATTTGTTGAGTTGTACATGTGCTTAACATGTACATTAAGTTGTAGCATTCATGCTAGTTATTTCATTGAAATAATGTTTACAAGAAATTAACTGACTTTAATTTACGACCAATCAACCCGCCTATTCAACCGTATCCGGACACCTACCCCCTGGACATCCACCCCCTGGATAACCACCCCCAGTCAACTACCCCCGGGACAAGTACCCCCCCCCCCCCCGGACAACTACCCCCTAGGATAGTTGTCCAGGGGTAGTTGTCCTAGAGGATGGATGCCCTAGGGGGAAGTTGTCCTAGGGGGTTATTGTCCTAGGGGGTAGTTGGTGGCTGGGGGTGGGTATACCTGTATGGTGTTACATAACAATTAGTTTGCGCATGTCATCAAAAAGTGCTATAATTGTAAATATTCATGTAATAGCAGAAATGTGAATACATGTTTAGATGTATTTCTTCATAAGTGGGAGATATGACTTGATATCAAACTGCTTTCTTATGTTACTCAAAGTAACTTGATGTATTCCAGAACAAAAGAATACATTGGAAATAAAACAATAGTTATAATAAGAATGAAAAACAAGAAAATACATAAGAAAATAAAATGATGACTGAATTTCGAACTTTTTCTTTCGGATATGAAGGAAACATTTATTCAATACATTTTCACGCTTCTTCACAAGTCTTAGAGAGACTTGAAATGAATATTGCTGCATTTCTTTAGCCGAATTATGGGGCGGAGCTAAAGAATAATCCTTTGTTACACGTGATTTTAGACTCGTGGTTGAGTTTGACTGAAGTAGTAGAATATATAACTTGCTTTTGCTTTTCACATTTGTTTTGATTAGCCCCGGAAATAACTTGTTTGGCTTTTCACACATGCCGTTTTAGTCCCGAACTAAGAAAATTCATGTTAGTATCGCAATTGCAAAGCCAGCCCTGCTTTCTTGCAGGACCAACTAATCCTGTACATAAGGTGGGACTAGCCCACTTTGGTAATTTGTGTCTGAGCAGAAAGTGGACCACGCTAATTAGCCCAGGACTATATAGGTGGGGCTATAAGATACCCCCCCCCCCCATTTTTAGGCCCATGCACCTATTTAGTACAGGATATAATACAGCTAGGGCTAACTAAAATTTTACCAGTGTGAAATTAAAGCATATTAGAGTTCATTTTTGAAATGGTGAAAGTGAAATGTTTTGTTTGTTTTATTTCTGAAAATCATCATAAAAAAAATAACACAATATAACAAAGTCACGGACTTATAGGAATGATAGAATGATAAAACGGTTGGATAGTCCATTTCAGAGCCATTAACCTAATGCCAAAGAGTCCAATATATCAGGGCTGTCAACCCTATAATAATAATATAATAAGTAATGATATAACAGAATCAGGGGCGTACGCAGGGGGGGGGGGGGGGGGGGTTGGGGGTTCCCCCCCCCCCCTTTGGTATTTTTATGTGTGTAAACCCCCCTAAAAAAAACTAAAACCCCACCCCCCCCCCCCTTTTTTTTTTTTTTTTTTTTTTTTTTTTTTTTTTTTTGTTTAAATTATGCCCACGGCTGATGCAAAGTGACCTTACCCCAACCCCACCTAACGAAAAAAAATGTCAAATTTTCAAATTTCGAGCCCAAAAAAATAAAGTGTCTGCTATACTTAGCCATGCAATGCCCTTAGGTTGTTGTTGTGGGGCGGATGGCGGGGAAAAGATGGGTTGCTGGCTAGGGCTTGGGACTGCCCCAATTTGACCTCCAAGCCCCAGACAGCTTTCAGGATTTCACAATCAGCCTTAAAAAAAAAATGGGGGGGGGGCGGGACGGTTGAAAATATTGTAGTCTGAGAAAATACCATTATGAAAATCATTAAAAAACAAACTAATGGTGAATATATTGGAAAGCAATTCTTCTGTCAGCTGTTGCCTATTGTTTTGTGTAGAGCGACCTATACCTTCCAGGGAGAAAAAGCAATCGGTAATTCTAGGGCGTATACGCCGTAACAAACAATGAAGAGTTATCGACTGCTTTTTTCCCAATCTATTAAAAAACCACTAATTTAAAGGGTTTTCTTGGTCACGCATGGTTACAGTTATATTTGACTGAGACACTCGGGATACAGTCAAACCTGCTTTAGAGACCACTTGTCTATAAAAAACCAAGTTGTATATGTTTCTCAAGAATAAAAGTAAAAGAATCTGTACAACCTGCCTGTAAAGGTCGCTTTTTTCTCCCTTGAGCGATCTTAAAAGCCAGGTTTCACTGGATATGAATAAGTACCAACAAAATTAGGAGTTATGCTAGCTGTTCAAGAAAATCCACTCTACTTATTGCCCCCCCCCCCCCCTCCCCCTCCGTGCGATATTTGTTGTGATAAACTTGCACCATGCACGACTCTAATAGACAAATAATACAAATATCTGTATCTGTTTGATGGTGAGTATTTGGCATAATTTGTATTTAAAAAATCAATATGATTTGAAGTTTTTGAACAGTTTTCAGAACTGAGCGAAGAAGAAATTAAGCTGACAGCTGTCACGTATATATATATATATGCGCTCACCATATTATGGAAAGGTAAATGATTTGATCATTAGCACGGGATACATTTGTGAAGAGTGGATACGTCTAAATTCAGAGGTAACATTATAATCATTTAGCATTCAGCTTTTGTATAATTCAATAATTACTCTTTTTCATTTGAAAGTGTAATGTGTTCTCTTCATCAGACAGCTGCCTTGGAAATAAATTATTTCTTATCTAAGACTATACCAAAATGTATTCAAGTTAATAATAAGTTTATTTAACCCAATGACTACTGAACCCCCCCCCCCCCCTTCCCGTGCGATTTCTGTTGTGATAAACTTGAATCATGCACGAGGGGATGGGGGTATATATCCCCCCAATATTTCAGGTGTGGGGGGGGGGATGGCCTGTACAATCATCCCCCCAATAATTCACCATAAAAAAAAAATGAAGAGAAAAAATAACGATGAGAGCCCGATGAGAGTAATGGTTATTACTCACAAAGTGACCATCAATATACACATTTTGCTCTCTCATTTTCATAATACATACATATATAAATAGAAAACGAAGTGAATGAGACAACCGTATATGAGACAAGAATAAATTGAATTCTCGCTCATACGGCTTCATCAGGAATTGATGAATTTATTCAATCAACAGCATCATAGAAATGCAGTGCGCCAAATGCAAAGCCGCAGCGTTAAAAAGCAACAAGCTAAATGTTAAGCGCGAAGCGCAAAAGTGCAAAAAAAGAAATAGATGAGAGAAAAAGAGGATACAGGCGCGTAAACAGGGGGGCGGTTGGGGCGATCCCCCCAAAAAACGCTGGCCTAAAAAAAAAAAGATAGAGAAAGAAGAAAGAAAGATGACGGAGAAAGAAAAAGGATTAAGAGTCGAGAACGGTACAACGAATCGCCTTTTTTCTCTAATAATTTAATGAAACGTCTAAAGAAACTGAATTTAGATAAGGATTAAGAGTCGAGAATGGTACAACAAATCGTCTTCTTTCTTTAATAATTTAATGAAACGTCAAAGCTTCCGCGCTTGGCGCTGGAGGAGGAGTGGAACTCCCTCCTCCTTGCACTCCTTGCACTAAAATAACATCCTAGCTTAGCGCTCGAGAGAATAATAACCCAGGTAGCAAGCCCATGTGGGACCCACATGGCTCCCATATTCTCTTCTGAAATGTTATGTTTATTGAGGGTGACTTGAAAGAGTTAATAACTTGGAAGGGAGG